AGTTAGAACTCAAATAATGTTTATGGAACCTTTGCCGAATTTTCTCAAGGTTTTTTCTTTAGTTCTGCAACAAGAACGGGAATTCACTGGTTCTTTTTCTGTCTCATCTCAAGATTTTGTTGCCAATGCTATTTTTCAAGAAACCTCTAATAAACCTTCTTGTGGAGGTAATTCTAATTCTCGTCGCCAGGGAAGATTAAGCAAAACTGGTGGACGCAATGCAAAATTTTGTGATCATTGTCAAAGGACTAATCATACTTCAAAAAACTGTTGGATCAAACATGGACTTCCTCAAGGTTATCACTAGAACAAAGCTAAATCAAATCCTCCAAAATCGTCTGCTAACATGGTTGATACTATGCCTACTGCCACTATGGATGTTTCTGTCACCAATAATGAGCAAACTAATGTTCAACATGGTTTCTCCAAAGAACAATATGATGCACTTCTAGCTTTAATTCAATAGTCACAACAAGCGTCTTCTAACTCTGCTGCTGTTCACCAGTGCACCATATAATCCACAGGTTCTTTCATCCCTTCTACCTCTTGGATTTTAGATAGTGGTGCCACTGACCACATTTCTCCTTTTAAATCTTCTTTTCAAAATATTAAACCTATTCCTCCTGTCTCTATTTGCCTACCAAATAAACATTCTATCATAGCCAATTTTTTAGGAACAATAATTTTGGGCAATATTATTCTTCATGATACCCTTTTTGTTCCCAATTTTAGTGTTTAGTTACTTTCCATATCTAAGTTAATTAGCTCTTCTAACTATCTTGTTACTTTCTATCAAAATTGTTGCTTAATCTTGCAGAGCAATACCTTTCGGATGATTGGAGTAGCTGAAAAGTATAAAGGCTTGTTTTATCTCACTAACCGTTGCAATTTGAGTTTATCAAAAGGAAGTAATTCTTTGCAGCATTCTGTTTTCATTAATAATATTCAATCTTGTAATTTGTGGCACATGAAACTTGGTCATCCATCTAATAAAATTCTACAAATTCTTACATCTCAAAATCCTGTTTTTTCTTCCTCTCCTATTACTGTCTGTGATGTTTGTGCTTTTGCAAAACAAAGACGTTTATAGTACTATCCTAGCCCAATCAAATCTACTCATTTCTTTGATTTAATCCACATTGATATTTGGGGTCCCCTTTCTATCATTTCTATTGAATGATACAAGTATTTTTTAACTATAGTAGGTTCACTTGGGTTCTTCTGCTTAAAACCAAAATTGACGTGAGAAATTTATTTCAAAACTTCATTATTTTAACTGAAAACCAATTCTCTTGCAAGTTAAAAAGAGTACAATCAGATAATGGCAAATAATTTTTTCTCAATGACTTCTATGGCTCTAAAGGAATACTTCCTGAAACTTCATGTGTTGCAACCCCACAACAAAATGGAATTGTTGAGAGGAAACATCAACATCTTTTAAATGTATGTAGAACTCTTCTCTTTCAAGCACAAATACCTAACATATTCTGGTCATATTCTCTTAAACTTGATGTGCATATCATCAATCGGTTACCCACACCTTTTTTGCAAAATAAATCACCATATCAACTTGTAAAACCTAATTTTTCAAACCTCAAAGTTTTTGGTTGCCTGTCATATGCTAGTACTCTTGCTGTAAGAAGAAATAAATTAGATTCAAGAAGTCTAAAATGTGTTTTTCTTGGTTTCAAACTTGGTACCAAAGGGTATGTTCTGTATGACATCCATTCAAAATCTATTGTTGTCTCCCGTAATGTCATTTTTCATGAAACCACATTTCCCTTTTCTACTCGTTCACTATCTTCTAATTCTTCTACCTCTGATACTGATTTTTCTTCTCAAAGCAATGATTTGTTTGATTTTATTTTGCTAATTTCATCTACCACAGTTACTGAAAATAATACAGATTGCACACTTGCTCTTGATGGTTCTCAAATTCAAGCTAATGATACTTCTCAAGTACTTGCTCCTATTAACAGGACTGCAAATCGTGTTAAAAGCAAGCCCAAATACTTAGATAGTTACTATTGTGGTTCTGCTTCCACTGTTCACTCACCTTTCTCAACTCCATATCCTATATCTCAATTTCTTTCATATGATAAATGTTCGTCTAATCATGTCTTTTTTTGTCACAACATATCTGCCCAAGATGAACCTTCTTCCTACAAAGAAGCCGCTCAAAGTGACTGTTGGAAAGAGGCAATGGTTGCTGAAATAGATGCTCTCAACAGAAACCAAACTTGGACATTAGTTTCTCTTCCTCCTGGCAAAAATACTATTGGTTGCAGATGGGTTTATAGAATCAAACATAAAACAGATGGTTCAGTTGATAGATTCAAAACTCGTTTGGTTGCCAAAGGGTTTACTCAAACCGAAGGAATTGACTATTTCGAAACTTTTTCTTCTGTTGTAAGGCTTACCACCGTCAGAATTGTTCTTGCTCTAGCTACTGCTTCTCATTGGTTCATCCATCAATTGGATGTTGATAATGCCTTTCTTCACGGTGAGTTGGATGAAGAAATCTACATGAAGCCTCCACCTGACCTATCTCTTCCTCATCCAAAGCTTGTTTGTAAGCTTAATAAGTCTCTTTATGAACTTAAACAAAGCTAGCGTAAACCGGAAGAATAAGCTTACTTCGAGCTTCTTTTTCTCGTTACTCTCAAAGTGTTGCAGATTACTCTCTCTTTGTTAAGTCCTCTGGTTCTGCTATCACAGTTCTTCTAGTTTATGTTGATAATGTTGTACTCACTGGCAATGACTTATCTGAAATTCAAAAGGTTAAAAACCATCTTCATGCTAAATATCATATCAAAGACCTTAGCCCTCTTAAATACTTTCTGGGATTGGAAGTTGTTCGAACACCAAATGGATTGATTTTAAATCAATGCAAATATTGCTTGGACCTTATATCTGAAGCAAGTCTTCTTGGTTGCAAACCTGCGTCTACACCTGCTGATCCTGCCATCAAATTACATGCTGATGAAGGAGTGTTACTGTCTCATCCCTCATCTTATCGCAGACTCATTGGCAGACTTTTATATTTGACCCACACAAGGCCTGACATTTGTTTCGTTGTTCAACAACTCAACCAATTCATTTCTTCCCCACGGAACCTCACATGCAACAAGCTTTAAGAATTATTTGTTATTTGAAAAATGCTCCAGGATATGGTCTATTATATCAGTTCAATACCACTCTTAAAGTTCAAGCTTTTTCAAATTCAGATTGGGCCACATGTGCCACTACCCGTCGTTCAGTTTCTGGGTTTTGTATCTTCTTAGGTGCATCTCTAATTTCCTGAAAATCCAAGAAACAGACCACTGTCTCACGGTCCTCAACAGAAGCAGAATACCGTTCACTAGCCTCTTTGACTTTTGAACTCTAATGGCTCCAATACATCTTCCAAGATCTGCATTTTTCCATTCCAACCCCTTATGTTACTTTTTGTGACAACAATTCTACCATCCAAATAGCCAAAAATCCTACTTTTCATGAGAGAACTAAACACCTTGAAATAGATTGTCATCTTATACGACAAAAACTCCTTGATGGTCTTATTCATCTTCTCCACGTTCCTTCAGCCCATCAACTTGCAGATATCTTCACCAAATCTCTTCATCCTGCACCTTTCCAACATGCCACTTCCAAGCTTGGCCTTCCTTATGCCCAGCTTGAGGGAGAATGATAGAGATCTACAATATATATTTTTCTATTATTTTCGGTTACTATTCTTTTTTTGCATTATGTTATTGTTAGTTTTCATGGATACCAACTGTTTTTTGATTTTTGTTTAATCTATTATAGCTTGATCTTATATATTCAAGCTTCCCCTTTGTAATAAGTGAATGTAGAGTTTCAACACATGAATAATAGTTCTGATTCAATATCTTCTCTTTCTATATTCTAACAAATAGACGTGTCATTGTGTATTAAAACACAAATATCACATTTCTCGTATTAAACCTATTTTGACATAATTCATAATTTATTATCAATGTAATTTATCATAATTATATTTTTCCTTATTATAATAATAAATATATTAAAAATAAGTATATTAAAAATAATCAATAAATTTATTAAAATTAATTTACTTTTCCCTTAATTATATTAATTTTCATCTCGACCAAATAATCTCACATTTTATTTTTCATTCTTTTTTTCACTGACTAATTTTTCTAGAATAGCATTCAATCAAAACATGTGCAATTATTTTTTTAACTACATCTAATAATTACATAATAAAAACAAACACAAAATTAATTAGAAACATAGTGGTGGACCATGAAGATAAAAAAAAAAAAAAAAAAAAAAAGAAGAAGAAAGGTGCAGTGGCAGTTCGGGAGGTGTCCTATATATGCGAGGAAAGTGCTTGAATTGTGGACGCAGATCAGATCCTCTCTTTCTCTATCAATTCATTTCAATTCAAGGTCATCTCTTTTTCTTCTCTTCTCAACTCTGACCTTTAGTCTATTCAAACACACTGAGTTTTCTCTGTTTATCTCTCTATACCTTCCTTTCTTTTTCCCAATTCCATTTTCAACCCTCTCTAATTTGATTCTCCCTCCCTCCCCTCCCCCTTTATTTTTCGATTAAGGGTTCTTTTATTTTGGAGCCTTGTCTCGTGAATTCATAGTTTTTATTTTGAAATCTCAAACCTTGAAGAGAAAACCTTTCTGCTTCTTCTGCATTAACCACTGAATTGCTCAAACTGATGCATTATTTCGCCCATGACTTTCCACTTTTCGATAACTCCTTTGTCGGTTAGCATTAGAATATATATTTTTTTAAGGTTCATGCTTTTAGGGTAAACGCATGTGTACTATTCCTTTTCCTGTCACTGTCTTGAGACTGTGGAGATTTGATATCATCTTTCTACTTAGTATTGAAATTGAAATGTTAGTTAAAGGTTATGTGACATTGGGTATTTGTTTGCTTATGTGTTTTCCTCTTTTAACCTCACACCCTTTGTGTAGCAGGAATCAATAACATAAATCATGGCTCAACAACAGGGGGACGAAATGGAGTATGTTGCTGACGATAATGATAATGAAATGGCGGACGCAGAAGATGATATGTATTTTCGTGGCAGAGTTTCTGGTGATTCAGAGTCCGAATCAGATGACGATGATGAATATGACTCAATGGTTTGTTTCTCCTTATAAGTAAAACCCATACTTGTTGTTTTATCTTATGCATTTATTTTACTATTAGACGAGTAAAATGTTATGAAATGGCTTTGACATTATCTTTTCTTTCTGATTGCCCTTGTTGGGATGTGGATTCTTGCTCAGGAGAATCGGATGACAGACACCACTGCTGCAGAAGCTAGGAAAGGAAAGGATATCCAAGGTATACCTTGGGATAGACTGAGCATTAGTCGTGAAAAGTATAGACAAACTAGACTAGAGCAGTACAAGAATTATGAAAATATACCGCAATCAGGAGAACTTTCAGAAAAGGTATATTGTGTTTTTCTCGACTTCTGTGACATTTGAGTAATGCTTTTTGGGGGATTTATAGTTTTTCTCATCTATTCTATCTCTTGTCAACAGGAATGCTCAGTAACATATAGTGGTGGAAAGTATTATGATTTCTGGCAAAACACTAGATCTGTGAAATCAACAATACTTCATTTCCAAGTACGTAAATATATTAATTAATTAATTAATTACATTGAATAATTTCATATGATGCGATGAATTTTGTTTGGCCTCACTCTTTGTTACATGTGGTCAGTGGAAACATGATTTCATGTACATATGGCAGAATTAAGTTATGCTATATATTTTAGAAATTCAGTGTGCCATGTTCAATGGGTTAAATAATGTTAATCTGATACCTCCAATCTGTCATTTGCAGTTGAGGAACTTGGTGTGGTCAACATCAAAGCATGATGTGTATCTTGTTTCGAGTTACTCAATTATACACTGGTCTTCTTTAAGTTCCAAGAAATCAGAAATACTGAATGTATCAGGGCATGTAGCTCCATGTGAGGTAATCGTTTTTTGCACTCCTTTGTTATCAAAAGGATCACTTAGAAGCTAGAAATAAAATTAAGCTTTTATCTGCCTGTTGATAATAGAAACATCCTGGAAGCCTTTTGGAAGGATTTACTCAGACACAGATTAGTACATTGGCTGTGCGGGATAAATTGTTGATTGCTGGGGGTTTTCAAGGAGAACTCATTTGCAAGGTACTTCTATTATGGGGGTTGTACTTGTCACTTTTGTTCCCTGTAATCCTTAGTATTTGTTATTATTTATTGGATGTACTTTCCTGCACACCATGCATGATACTTGGTGACTATGATTTATTGGGCTCAATATTTTGTTTCTTGCTTTGGATGTTCAAACTAGATTATGAATTTTGTACACGTTATATTTGTTAGACATTTACTGGGGTATAGAGATTATTTTACCTCTAAATGGACATGATTAATTGAACAATTACTGTTTAGCCAAACTGAATAATATGAATTCATTCTCAATTATTTTAACTTGGTTTATTAAATCCATAAAATTGATAATTGTTGACTGATTAAATAATACATCTTGTATTGTAGTACATAGACCGAACTGGGGTTAGTTTTTGTTCAAGAACTACTTATGATGACAATGCAATAACAAATGCTATTGACATTTATGAGCATCCAAGGTCTTGATTCTCTGCTCTGCTATTGTTTTTTTATTTTCTCATTTATTTTGGATCTTTAATGATTCATATGGTGCTAGCAATTACTTTACAAAGCATACTGACAATTAATTGATATACCAGTGGAGCTGTTCATTTCATGGCTTCAAATAATGACTGTGGAGTTAGAGACTTTGACATGGAAAGATTTCAGCTTTCCAAGCATTTCTCCTTCTCTTGGCCTGTAAATGTAAGTTTTTATTTGGTGTAAGTTTTTAATTTTTGTAAAAATCCTTTTGGGTTTTGTTTTTTAATATTGGAAGCAGTTTAGATATGCCTTGTATCAGATTATTAATGGTGGGGGTGTTGAAAGTCCATCCATGGACTGTGGCCAGCACACAAACTACACAGATTGTAGCTAACTTAGCCTGCCAGCCTGAAAATAATGCTATATGAAGCCAAATAAAAACAAAGGGAGCTACCGAAAATCCAATAGAGGAACTTTAACTTTATAAACGTTGTCTTTGAGCTCTATGATTAAGGAAACTTCAAACAGAATAGTAGAATTGTAATGGTGAATTTTTAAGCTTAATAAAGTAGAGAGATCTAGGAGTTTGTCTAGATATATTTTTTTAGTCTGCATGCTCATTGTTGTGCACACTGCCAATGTTGGAAAATATGATATCAGTGTCTTCTAATAGATTAGCATAAATAATGCTTTGAATTTGTTTCATTTCTGTCTGCAGCATACTTCATTGAGTCCAGATGGGAAACTGCTTGTGATTGTTGGAGACAACCCAGAAGGATTACTTGTGGACTCTCAAACTGGAAAGGTGGTGTATTCTGTTGGTTCATGTTATAAATTCCTTATGTGCGGTGTATGGGTAAATTATAAATAATTTAAATTTTGGTTCTTTGTAGACTGTCAAACCTTTATTTGGACACTTGGATTACTCATTTGCATCTGCATGGCATCCTGATGGCCACATTTTTGCTACTGGAAACCAAGACAAAACATGCCGTGTTTGGGATGTTAGGAACTTGTCAAAGTCCGTTGCTGTGCTCAAGGGCAACCTTGGAGCGATACGTTCGATACGGTTCACATCTGATGGGCGATTCATGGCAATGGCTGAGCCAGCTGACTTTGTGCATGTATATGATGCAAAGAGTGGGTTTGAGAAGGAGCAGGAGATCGATTTTTTTGGGGAGATCTCTGGTGTATCTTTTAGCCCTGACACAGAATCACTTTTCATTGGTGTTTGGGATCGCACCTATGGAAGCCTTCTTCAGTACAATCGGCGGAGAAACTATAAATATCTTGACTGCTTGTAAATTTGACTGCATACCCAATGTCTATAAGTTCCTACACTTTATGTTCTTCTGTCTAGGAATTGTGGCACCACCTGAGTAAGAAAAAATGACCGGTGGCATGCTTGATCATATAATGTAGGATGACATGGTCGTTACATAAACTCCGTTGTTTTAAATAACCTAACCTTGATTGCCAATCTCTTGAACCTTTTCTTTTTATTTATAATATTTTTTGCCAAAGATGGAAGAATGTGTGCTAAATTTGTACGACAGTCATATTTGTGGTACTCATCTTCCATAAATCCTTCTAGGTCACTTATCCATGATTCATGGAAGTAACACATTTTTCTCCATCGAAGCACTACTCAATTCACCTCTTACTGCCAACGCAGACGGCTTTGGGATTTAGGTTGGTATATTGCTTGTAATTTTTTTATCATTTTGGTACTTTAAATTGCAATCAAGTTCCTAAGTTAAAAACATTTGTTATAATTAGGATTTACGTTCCCATAAAATGCCTCAGTTGCCATGGATTGAATTAGCAAACGAATGGTCAATGTATGCATGCGCTACCCAGCTAATTTAACTCTTTCCCCCTTCATTGCATTAATTAAGAATCATTTGATGAAGATACAATTTATGTTTTTTCTCAAAATAAAAGATAAGACATGCCTAATGCAAATTTAGCTACATTGAATCTGTTTGGAAAATAAGAATAACAATTGATCTTGTGTTCTTGCATACTCATATTCCACCACTATATCGTCGAGTGAGAATCAATTATTAACGAATTGAATTTATGATCACTGTGCACGAGTTTTAGGTGTGTGAAGGGGATAGTTGTCGAGTCATTAGGGATGTTGGGCTATGGTCAAGTTAAGTGGCAATTATCATCACTTATATTAAAATGTTTTGTGTTACAAGTGTGGAATAACTCCATAAATTATCTCTCACATTTTTCGTGACTGTTCGAATATCCAACAAGGCAGAAGAACGCGGTTTGTTCTTTTTTATAACTTCTCATAGATTCATTCAAGTGTTAATGGAGATCGGGGTATCATGTTTGCGGTTATATGCTGATTTATTTGACGTATAAGAATCTTGAGGTATGTTATGGGTTATCTATTTTAGATAGTTTCATATTTGTCAATGTTATTGTCTTTGTCTAGTTATTATTTTTCCTATGTATAATTGTTTTTTCCTTTTCATCATGTGTGTTAAAATCATTTAATTAATATTTTTGGTATAAATTATGTTTAAGTACCTTTAATATATATATATTCACGTAAAAAGATTAGGAAATCTATGCAAATGGTATTTTTCCACAGCCACAAATTCTAGAGACGATTATAATAAAATATACAAATAACTTTGTTATTGTTGTCATCCTATTGTGAAGAAGAAACAAATCACTCTTACACAGGAGTCAACTAGTTGTTATTGATCATTTTTATATATAATTTCTCCAAACAACTATTCACTTGTATAATACAACAGAATGTAGAATCCATATTATCCTATTCCTAATAGAACATTGAAAAAAATTATTATATCTCAATACATTTTATTAACTAATAAACATGAACTATGAAAATAATTGTTAATTTAATTACTTATATAATTTTTTTATGGAAATATTAACTCAACAAATTGGACTCACTTTTATTTTATTGGATAGAAAGGTATACATTTATTTTTAAATCTATTGATAAATTATTTAAATATAACATAATAAATCTATATTTTATATAATTTTTTATGAAAAGTAACTCTATGTATATGTAATAAATAACTCTCCAAAAACTCATCTTATATTATAAATACTCATTAATAGGATGAAAGGTGGAATACAATAATAATAAAAGAATTTCACCTTGCATATGTTTTCATATTTTAACTTTATTTGTTATAACTCATATTTTAGTATTTTAAAAATTACTGTATATGACAAAATTTTAGGCATGTAAGTTCTATAAAAATTTATACATGATTTTTAAAAAAATGAACTACAATTAATGCTTAACAAATATCGTATTTTTTTTTAAAGGTGAATTATATGAATTAACACGACTTGTTGAGCATTGAATGAACAATTTAATTCCTTGAATAACAGCATAAAGTCCAGGTTTTGTTGCGTTAAGCTCGGTATTCTGTTCCAGAACCTTGCCTTTCTCCAAACATTTTCCTCCAATCTTTCCTCCCACCGCACCCAACCAATGCCAACACTCTTCACTTAATTTCTTTAAATGCCCACACACTACCAAAAACTCCATAGTTTCTCATATCTCAAATAACCACTTCTATGCATTTTTTAAACCAAATAAGAACGATAATATATATCATTTTTAATAAATAACTAAATTATAAAAGAAACAACATAACTTTTTTAAAAAAATTCACGTGACTAAGAAGAAAATTTATACAAAAAAATCATGTGAAAGGTCAAACAATACACATGTACAAAGGTAACATGAAATTTTTGAATACAATGATGCTAGGACTGTATTGTTGAAAACTATTTCATACTCGAACGAATTTATAGCTTAATTAAAACATTTTAGTAGTTCTCTCTAGCATCCTTACATGCATTTTCTTTCGATCTTTTAATAACCCCAAAGAACAAAAAATGCGAATATTTTTATAAAGATCATTTGCTTGCCTAATCTTGGACTGCCGATATTAGGGTGGGTTGAGTAAACACGTATGGTTAGATCAAGTTTATAAATCCCCAGCTTTGTGAACCGTAGTTTGCAAGCATAGAATACTAGTGCAGCAGACAAAGATGTCTGTCTTCCAACCTAATCTGCCTACTTGACGTGAGATTTTGAATCCTGTGAGTTGGAACCTTGGAATGATCCCTGTATTATGGAAATTCCCCCAAGTTGTCTATAAATTGCATGTGATTCAAGGTGTGTGCAAAAAGGAACCTTCATAGTATTATTGAGCACGTCCCAAAAATATCATGACGAATGGTGGTCATGGTCATCCAATCCCATATTCTTCAAAGTCAGGGGCATAGCTGTTAAGGCCGAGACCAGTTGGGGAAATATGAGGTCAACAAAATTCACTCATACTAAGTCTAAAGTTAATTAATAAATTTTGCACGAAAATAATGCTAGAATCGCAACTGATAGATGTTCCACGAAAATTTTGCAATCGTATAAAGGAGGAGTTTGACAAATGGTATTGATTAGAAATAAATGCGAGTCAAACTTACCTTCATCTTCATCATCTTCATTTTGACTAGTGAAGAATGGGGTGAGGTAGTTTCTATCCAATGCAGTAAAAGATGCGGCACTACAACAGAAAAGCAAAGAAAAATTAAAAAGAAAATTCAGTGAAGGAAACATAGATTTAGAATATCTTCAATTTCAGGGCACAGATGACACCTCCTTTGGAATTCTTGTAGCTTCATTTTAATTTTGTTCCCTGCTGAAGATTCTTCATCATCAGGAGAAAGGTAACCATTGTTTCCCTGGAAATTCTTGTGGATGAAACTAAGATGTTAGTTGAAAGAGAATAAAAATGAACAAGTAGATTCATTATATTGGTCATATCGTTTGCCATGATAAAATGCATAGTCCCAATTCAAATATTTAATTTAGAAGTTAACATACAATTCCACGATAAAGTTCATAAATAATGTAGTTTCTTTGAGTTTAAATTGCATTCAGAGCTTTACATGTGTCCTATATCTAACACTTAAATCTTGGTTGGGTATGCAGGACTACCATTAGGTCCCGGATCATGGTCTACCACTACGTAGTGTTGGATTATTTGATTTGTTTCCCCTAATGGAATGGCTCATAACTTCAATTTTAGTTGCAACTTAAGAGCATAATCACAAGTTCATTTGCATGCTTCTGTTTCTTTCAGCAGCAAATATTGCCTAGTTACATGAACAAGATTTAAATAGAAATTTTTACTAGCTTTCCCAGGGAGCTTCTGATAAAAAAAACGATTATTTTCCCAAGAAAAATCCATCCAAAACATGAGTAAAGTATTTTAATTAAGCTAGTCCCCCCACCACATCTCACTCATGCAGAAGTCAGCTATGTGCTACTTGCTATATGGGACAAGAAAAAGCAATTATGGGAAACAACATCGAAGAGATGCTTCTACTGTTTAATAAGCAAAAGAACCGCATCTAGCAACACTTACCGTTCTGGTAACTGAAGCCAAAGGACTCTCGATAGGACTGTCACTACCTACAACCTGTAAAGCTTCCAGCATCGCCCCTGTTGAACCACCAATCAGTAATACCTGAAATAAAGTAAATAAACTTTATTGTTGAATAACTAGCCAGGTATAGTGAATGTGAAAAGGTGGGGAAAAGAATTGGTAGCTGCTGATAGTAACGTAAGGAAGGAAAATAAAATGTCCGACCAAATTTCCGTACAGTGTTTTAGATGTTTGCTATCAGGCCTCCAATTCCCAATACAACTAATACATTTTTTGACAGCTTATCAGGCACATTATTCTCCTTTGGAAATGTTCAAATCTCTCTGTCTCTCCCACTCTGAGATTCTTGAATGGTACATTTATCTTTGCATATGAGTAAGCTGACATTGTTTCCTTAAAATTGGATTCAGATTTTGCACATTTTTATCAAGATTCGTCTAGAGTGGTCAAAAAGATGCTAACTTAATACTTTCTTCTGAATAAAATTTAAGTTTCCTAAACAGTCTCCCTGAAATTTTATCCATAAAGTTTCTTTTCGTGTTTTATTTTAATTTAATCCTCAAGTTTCTTGGTAGCTTACTGCTCTCTAGTCCAACTGCTCAGGTTGACTTTTCATGAGAGCATCCTCTGTCAGCAAATCAAATCATATGATGAATGGAGAAATGGTAACAGTCAGAAAATTTAATTCATTTATGTCAATTTCCCTCCAGGCCTAGACATAACCACATTTACACAATAAATGCTAGTGAAACACTCTTTTGAACCACTGTTTTGTTTCTCATTTCTTAATAAGTTTCACTCATGATTTTTGTAATTTTAATAAATTTAAAGTAGAAGTAGAAAGCCAAAAAGCAGGATAGCGTATTGCACCAAATGCTTTTTGTTGGAACAACAATTTCTTGTCTATAGCATGGCAGTGAAACATTATCCAATCTGTGAAGGTTAAAAAGAAAAGATGTATACAATGACAATTTAAAAATGGAAAAAACTCTGGCATACCATGTTTTACATAAAGTTTTTTTTTCCCATTCCAAATGGCCTTTTAAAGAGGAATGTAGATATGGAATGTTAGAAAGATAGAATAAAATGTGAAAATATATTCAAATTTTACATAGTGACATAGCAAAGCACCTTACACTGCCTCCATATTAATTTATAATGACAAATGATTAGCTTAAAATATTTGATACAATCATGAGCATACCTACCGTCAAAACAACTATTGCAGTAGTTGCAGTTAGGATGGTCCGCCCATGTCCTTCTGGCAGATCATGAATTGATTGCAGAGCAAGGGCAAATGCCATTGCCCCTCGAAGTCCTGTACATATTCATAAAGTACAGAACTCAACATAACAGACAGCATTAAAGAACACACCAAAATCAAGTAGTTTGTTTTATTCACAGAATCAAGAAAGCTTTCCAGATTATAGTTTTTGATTTGCAACTTTCTGAAACCTTACCACTATACCAAAGTGCTTTCTGGTGTTTTGGCGGTATTTGTCGATAGGCAGGTCTAACCAAGTTGACTAGATAAGCACATGAGAACACATTGGCTGCCCTGCATGAGGTGATCAACAATATTGTTTAAAATTTCGTGGAGAAAAATGAAAGCTAAGCATAGAAGTGTCAACGTGCGTGCATATCTTTATTTTTACCAAACTAGCTAAAACTAAAAGCCTGACAAGCTCATATGTCACTGAACAATTACTAATGATGATAGAAATTACAGCATAGATACCTTGCAATTCCAATGAATATCTGAAGTGGTTACCAAGCAAGTTGAGGAAGAGGAAACTTTAGGCCAATATAGATCACGAAAATTCAAATTTATAGGATCAACGAAAGGATACAATGGAAAAGAATACAAATCCGGCATGTGACCAGCTATGTTTCTCCATAGCAATATCAAAACCCATGTAGATAAATCTGTAGACCATAAGATAAAATTATTCACGGGCATCATTTATAGGTAATGTTGAACTAGAAGGGAAATACTGTCATTGAATCCTCCTTACACAAATGTCTCTGCTAGTGATGATATCAACTCAAAAAAAGCAGAGACGAATCTTTGAGAACTACGTGACAAATTTGAAAATGTGTAATGCTTCATGACCTAAAACATAACAATACTTGTAAGAATGCTTTAAAACAAATGAACTGACAAATATAAAATATAAGATGCAATTACCATTCCTGTGAACAATATTGATACAATACCAGACAGCCCAAGACCTTCAGCAAGCATGTACCTGAGAAATAAAACAATTTGCACCAGTATAAAGAAATTTACAGAAATTATACAATAAAATTATGAAGAAATGGTCCAAGGAGTTTTCTTACGAGAAATACGGGAAAAGAACAAAAAGACAGCTTTCCAAGTTCTGAAGACTAAATTGAAAATTTTTATGATCAGTTATTTCCAAATATGAGTTGGTTATATTGAACCAAGAAATTAAATATAAATACTTACTTGTCAATATCCAACCCTGAATACTTAAATAGGTACTGATAGTTAAGGTTTCACTATATTTTGATCGCTAAATCTGTAAAGAGTTACATACACACACATATATACATATATAGGACAAACATTAATTTTAAAAGGATATTAAAGCAGATATAAATCCAACTCCAACACCTGCAGAACCGACCAAAAAATGGAAAATCAGGAATATTGAAAGAAATAACAATTTTCAATTAAATTCTCTCTCTATTCTCTTCTGTGAGAAAAGTTGTATTATTGACTGGGTCAAGTAAGCATAAAAGGCATATCATGACAGAAGAAACAACACCAAGTGTACGGGTGAAGACAGTTGATGCCATATTTCTACATAGAATTTCGTTGAGGGCAAATTGAAGTTTACCCTCCTCTAGTTTCCCACTTTCTCAACTTACTTAACTACTTTTCCTCTTTTTACTTTGGATCAAAGTGAAACCATTCAAATTTCCATCGATGTTAATGCACGTTACCTTTTTTTGTGTTGCATAAGCCTTGATTACTTTAGACCAGATTGAAATTGACAAGTTTTTCATTCAAGTAAATGTTTCTTACACAATATCTTATTTCTTTTAAAAAAATGTTTTAATTGTAATAAATTTATCTAAGATATCTAAATGAAAATTTTACCCACTAATATGATGTGAAAGTTTGATTTTGATTCTAGAGAAAATAGATGATTCTGTGACTTCAGCAGAATCAAAGATGAGAGTTAGTAGCGTGAAAATGTCTATTCTTTTAGTGTTTTATCTGCTTATCCTCTCTAAGGGATTATTTAACCATTCAGTTACTAAATATAGCTATTTAAAATAATAATAATAAAATAAAAATAAAAACTCATGCTAGAAAGTTTAATGAACCAATTTGTTCTAGGATGACTAATAGGGACTTGGGTATTTTGGAGTGACTAAGTCCCACATCTGGTAGGATAAGATGTTCGATAGAGTATTAAGGTATTTGGTTAATCACGCCGCCCCAAGGCCAACCAATGTCATTCAACAAAAAACCTATGCATTTGCATGTACAGTAGCTCAACCCCAAAATGGACACACAAAAATGAGGGGGAGTGTATGATAGGAAGTAGGAAACTAGACTTGAGGGGTAATCATCTTTAAAGCCCATAAACTCTGCATAAAGAGAAGAACACTATGTACGATTTTTAAAACCAACCAGCAGACATTGACCCAACAAATGTCTCTAAAAATCTAACAACCACCATGAAGAAATTTTGTCCAGACGGATGAGTTTTAATCACTGTCATTGTCCTGCAAAATGAATATTTGGTCAAAATGATGATAAGTTTATTTTTTATAAACGTAGAAATTTTCATATACCTGTACAATGAAATAGCCATCTGCCAGCGTAGGTTACAGGTGAGAAGCAAACGTAGAAGAGGGAAAAGATCAGCTAATGAAAAAAAATTAATATAGATTGATGCACTTCACGAGCAAAAGAAAAAAAAAAGTAATAGATACTTACTGCATCATTCAAAACAGATTCTCCAAAAACCAAGGCATATAGATTGACATCTGTGCCAAGCTCCTGCAATAAGGCAGGCAAAAGTGCCCATCAGGAACAAATTGAATCCGAATGTAAGGTGTATACCATATGATAACACTCAAAAAATGAAAAAAAGACATGGTAGTTGGATTGAACTTGGGAAAGCCTCAACCTTCACGAATTAATAAAATACAAGCGGGAAGCATTAAAGAAGAGCTCTAGAAAGAGGTTACCAAAAATGGTTCTTCACAAATTGAACCATGTTGTATTCAGGAGCAATATGGCATAACCATGGAAATGAGAAGACCCGGAACAAGTAATGCAGCATGCAGCAGAGGTACAACATAAATAGAAGAAAAACAAGAATTAAAGCAACGCAAATCACATCACCTGAAATATGGACAAAACAGTAACAGGATCAGTTGCGGATATCAGTGCACCAAACATTAGACACTCAACAAAAGGTAATCTGTACATGAGGTACATCAGTCCACCAAGATAACTGCAGGCAGAGAAAAAAAACAAGGAAATGAATAATAAGGTAGCAAACTGATATGGAACTGAAAAATCAAAAAAGAAAAGCTTACACTAAGACACCCGTCACAATGGAAGCCAGAAAGGTGCCGAATATAGCAAATGTGACAATAGCTCCAAAATTAGAGAAAAAAGGTTTCTGCAAAAGACCGAAAACGCAAAGTGAAAGGCCAATTTGAAATAAGAAAATGCAGCAAAAATGAAAAGAACAAAAAAATAAACTTACAGGCGAGAGGCTGAAGCCAGACTGAGTAAACCAAAGCGCAAGGTCAAGGAAACGAAAACAATCATTAATTGCAATGAAATAAATGGAAAGTAAATAAGAAGGAAGAAGAATAAAGCGGGTGGTTAAGGATATAATATGATAGGAGGCAAAAGGAAGAGGAAGAAAAACTCCTCGTGAAAGTTGAACCACGACCTGTTTGGGAGAAAGTGATGAAGTGAGGTTCCATGAAAGAAAAACGAGAGAATAGGAATATGAATGGGAACAGAAAGTAAATTGTGACCTGATACTAGTTTGAGTGTGAGAAATGTTAGCGAGTCCACCAACGAGCAAGCCAATGAGAAGAGAAGCGCTGGCTTCGGGAAGAATATAAATCCTCTTGCGACGAAGGACGTGACCTAACACGAATGACAAAACCAACATCATTATCTGAAGGAGAATCCCCACTCCCGCCGCCTGCTGCTCCTTGCTCCCCCCGGTCACGTCCACGCCGCCGTCGGCCGGAGATATTGGATTGTTACCCTCCATCATCAATTCAATCAACACAATTCCGTTACTTTTTTTCTTTTTCTTCTCTCTCGGTTCTTATATGTATTGCACTTGCATTTGCGTCGACTCACTCCGATGAACACTTAACCATATTATTAATTAATTATCAATTATTATTATTTATTTATTCATGTGGGCCCATTTCAGTTTGGTTCGAGCACGTGGAACCCAGCGCCTTCGCCATCTGTCCTTTCACGTCAAATAAAAAAACCATATATAGAGACAGAGAGAAAGTGCACTTTTGACTTTATCTTAAACCTATTTTTATATTGTTTATACTTGCTTCTGACATAGGTTTAAACTAATTCAATTAAATTTTAACAATTCTGAAATAATCAGATTTTTTTTAATGTTTTTGGTTTTCTTCCATTTGTTTCAACTATAACATATCAATGACTAGAGCCATAAGCAAGTGATTACACTATATAAAATAACAATGGACGTGTTTGAAATATATTATGTAAAAAAGTAATTTCTAAAATATTTTAAATAGTATAATATACTAAAATTTCGAAAAGTTAATAAAAGGAAGAGTGTCTTAAAAGTATATAACATGTTTTGAAAATATTCAAAATATTGATAGGTGGTAAAATGATTTCAAAAAGGTATAATTTTTTTTAAATACTGAATTATTTTTTTCCTACATTATATCTTATTTTATTTACATCTAAAAAACACTTTTTTTTTCTTTTTTAATGTTTGCCTCGTATACATTTTCTTAAGAGTACTAATAATGAGTTGCCTAATAAATTAAGATTAATAAAAACTAATTTGTAAAAATTCTTTAATATATATTTTTTATTTTATTTATGTATAAATAAAATAAGTTTTAATTAAAAAAAGTTTTTTTTTCTTTTAAAAAAAACATGTCATTAGAATAAGCTGATTCGTATGAATATTCGATGAACAATCTCTACTTCTTTTAAAAGAAAAAAGAACAAACATTATAGATAATATAATTACATTTAATTCCCTTATTGTTTTGTTTTAATTTTTAACATATAATTGTGGTTTTTAAAATATTAACATCCTTACCCTTTTCATTGTATAAATTTATTTTTCATATTTATATTTTTTCAAAAATATAATCTACTTAGTTCCTTATTTTTTTAATGTAGTACAAACAGTAGTTTTTCTTCAAATTAAAATAATAAGATATATATGTGTTTATATTTGTAAATTTGTCACTCTAACTGTTAATTGAAAAGTAATATAGAAAATAATTTTTGTTCGTAATATGTTAAATATGTCTTGTTATTAGGCATTCTTTACATATAAAATCGTAAATATAAATAATTTATTATGCAATATAAAACAATTTATATATAATTACATTTTTAAAATAGCATTTTTAACAAAAAAAAAACAGTTTTGAAAGAAATGATTACTTATAATATAGTAAAATTGAAATAAAACTTATAAAAATTAGTAAATATATGTAATTATCTTATTTACAGAATTTAATAAATAGACTACACAGTCAAATTCTAGAAGTATAAATAATTTAATTATTTTCATTTTTATCTTAATTGATATCTTATTTTTTGGTATTAAGTTAATTACAGTTAATTGTAAAATTGAAAATAATACTAGAAAAATAGCAAGGATATAACAATTTTTTTGTAAGAATTGAAATATAGTATAATTATGATCGTAAAGATTTAATATAAATTAATTATACGATGTAAGTACATATATACGTGTGATTCCCATGAGATAGAATTAATTATTTTTTAATAATAACAATTAAAAACTTAATCAAGTAATTAATATTGTATAAAAATCAGATAAAATATTTTAATTATATTTAATATAAATATTTGGAATTATTATATGATAATGAAAATTAAACGTTGAAGCTAAGATTTAAGAAAGAGGAAAAGAAAAGAAATGGTTTGGGATGTGTTTGTTTGGATGGTGAAGTCTGACAAGGAAATGCGAGGTAAGAGCCAAAAGGGGGTTTGATTAGTTGAAGTTAGTTGGTTAATAAGTGTGGTAGCGTGAGTGAGAAGTTTCCATCTTTTTCAGAACCCCACACAACCCAACCACATCCATTAACTTCTGGTCCGTTCCGTTGCGTTCGTTAATTGCCAGAGCTCAACTCCTTCCCCCAAGGTTCGTTTCTTCGTCTCACTTGTCGCAAAAACTACTTTAATATATTTTCTTTGTCTTCAATTCGGCATTCCTCCAAAATAACTTTTCTTTCTTTAATCAATTCACCAATTTCATGTATTCTGTACATAATATTATTCTTCCCCTACCAATTGTCCCCTTTTATTTGAATGCCAAGGCTCCTCAATCGATTCCTCGGAGAATTAGAAGGTAGGTTCCCTCTAGGTGCTGCAATTATTTTTAGGTTCTGTTTGTATTTTGCCGTCACGATCTCCAAGTGAGATACTACGACAGCGGAAATGTCTTTTTTTTTTTTTTAATTTATTTTGCTTAGGAAATTGATTAGATTGTGGAAAATTCGGAAGTTTCAAACATAGTGTTTCATAAAAGGCATGTGATTACTGACATCTCTGATTGAAATGCGTTGATAAACCTACCAACATTTGCTGTCTGATATACTTTTTGCTCACCAATTATAAACTTTTACTGTGCTTCAAGAAAATTCACTCCACCCATAAGATTGAGGTTATTTTACACATGCAATAACTCCTGTAGTCCAATTCTTTGTTTTCTTTCTGTTTGGCATGGATTTATTCAAACACAGAACACCCTACTGAATTTCTGAAATCTTGTTATCCTTAATACTACACATGCATATTATTATAAGACATGTTCAACATCTTCTTTGGTGTCTTGTATTTCTTTTTGGTTTTTTTTATTAAGTTGGCTTTATTGTATTATATTGGGATTGTTCCTTGCATGTAATGATGGCATATAACCCCTGGTGTCACTCTTTTTTGATAAATTATCATTTGCTGATTGTTCTTGCAGAATTTAATTATTTATTGTAGAATCATATATGTCTCAACCTGATGTTTATGTTCTGTTTTTTTTTGTTTTTGCTGTTATTATAGCCTTCTGGCATCTCAATGATGACACAAGAATCATCAGAGGTGTTGGAAAAACATGCAAGCTCAGGCTCTCATGTGAGGGGGAGTAGTGAATATGTTAGACTGGTCATATCTGATGAACCAAGGGCCGTTGAAGATGAAATCTTGCTGCCTCGAGCAGAATCAAAAATTAAGTCTTTCTGGTGGTGGATAAAATCCTTTTTATGGTGTGCTGTCATTGTGATACTTGCTTTTATTCTTACCAAATGGGGAGTGCCACTTTTTTTTGAAAAGGTATTGTCTCTTACTTTTCCACTATTCTGGTATTACAGTTGCATTTCCTGTTTCACCTTTAGTCTTCTAATATTTTTAACTGAAAAATATTATTGTAGAAATGATAGATGAAGTGGTACGTAATCAGTTATTGCTGCTAGTTCCATGCTCTTCCCGATTTGATGTAAATTATGCTTCACAAATGAACAATTTATCCTTCTTTTTGTTGTTGTAAAAGTGTTGAAGAAAATGGCTGGGTGAATGACTTGATATTCCATCTCTTTGCTGTGACTTAAATACATCATTGATATTTGAATTCATGGCTAATAGTGTTGTAGTATTGATGAAATCGAATGCAGCAATATAAGATGGACTCTTTTCCTTCAACTCAGCAGGAAAGTCCTTTTTCTTACTTTCTGTTTTCATTTCCACTTCCCAAGTATGCAGACATTTTTAGGGTCTTTTTTTGTATTATATTAAAAAAATGCATTACAGTAATAAATAATGACATCTTTGCTACTTCTAAAAAACAAGCTTGGAGTCTATATTTCAGGTCTTGTGGAATGACATGCATTTTATATGAATTCTTGGAATATTTGATTAAATTCATTTTTTGAAGCTTTATCATTTTAACTTTTGGTATGCAGGTTCTTTACCCAATCATGGAATGGGAAGCTACTGCCTTTGGCCGTCCAGTTCTTGCCCTAGTACTTGTTGCTTCTCTGGCATTATTCCCAGTATTCTTAATCCCTTCTGGCCCCTCCATGTGGCTGGCCGGGATGATTTTTGGTTATGGCCTTGGCTTTGTTATAATAATGGTTGGAACAACCATTGGGATGGTCCTGCCTTACCTAATTGGGCTACTGTTCCGTGACCGCATTCATGTAAGTCATTTTATTTCTAATATGATCAACAATCTTCTCAAATTTTGTGTTGTATTTTTTTCTGACTATATTTTTTCTTATGTTTCTGATTGTTGCTTCTATATTCTCCAGCAATGGTTGAAGAGATGGCCCCAGAATGCTGCAATGATTAGGCTTGCTGGGGAAGGGAACTGGTCTCGTCAGTTTCAAGTTGTGGCACTGTTTAGGGTTTCTCCTTTTCCATATACTATATTCAATTATGCTGTGGTAGTCACAAATATGAGGTTTTGGCCCTACTTATGTGGATCAGTAGCTGGAATGGTACCAGAAGCTTTCATCTATATCTACAGGTTTGTCTGTCTTTCTATTCATGGTCTTTCATTGGCTTAGTGAGTTCCCTATCGTACTCTCCCCTCCCCTCCCCTCCGGAAAAATGAATTAAAGAGGAAAAAGAAAAAGATTGGAAAGAAAGGAGAGTTGTATAAGATATTTGTCATTTCCTCCATCCTTATATGGTTGGAAGGCAAAGTAGTCAGTGAAACCTTTTTAAGTTTTTTGAGTTCCGTTAGATATTCAGACAAATGCCCTCACTGACTCAAACTTTTATATTACCATTTCATTATTTTTTCTATTTGTTGTTTCTCTCACATTTTATACATGACATCATCTACGTTAGATATTGGCTTTGTCAAAAAATCAGTGTGGTAGATTTGCATAAAAAATCATTAACCGGGTGTTTTTTACAACACCACTCGAATTAAAACGAGAATTCAGAATCAAGTATGACTTTGATGGATATATATGTGACTCAACTTAGAACTTGTTTTCTTTATAATTCTTTACCACATACTAACATTTTTTTGGTCAGTGGTCGGTTAATGAAGACGTTGGCAGACGCACAGAATGGGAAGCACCACTTGACAACTGTGGAAATCGTATACAACATTATTTCTTTCATTATTGCGATAGTTACGACTATTGCCTTCACTGTTTATGCAAAAAGGACTCTAAATGAACTCAAAATGCCAGAGTTGAATGAGGAAGTTACCTCTGTTTCTGAGGAGGGCTGTTTTGAGATGGAGAGTCTTCCCCTTGAAAGGCCTAAACAGCTTAGTTGGTCGAAATTTTCGTGAGTGTATACTCGTTTATTCACAAGTTGCTTTAGGATTACATTTATAAATTATAATATTTTTCCCTTTATTTCTTTTGGTTTTCATATGACGATCCCTTAAACTAGGATGTGGGAGTGAGATACAAATTCAAAAGGCCGTAAACAGGTTTTTCCCTTTTTATTTTGCCCGCCCATAAGTAATTTGGATTGTAATATAATAACAATATTTTGAGAACAGGTTAAAGGAGAAGACAATGAATTAAATAACACTACTAAAGTAAAAATCCGAGTTCAACTTTGATAATTAAATTTAACTTTTCTAAAGAGGGGAGAGAGTACATCTAGAAGATAAACTGCAATCGTAAATGATTAGTTCAATGATAATAAATTACTTTAGGCAATTAATGTGAAATCGTATTTAATTAATTCTAATAAAATATGAAAAGGCCAACAATGATGTATGTAAAGTGTTCAGTGAGTCTGAGTTTCGAACTTGGGACCATGTATTTTGCAGTAAATTTGTGACCTCTTTTGAACTAACCTTATGCTGTTCTGTTTCGGTGCTTATTGGACTGACACCTGCACGACAGTCTCAATCCCCATATTATCTTGTTATACAAATGTGTTAGTCATTTATTGAATACGTGTGAACAAGATATTGGTGGTTTGGAATCCTGGTATGACACTCTGCTCCTGCTCTGGCACTCCCAGTAGGAGCTTGGACTGCAGGGAAGCTCAATTGTAGATGTTGATGCCGCTTCTTTCCTAAGTGTTCATGGTAATGCCCTATTCATTAATTGTATTTCTTTAGGGATATGCACCTACATGGACATGGGGACACGTGTCGGATAATGACTTCCACAAATTCCGCATGAACAAGAAAGGTCTTCCCCGTCTAATGATGTCCCACAGTCCTAGACTAAAAACATGCGGATCAGTCCCTAGCAGCTTCGTATTTGGCGCCTGATTCGAGGATATGGTTCCTCCTGGCAAAAAATATCAAGAAATATTTTGAAACTACATAATTTCAAAAGAGAATATTAAATCAAAAAATATTTTATTGGATTTATTCTTTCTGGTGAGTGCAGGAAAGAACAATCAGCGGCCTTTGAAATTGAAATTTGAAAATGGGCACAACATTCAGCAACAGAGTGCAACTTGACGCCGCCTCCGTTTTTGATATGATGATTTTGTTTTATTTGAATAGATAAGTGTATGTGCAGGTCGGGAAGAATTGCTCTCAACCTCATAAGCACTCTCATACACACTCACGTGTTTCGTTAGCAATGCAGGTCGTGAAGAATTGCTCTCAACCTCAAAAGCACAACTTTGTAGAACAAATTAACGACCATTTAAAAAAAAAAAAGCCCTCCAATTTGTAAAGAGAAAAGAAAGTTGGGTAGGGTAACTAACTATAAGACATTAAATGAACGTGTCACTTACACGATGTTCGTTTTCACGTTTAAAGAATTCAAGATTTGATACATACATACAAACTATGTATATCACAAAAAAGGCAAACAAAAGACAGTCTCAAGTACCATTATCAATTTTCAATGCTAATCTTGAAACGAAGATTGTTCCTAGACAACAGATTATCTAGGCCTAGTTCCTCAACTTCCATTTTTCCATGTGCACCCTTGGTTTTCAATTCACCTCCCTCTTCAAAATCATCAATACACTGAAGTCACTTGTGGTACTTGGGGGAAAGAGGACAATGAATGACAGAACACCTCATGGTTTCCACGGAGCTGGAGGAGGTGGTGGTGTTGGAAACATTGGGGGAACGGCAGAGAAAAGGGTGTTTTTGTCTATTCCGGAGCTTTTATCACCCGACAACGCCACAAGTGCAGCTACTAAACCTGCATTGCCTGCAAGAGTTGGCTCTGTGTAGTTGTAGTTGGTTCGGACATCATGGAAACCATCGTGCTTATCAGGACCAGCAACCATAGCTCCAACAATTGTATGCGGGTTTGGCTTCGATGTGTCCCTCCATTTCCATCCTCCTTTACAGTTGTACTTAATCTTGTTCTTTGGTATAGAAGCAGCTCTATGGTGAACATGTTTTGGATAATGATTTCCAAAACCTACAATATAGCTCATTTTCCGAGGGTTCTTCCCAAGGATGTAATCAATCTAGAAAATCACCCAGAAAAGGGAAAAGGAAAAGAATTAGCCCAGACATTGATATTAGTTTCAATTATGCAACTTTAAAGAGTAGAGTAGCACACACCTGCGTCTTTGCAAAGTCTCGAAGAACATCAGTTGAAAAGAAATTGGGTCCGCAATACCATCCAGGAGTATCAGCAGCATCAAGATAATCACTGTAAAGAGCAGCCAAAAATGCTGCATTGACAACATATTGGAGAGGCTGAGGCCTACCATGGTTTAATTGAATCAAGCCGCCTGGTGCAGAAGACAACATTATTCTCATTAGAACTATAGTTAGAAAACATGATGCGCAGAAGAAAGGTTGATAGTCGGAGAATTGTTTACCCCTCGTTCTGTTAAAGCTGGTGAACATTGGCAGGTAGGAGCACATGATTATGCCTGTCTGGTTGTGAAATGTGCTTAAAATTTCTTCATACGGATAACCAGGACTCAGGAACAACCTCAATCGACTCAGAAGAACCTAAATACAAGACAAAACATTAAATTACTTGCTTTCCATTTGTACATATACGAGAACTGAATTTCTTATGAATTCAGAACGATGCAGTCAATCAAATGGTCCATATGACTGCGACCTATATAGCATGATCAAATTAAGCATAAGGTGTTGCAAGCAAGGGAACATTCTATAGTCAAACAATGAGAATGGCTTCTGAGTTGAAAAACATCGTGAATAATAATACCAAACCATACCCCAAGTTGTGTACAATCTAATCTAGAGGAAAAACGATAAATTTGATGAAAGTGCAGTAATACTTGACAGCTGTTTGGATAAACTTTTCCACTAACAGTCGTAGTTGTACGAGAAGAAAACAAAAACGTAAAATGGATTGAGCTTTTCCGCTAGAATCAACTTGTCACCTCAGTTTTTGAGTAAACTAGATGAGAAAACTTGTCTAAAAGATGAAAATGCATAGGACGAGAAGATTTCGGTGGTGGTGCTGCTTAATTGGAAGTGAACACAGAAGCTAACACTTGAAACTGACCTTAGATGAGTCAAATTTGAGGTAATGGAATAAAAAAAAAATGTGATCCAGATAAAGTGAGATTGAGCAAAACTCCGAATAGCTTAATGAGGAAGCAGATATGTGCAAAAATGAATGGAAAAACAAAAGGCAATTACCTGAGCACCAGTAAGCTTGTTATCCCAGCTGAGGACACCATAGTCAGGCCCTCCCCAGAAGGCGCCAGCATGTTTGGCAAGGCCGGGAGTGGTAGCCAGCTTCAGGTAAGACGAATTCCCAGTGGCAAAGTACATCCAAGCCCCTCCCCAAACAAACTCATCCCAATAGCTAGTCGAATTGTAGAACACAGAAGCCTCGGATGCACCCGCACTGTACCTCCCTCTCTGCAACCTCGAAAATTTGTACAGCGTGGTGGCCCCATGAACCAGCTTCTGCGAATACGCCCTGTTATCCTTGAACACAATCGAAGCCGCCGCCAAGGCCGCCGCCATCTCCGCGGCGAGATCGGAGCAGCCGTGACACTCCGCGACGGGGCGGTCGTAGTCGATGTCCTCGGGGCGCATCCAGCAGTAATGGTCGTTGGGAGTGGTGCTCCCCCCGGAGGTGTCGCCGGAGCCAACCTGCGCGGCGATGGACGTAATGGTGTCGGCAGTGTTGTTGAAGGTCTTGAGAAAGTAGTCGGTTCCCCATTTGATGAGTTCCTTGACGTGAGCCAACTCTCCCGCAGCCTCGTACTTGGCGCTGTACTCGATGACGCTCCAGCTGAGCATGGTCATGGCGAAGGCCTTGGGGAAGTGGAACTTGATAGCATCACCGGCGTCGTAGTAACCGCCCACCAGATCCTTGATCGCGCTCGACGTACCTTGAGACTTCTTCCCATCTCCCATGCACGAGTTCCCTCTCCACGAAACATTGTTATGCCTCGGAAGCTTTCCCGCTACACACAACAAGCAACTAAATCAATTAAATTATAATTACAATAAAAAAATAAAAAAACGGTGAAATGTGTAATTACATTTTTGGGCGTTGAAGAAGAGGAGGGCTTTGTGGAGGGCGAGAGTGTAGTTATCGGGAGGCGCGGGCTTGTGGTGGTGGCGGGGGACGGTTTTGACGATTAAAGTGATTAAGCCGGAGAGGACGGCGCAGACGGCGACAGTGCCAACTGTCCAGATGAACACTTTGCGGCTGACGATGATGCAGCCGAGATCTACGTATTTCTTCTTCTTCTTTTTCTGTTCTCCGGCGCCCAGGAGCCAGCTCTGTTGAGTCTCGTCTAAGGCGGCACGGTCCAACTCCTGCAGATTGCGACTGCGCTCGTCGTCGGTGGCGGAGTCCGTGGCGTGGATCTCGAGCGGCCCTCCCCACGGATCCCTACCGTACATACTCATTTTGGATACCAATCCCTAATCCCTAATCCCTAATCCACTAACAACGTAATGCAATGTAATGAATGAAGAAATATAATTATAGTAACTCCTTCTCTCTCTGTGTGCAGGATGTGTCGGTCGATGAGTTTGAAGGATGAGAAGACTAGTGAGACATGTGATTCTGACGCGCCTTCTTCTTCTTCTTCTTTCAGATTCCTTTTATCTCTTTTTTTCTTCAGGGATTAAATTATTGATGTTCTTGACACCCAGTGGCCAGCTCACTCTCACTAAAGCGTTGTTTGGTATGATGCCTCACTAGTTAACATCACTTCTTTTTCTTCCTTTTTATCTACCAACAATTAATAATTCTTTTTCAACAAAATCAACTTGTTTCATCTTCTTTCTTAAAATAATAACGCGTTTCTTAAATTGGATAAGTTTAATCCATCTTTTACAATCGCAATGGGCCTCATCATCATGCCTTTCGGCCCGTCCATTTGCGCCCACTCTGAACGGAAGCATATGTTCCAAATTTCTAACTAACCACAACCCATGTTATCATATTCTCACTTTCCTATTGTCTCTTTGCTAATGTTAAAATAAAGATGCATAAAATCTAAACCTTTTCTCTCTTCGTTCCAGTTAAACACACAAGAATATGAATCATGTCAAGTTAGAATTAATATATTTTTTTATTATATATTTTTATTTTAATTTATTAAAATATATATATATATATATTAATTCTAAACTATAAATATTTATTTCTAAATTTATAAATATAAATCATATTTTTTCTGTCTATTATAAAAAAAAACGGATAGAAGAAGAATTTTTTATATAATGTTAAAGATTATAAAAAATATCCAAGGACGACTCGGCAAAATCTGAAGCATTTATAATATCAAACGGCTCAGAATGTCTGAACTGCACGGTGCAGTGCGGGTTAAATTCACTATATCTGTATCCGCAAGCACTTACACAGCAGAATACAATCTTGCTGTTTGAGGTTGGAAGTATCAGCACGGCACTGAGCATCAGCAATGGTATGCAATGCAACTCCATCCCTTCATCTTCCATGTACATCGCTACTCAGTAATCATTCTCCTTGTTTGTAATCGATTTGTAGGCAAACGCAAGTGTTGCTGAAGAAGAAGGTAACAAACTCACGCTCTATTCGTATTGGAGAAGCTCTTGTTCTTTCCGAGTCCGAATCGCTCTCAACCTCAAAGGTACTCCCACTCCCTTCCTTTCTCTCTCATCTCACTCTCACTCTCGCTCTCGCTCACCATTGCTTATTGCATTCAACTCAGGCCTCAAATACGACCTCAAGCCCGTCAATCTGTTGAAGGAAGAACAATCTAGCCCCGGTTTGTTTTTCTAACCCTAACTTTCCCTAATTAAAACTTATTCATCACTTAACGATTTGCTCATTTTTCAGAGTTTCTCCAGCTCAACCCTATTGGTTGCGTTCCCGTTCTAGTGGATGGCCACGCTGTTATTTATGACTCTTTCGCCATTATTTTGGTCCGGTTTTTCTTTCACTTTTCAAAATGTTTAATGTCTTATATTCTCTGTTAGTTTATCTTCAAATGCCTATCGCATTTTCTGTTCACATGCTCTGCAGTATTTGGAAGATAAGTATCCTCACAATCCTTTACTCCCTCGTGATATTCATAAGAGAGCAATCAATTTCCAGGTACCGTTACATTCCATTCCTCCAAAATGAAACTAATGATAATATTGTTATTCTTACTTGTCCTACATTGAAGAAAAGATATGTCAATCAGATTAAATTCCTTTTCAAATGACTTCCTTTGTAATATAATAGTGGGGAGTTTCACAACCTAATTCATGCATTCTCTTTTGATGTTTTGATCCGCAGGCTGCTAGTGTTGTTTCATCAACAATACAACCTCTTCAAAACTTGGGTTTACTGGTATGCTATGTGTGCAGTTTTTTCATTTGCTGATTTTTTTTTAATAATATTGTTGCTTTATTTACTCATTTTTTACGAAGAAGCCATACTGGAGTGCCTATTAAATGTTTATTGTTATTTTACTTTTCTCTTTGCAGAACTACATTGGGGAGAAAGTTGGCCCTGATGAAAAACTTCCTTGGGCACAAAGTGTAATTAGAAGAGGCTTTAGAGGTGAGGTTTGACTAACTTGCTCGCACTGCGCATAGATAGTAAGAAAAAAAAAAGAGAAAGTTTCTGAAGGGTCATGCATTTGTTCGAAGTTAAACAATACACTGCTATATACTAGGTTGTTTCCCGCTATAATATAACAGATCATTCATGAAAGATTTTTATTTTCCCAATTTTAGTTCTATAGATCCCATTTTGTCCGAAAGTTAAGAGCATAATGTTATATAGCTTATATCTAAATGACTCAAAAAAGGGGATGACCCGGTAATTAAAATTTTCTTCCTACACAGTGGATCATACTATCCTTATTGGTGTTTTCTGAAATATTTAAGTTTTTCCTTCTATGTGGAACACATACCGAATTTGACTATCGTGTTAACAGTACCAAATTGAAATTGACAGTCAATAGAGAAAAGAGTAATAATTGACACTCCTCTAGTTAAACACTACACATCTTGATAAACATCTTGTCTTTAAAGGGCAAAAAACGAAGAGGGAAATCTATGATGATAACATATTCTATCCAATGTTCCAAATTATCCCTAATTTGGTTGTTCACAAGAGTTGGTGCTATTTTTTATCAGCGGTATTTTCGGATAGTTGATATATATTTGTTACCATCAGAACCCTCAACGATGTTTTGAAAACTAACTGCTTATAGAAAAGCAGTGTACGTAAATGGTGCAAACCCTTAACTATGTAAATGGTTTAAGAAAATATCACTGGTATCCCCCGTAGAGATAAGATGTTTGTGCTGTTATGTTACACCTTTCCTTTTTTTTTTGGGGCCTAATCAAATGCTATTTATAAAATGTGTTTCAGCACTTGAAATGCTATTGAAAGACCACACCGGAAGATATGCAACCGGAGATGAAGTTTTCCTGGTATGTTGGTAGTTATGGGAGTTTAGTTATTTGAAAATTAATAAATGGAAGAGAGAACTTATTTTCAAGGTAAAGTAGCCTTAAAAGTTTGACTAGCAACGGACCCAATGCAATAAGTGTATTGATGCTCTGATATGTTGGATTATAGTTACAATGTGATTCAACTCCAAAGTTAATCATCACAACAACTTTTTGAAAAAATAAATAGGATTATCTTTTTAACAAGCATCAAGTTCTTATCTATTTTTGGAATATAATTTTTAGCTTAACCTTGCTTGCACATCATAGTTATAAATAAATTATAATCTAACAAGATGGTTATCATTTGCAGGCAGATGTATTTTTAGCACCTCAGTTATATTCGGCCTTTAAGAGATTCAACATTCAAATGGTAGTATTCAGTCCTTGGTCGCATATTGTCAGATCTACTTGATAGTAGGATTTCTCACTTTAATTACACTTTGATTGTTCATAAGTTGAAAAAAAATACTTGCAATCGATCTCAATAAAATACAACTGGTCCTTGAAGCATAAGGATGATGTGTTAATTGTATGGACTTCAAATTTGGATAACCAGTCAGTATAGAAACCTCTCTCTTTCTCTCTCTCTCTCTCTCTCTCTCTCTCTCTCTCTCTCTCTCTCTCTCTCTCTCTCTCTCTCCCCGTTCAAGATATAGGAGGTCAAGTATCTTTTGGCATGATATCTTTTATAAATTTTAAAATTTAGAACTTTTATTTTTCTGTAGGTTGAAAAATTGTTGACTGTTTGTTAAATATTTTCATTGCGCGACAACTTATTTCCTCTTTATTGTCAAAGCAGAACGAGTTCCCTATTCTATCAAGATTGCATGAGACATATAATGAGATCCCTGCATTCCAGGAAGCTCTACCAGAGAACCAGCCAGATGCAGTACACTAGGTGAACCAATAATTTGGTACCGGTAATCAATCTCTAAAGAACTTTGGAAATTTTTTATAATCTCCATCTTTTATTTGGAGCATTTTTTTTAATGTGTCAATATTTTATTTTAGGCTTAAATAAGTTTTGTTCTCGTCATATAGCCGATTTTTGTTGGGTACCTAATCAATTCTACTGTCTAGATGTTTGTTAGGTTGAGAGACGTGTCACACCATATGGAATATTGAGAATAATATGTATTAAATCCCTTGTCTTATCTATATTGACAGGATATATCACTACATAATAGAGAACATATAGGTTATAGTTAAAAAAAAGGAACTAAAGGAAAAATCTAAAATTATTTCAATGATCATTTTCTTCATGACCTAAAAATAAATTTTATAATTTATTAGGAACCAATTTGAAAAAGGAAAATGATTAGGTATTCAATTAAAAATTTGATCATCTGAAACTTATTAAAGCCTTTATATTGTGCTAATTTTAAGTGCCTTTTTTTTATTTGGTCCACAGTTATTATTTTTCAACTCTATTTTCTATTTGATTGATCCCAGAACTATGATCTCTGATATTAAGCAGGAGAAATTGCGGCACATGGAGCAACTGATTCGCCATCCGGTTGAATATGTTGTTATTACAGTATTAAAAGATACCCAGCAATAAGGTTGCCTCATCCAATGCTTATTTCAAACCCTTGTATTGTGTCTGTAAAGTGTAAAGTGTTAAATTATGTTTAGTTCCAATTTCTAATGATCATGTTTTACCTTAAGTCAATGTTTCAAAAAGTTCATCTGAGTTGGTGACAATGATGGCTTTTTTAACAGTGAACCAATTGTAAAACTTACTTTCTAAGCTCTCGAGATGATGTTCAACATTTTCTCCAATCCTCATGCATTGAAAAAGAAAAGAAAAGTGAATTTATATTGAAGTCCCAACATCTTTATGTTCTACGAGAATGAGGAACACAACCTCATGATATGTATGAAGCACCACACCAACCATGAACTTTTATTCTTGCATTAGTTAAAATAAATATTTTTAAAATCGGATGTGATGACATAAATATAGTATTTAAGGATTTAATTGAAGTTTAATCAGGTTTAATTTAAATAATATAATTAATTTATTAATAATGATTTTTTATAAAAACAATAATAAAAATTATCCTAAGTTATTATCATTAATAATTGCATATTCACTTTATCATCAAAATTATTGTTTAATCTTGTTATTATAGAAACTACTATTTTTTTATTAAAATAGTTTTTGAAATATAATCATTAAATAAATTTTCTTTAAAATAAATTTTTAAAATTGATATCTAAATCATTTTTAAAAATAAAAATAAAATCTAAAATTCTAAAATTTATGAATAAGAAAATAGAGGTAATGTAGAAAATTATATATGTAACATCGAATTTATTGTATCAGCGTCCTGTTAGAAAAGAGAACAAATTTGACAGGCATGTGGAGAGGTGTGGGAGATGTTAAGTCAACAATTGAACTTATACGATGAAAAACATGCTGAGAGACCTGATGAGACACAATATTTTCATAATGATATTTATGTCCACGTTGCAGCAACTAAATAATATAAATGAAGTCAAAGAGAAAAAATAACAGGACGAAAATAAGAATTTTAAATTAGGATTAATATATAAAAATTAATTATTATATAAAAATAAAATATTATATATTTAATAATGTATTTAATATTATTAATTTAATTTTTTAATAAATTTAATTTTCTTTTTAAAATTTAACATGAATACTTTTTCATATTCTAATATTAAAATAAAATATCATAAAATATTAAAATAATTATTAATTAATAATAAATAATAAATTTTTTTAAAGATTAAAGAATAAAAAATTATAATTTTTATATTATAAAAATAAAATTATAATAAAAAATTGAAAATTAAAGAAAAAAATTTACTAATTTTACATTATAAGATAAAATCATAAAAGAGAACATATATAAAAATAAATAAATTTAAAGAAAAATATAGAATTGTGAAAAGAGAAAGTGAGTCTTTAATAAAAAAAATAAAATTGGAAAAAATTAAGAATATATATATATATAAAATTGGTGAGAGTCTTGACCCTGCTTCCCCTTAAATTCGCCTCTGGAAAGAGGGTAAGTTTGGGAGTGCGGAGTACTAACAGCAAGGGTGGGTTTAGCTTACAACTGTGCTCTTCATAGGTGTGCTGCTGACATGGTATGGTCCTATGTTGTGGTATTAAGCCACTGCACCAACTTACTTTGCTTTTTGTCCTCACCATTGTATTGTTGTATATCTATATCTATGCATGTTTCATTGTTTTGATCAGGAGGCCAATGAAAATAAGCTTAAGCTGTATTCACACTGGATAAGCTCCTGTTCCTTCCGAGTCCGATTTGCTCTCAACCTCAAAGGTCAACTCACTCACTACTACCCTCTTACACTATTAATTTATCTTCCAAATATCTCACCTTCCCATTTGTTTTCTTCTGCTTAGGACTACCTTACGATTACCAAACAGTCACTACATTTTCTGAGCCCGGTTTGTTTGTTTCTTTTTCTGTTCTGCCAAAATTGCAACATACTCTAAGTGAGTTGAGTTGAGTTGCACAGTACAGTTCAATTCAATTCCCTCTTTGTAACCTTCTTCTTTTGTCTTTGCCCTGTGTTCAGAGTTTCTTAAGCTCAATCCCATTGGATTTGTTCCTGTGCTAGTGGATGGCCAGACAGTAATTGCTGACTCTTTTGCCATTATTATGGTTAGTGAGTGATTCCTGATTTCTTCTACTCCCTTCTCCATTATCTCATTTTCTTATTCTGTTCTCACATGCAGTATTTGGAACATAAGTATCCTCAACCTCCTTTGCTACCTCATGATATTCTCAAAAGAGCAATCAATTTCCAGGTACAATTATCACTTTATTTGTTTCAACTTTCATTTCTATATCACATGCCATCTCTTCTAATGATTTCATCCACATCACAGGCTGCTACCATTGTTTCCTCATCTATACAACCTTTTCAAAACTATACTGTAGTGGTACATTTTAAGTGTTTTTCTTTAATAGTGTTACGATATTAGCAGACGTATATAGGGTGTATATCATGTATTATTTTTTATGGTTCTTTTGTATTTGCAGAAGTATATAGGGGAAAAAGTTGGCCCTGATGAAAAACTTCCTTGGACTCAAAGTGTAATAGGAAAAGGCTTTACGGGTGAGGTTTCTCTAACTTGTTCACCATCACTTTAGAGTTTACTTGGAGAAGGTTTTACGAGTGAGTTTTCACTAAGTTGCCTGCTCAGCACATGAGAGAAAATAGAAATAGAGAGACAAAATTCAGGGGTGAAAGATAATGCGAATATTTGAAGTTACACTATTTATTTTCATATACTAGCTTAGTGCCAATGACAACAAGATCTTCGTCTACATAGGTCTTACTCTTCTGTTCCGTGTTACAAATTGCCTAAGCTGCTTCATGACATGATTATTAACCAGGTTTACTGTGGCTAGGTGATAGCTATCATCATCAGAACCTCCCCTATGTTTAGATGAGTGCTCCAATATGTTTGAGAATTTACTGCTTATAACAAGTCATCCCTGCTGTCATAATTAGAACCAAATCAAACAAACCTTTTGATATTGGGTAATGGTCGAACAACCAGGCTTATAATAGCCTAATAGCCCTGGTAGAACGAACAACAGCATTCAGGTCCTGTGCATTTCAAAACCTGTCACGTTAATAGTGGAAGAATTCTTCCATGTGTTAGTTATTTCCAACATTTCAACAGTAAGACATTCTGTCCATATTCTTTAACTTAGGATTTCTGTGTTCATTTAGTTCGTCAAGTATACGAAGTTAGTTAGTTATGTTTTGTCTATAATTGCTTGATTGTTGGTATGTTGCACCATTGCTTTCAATTATGAATACAGAATTCATTTCTAAATTTCTCTAGTCATATGAAATCAATAGAGATTATCTTTTCACTATTCTTCTTGATTATTCAATCCCTTTAAACATCTCTCTGAGAACTGTCAAACATTTATGCTTAACTAAGTTTTTGGTCTCCCATATTTGACCGATTTTTGTGTTGAGTATTCAATAAATTTTTCTTTTAAATTGAGTACTTAAAAACCTAACCATTTTGTTTTAAGTCCTTTATGCATCAGTTTTACTGTCCGTTAAGTTTTTCCATGTGTTACATGATGTTGAGTAAGTCCCATCCATTCCCTATATTAACATGGTAATGCTACTATATGATGGAAAGCAAATTGGCTGTTAAAATGAAAAAATATTGAGGGACTAAAAGAAAAATCTTAAACTATTTCAGAGACTTAAACCAAAATAAATATAAATAAATGTTTCTTTTAGGGACTTATATCAAAATGTTTAATTTATTTAAAAGAAAAATATATTGGGTACTCAAAACAAAGATCCTTCATAAATTAGGGATCTAAAACATATTTAAGCCAACATTTATTTAGAAAAAACTAACTACAGTAACTAACAAACTCAGCTCAATATACAAGAATGAAATTCCAGTTAAGAGGATAAGAACAGATAAGATTGTTTTGCTTCTGTTTTCCAAGTTGTATGCCTCTGTTTATGTTACAAACTAGCTTGTGATCCTAGAATAGCAGATAAGGTTGTTGTTACTTAGCTTATCTCTTTGTGGAGATAAGATTGCTACTTGTTTGATTGGGGGTTCTTGTTGCACATTTTTTTTTGGTTAAGGGTTGGGGCAATGCCCCAAATTAAGCATTTAAAACCTCTAGGGTCCTGCTGTGTTATATACCGTCCTTTGGTTAATCTGAAATTTAACACAAAAAACTGAGATTGTTTTAGGTTAGGATTTATTAAATACTGCAAGCTATTGTACTTGTGTTTCAGCACTTGAAAAACTGTTGAAAGACCATGCAAGAAGATACGCAACTGGAGATGAGATTTTCCTGGTATGTTATAGGTTCATGGTGTTCAATAGAATCAGTTTGCTTCTTTTCCAAGGTCCAGTAACCTAAAAAACTTACTTGACTAGTAATAGCACACATTCCTTTTCCTGGCAACAGGTTATAATGTAATATTTCTACTTATGCTCTGGAGTGCAATTTGAGTGCAGTTCAACTAAAAAGTCAACACAAATTTCTGAAAATTACTAGGGGTAGACATAGCAGCAAGAACTTGTTCTGTATCTTTGTCAGAGTAATGTCTTCAGTTTCATGTGGCACGTCGCCATTTATAATCTAACAGCGATATGATTATCGTTTGCAGGCAGATTTGTTTTTAGCACCTCAGTTAGATGCAGCAATTAAGAGATTCAACGTTGACATGGTATTATTCTGTTCAGTGTGACCCATTTTGGCCTTGTATTTTTTCTACTATGTTCCTAACCAATAGTGTATGCCTAATAGACTTTGGACCTTAGTAATTAGCTCCAACTTCATGTTGGGTGTTTTCTAAATGATTAATTGTCTAATATTCACCCCTTAATGTCCTCCAAGGTATACCATTAATATTCCCAAACTTCATATTGGTTCTCTAGTAGTAAGATTTCTCTAAAGTTCATGACTTTCTGCTTCTTACATCTGATTGTTCATTAGTTGGTAAAGTTCAGTAGGAGAATACAGCAAATAATAGTAAGGAGTTTGAGCAGAACTAGTGAATAACTAGTGTTTATTTTTTATATTGTCAACGAATTAAAAGTCACTTGAGATATAATTTTAATATAATTATAGCTGAAACAATAATCTTACCATAGATAACAGACCATAATTGGATGAGAGTGTAAAAGTATCATACTGTGAGTCCATTAATTAAATCCATATGATTATATCAATGGTATTTTCATATAATATATAAATTCTTTGTTCGTATAATAATATTTGTTGTCTAAATTCGTAGATCTTTATTCCTTTTTTTGTTAAAAACAGAAGGAATTCCCTACTCTCTCCAGATTACACGAGACATATAATGAAATCCCAGCATTTCAGAAGGCTTTGCCAGAGAACCAGCCAGATGCAGTACATTAGTTGAACCAATAATTTGGGAGTGGTAAGTGATCTATAACTACAGCGCCTGGTTCTGTTAATGTGCTGAAGTTAACAAGTCATATTCTACATGATATTATATACATTGTATTTGGCTGTTTATGATATGACTTTGAACACCAATCATTGATCAAATATTAGGTTGGAAATATTGCAGAAGCAGCAACCGATTCAGCATCATTACTTACTCTTGCAATAAAGTTGTAATACACAATATCATGGACAGTGGATGAAGGTGATTTGGTTTGTACGACTAAGAATCCTTGTAATTTTTTCGTCTCATATTGCTACTTGGATACCGCGAGTTCTTAACGATCCACATTGTGACATGTTCCTACGACTTAATTGCATTTTTTGTTCCAGTAAAGCTATCTCCCTCCCCCTAACACATAAAACTTTGCATTGTAGACATTAGAAAATGATTTAAAAAGTTCAGAAATTGAAATATTTTTTTAAGTATTTTGCTTAGTAGTAATTTTAAGGGTTCAAAGAAGGAAAATTTTCGGATGATTTGTTTCTTTATTTATTTGTGGTGAAGTATAAAAGTTTTGTTGAATAGAAGATGTTTGAGAAGGTTCATCGAGATTAGTTCATGAAGGTTTTTAGAAAAAAATGAAAATTTGAAAAGTGAAATAATGGAGAAAGGTGATTGTAAAATAAAAATTTTAAGTACAACTTTTATACAACAATTTCTGAAAACTTAATTTATTTTCATCATACAATTTTATAAATTAATTAAAATATAATTTTATTATATATGTTATTATATAAAAATTATTTAAAATGCATACTAGTTATTAAAAGTGTTCGTTTAACATTAATGCGCACAAAATGCATGTTTGTGTTCCTCGAAAATAAAAAGTTAACAGATCCTAGTTTGTAACTAAGTAATGTACTGTAGTTTGTTAAAATTGCTATAACTTTTTTTCTACAGATTTTGGATATGAAATTACTAATTTAATTATTATTATCATTATTATTATTATATACAATTAACCTTTTATAACTGATAGGATTTGGTAACTTAGATCTGTTTCGATGTTTAGTTATATAATATTAATTAATAATAAACATAATTATATTTTTAGCTTCTAAAAATTGATATAAAATCACTTGGATCTATCAAATATTAAACTAATAATTTCAGTCATAAAACTGAAAAAAAATCCCTAAACATCAATTTGCCTTTGTAACATTCTTCGTCTTACAACAGCAAAGTAAGAAAATTTACATAATACAATAACGCCTTCCCCTTCTACTCCCTCAAAAAATCTACTCCTTTATGAGTTGTTTTATCATAGGATTTTAGTTCTTACTTTGTTTTATCAATCAAATGATAATACGTTAAAATATTTTTTATATTAATTTAAAAATATATATTTTTAATTATAGAAATAATTTTAAGTTTTATTCTTTAATTAATATTTTATTAAATAAATTTAAAAATATTATATTTATTTAAATATCTATTTATTTATTAAAATATCTAATTATAATTATTAATATAAAATTATATAATTAATATTTATAATTAATATTATAATATATTTATATATTTTAATAATATAAAATAAAATATATAATTTTTTTATTTTAATTTATATAAATGATTTTTAAAGATTAACTAGCCGAATAACCCACCTAATCCATGTCTTGTATTGTCAATTAGACTAAAATTATTAATTCATCTTCCAATTTTAAAACAAATTAAAAATTGATCTCTATAAGATCTAATCACCTCCGCGTCTAAAATCTTTTATATATATATATATATATATATATATATATATATATATATATATATATTTAGGTTATAATTTTAAATTATACCAAAATATTATCATAGCTTCATGGATATTGTTAACACTAATAATAATATTCAATGCTAAGGATAAGAATTATTATTAATCTCATCTGATTTAATTAGTTTAAATATAATTTAGTTCGAGAGATTATTTATTTAATCTAAAAAAATAAAGTTTTATTATATTTTAATTATTAATTTTTAATCTAATAATTCAGATAATTTTTTAGATTAAAAAATAAAATAAAAATTTAATTCTTATTTTTAGAGAAAATAGATCTCACTTATACATGATTTTAGTATATAAAATGAGTGAATTTTGATTTTATTCTTACCTTGTTTTTGTAAAATTCAAAATTAAAATTTATTATCTCTAATTTTATATAATATTATAGGCTAAATAAAACATGAATGAATAATTTCAAGGAACAAATTATAGTATTATAATGTAATATCAACCTGTGATATCTCTCTAAAGAAATTCTTCAAAACTATTTATATTATATTTAATATTAGGGATTAAAAATAGTATTTTGAAATTGTGGAGAAATAAAAATAAAAAAATTTCTTTTTACGAGGTTACTAAAAATAATTATTTAAAATTTTGAAGGGACGAAAAATATTTTTCTTACAAAGACCAAAATTAGAAACATATTTAGTCTACAAAAAAAATTCTAATTTGAAATTCTACGTGCTTATAGTACAAAACTACAAGTATTTATAATATAAGATAATCTGTTTAAATTGAATACAACAATCTATTACGAGTCCTAAAATTTTATTTTTGAATATTTTAATGCATTTATATATTAGATGTGAAATTCACATCACTGTTTAAGGGAAAAATGGTATATTTTTATGAAATTAATTATGTAAGAGAATATTCTCTGATTTTTTTGAAAAAAAAAACTATTCCTTTGTAAAATTTAAGATGATATTAATTAACTTTTTATTAATAATATTTTATTTTTTTAATTATATTTATTAATAACAAATAATTTTAAATAAAGAGAATATTAAAATAATAAAAATCTGAAAAATATATTAATAAATTTATCAAAAATGATAAAAATTAATATTTATCTTAATTTATGTAAATATATATGTTTAAAAGAAACGAAAAAATAAAATAAAATGTGTATCATGGTTTTCCACAACGGCAACTAATGTTTGTGAGCTAGCGAAGACTAAATCTAAGGAAGGGATTGAATTTTGGAGCAGAAACATTCAAACAACTAAACTTTTCCACACGTTCAATTCTTTCTTCACTTTAACTTTATAGTCTATGCCTTTCTCACTCAGGATTTAATAAACTTAACTCAACGAGTTTTCAATTTTAACTAGGCTAAATTACTAAAATCTTATAATGGAGAAAGTTTAAAAAATAGGTTAATCTAACAAGTTAAAAAAAAAAAAAAAAAGGAGCATGAAAAGAAAAGATAGATACTGTGAGGAGAGGCAACAGTTGAAGGAATTGAATGGTGCCATAAATGATGAAAATCAAGCAAACCAAAACATGGATGTTACACTGCATTTCATGTCAATAAATTTGCGTGTTCCATCCAAACAGAGCTTAGGTTTAGCCAGCGGAGAGAGAGAGAGAGAGTTGAACGACTACGTCAACGCTGTACACCACGCCACTATCTGTCTCCAGTGTAGTTCGAGTGAGACTAGTTCAATGCAGTCTTCCCCACACTGACACTGACGCCATAACCATTTTCTAACTTGTTAAATAATTTTCTTTTTCTTATTATCCTTCAAATTATTGAAACTTTACTTCTTCTTTTTTTTCACTTAATTATTTCTTTGTTATTAATCAATGATTTTTTGCATTTATATGGAAAGGTAACGTGAAAGAAGTGAATCCAAGTAGTTTCTTGTATTTATTCTTTATTGGAAAAAAATTGTTGAGTAATTAAAGATGCTAAAAAAAATTAATGTAATACAAGATCATAGTAAAAAAGTGTCAAGATAATTTTTTTTCCCAAGAGGTTTCTATCACAAGGAACTAAAAGGAATATGCAAATATCTGAGATTAAGTGACAGAAATCGAGGAGGAAAAACTTTAATCACTTGTACTCTAGTAACATCTCTCATTGACTTCTACTCTCTTAGTTTATTGTTGACTTTTGTTGTGTATAATTAATGTATTGTGAATGAATTGGATGGAAGGAGGATAAGAAACGAGTTTGGTATCCGACGCAGTTAAGCTATCAGAGTGTTGAGGTTTTCAGATACACTGAAGTTGATAATGAGTGAAAGAATATTAGTACTTCTGCTGCTTGTTTTGAATTATTTGTTGGTTGCAGAAGGAGAAACAGCTGATGAGGATTGTGAGTTCTTTCATGGTTATATACCATGTATTTGATTTTTTTTCTTGACCTGTGAATACCATATTTACTATATTATAATGTTCGTTCATTAAATGTTTGTAAACCATAGTAAGTTCAAATGGTAGAGCTAGAAAACATGGAGAGTTAGGATGAACCAATTATTTTCTCTGCACACCTTCACAACAATCAAAACTCTATTCACAAGATTTCAGTTGCAGAATAATATTCTTTTGCTGTAATTGTATGCAGTGGCCACACTTATGTCTCTTGCGAGTACCTGGAAGAACACCCCCCCTGATTGGGTGGGTTCGGATCCTTGTGAAGAGTGGGAAGGAATCAAGTGCAAGAATGCACATGTTACATCAATGTAGTGCCTTTTACTGAATAGTTTTAATTGTTGTTTCCCTCTCCTAAATTTGTTTTTGAGCGATTAACTTGTTTTATTTCAGAACACTAGCAAGTACTGGTTTGGCTGGTCAGCTATCTGGAGATATTGGATCACTATCTGAATTGGAGACTTTGTAAGTATCTTATTTTCAGTATATTCTTGCACCATATCTAATTTAAGGCACACCTGGAGGATGTGAAAACTGTGTGGTAAGTTTCCACCCTGTTATGCTCGGAAAGAAAGCAGTTTTATGATTTGATCTCTTTTGATTCTTGATTTTTCTTTTTCTGCTTAAACTAACTAGTGATTTTTCTCTTAAAGGGATCTATCTTACAACAAGGAGTTGACTGGACCACTTCCACAATCCATGGGGGAGTTGACGAAGCTGTCAACCTTGTAATGCAGAATTGATTGTTAAAACTAGTAACTCAAATCTGAAATAGTTTTGATAAAAAGAGTTCTAACCAAACAGATTCTTTCTCTTTGTCAACAGAATTCTTGTTGGTTGTAACTTCAATGGTCCTATTCCAGACACTATAGGAAATCTTCAAGAGCTCCTCTACTTGTACGATGTTTAACTCATTACTTGCTCTATCTGAAAATTCACTGAATGATGGTTACCTCATTCATGTTCGTTTGTATTTTCTACAAGAGGCTTCTGACATATGATTAGTGTGTCTTTATTTTTAGTTTTAGTATTATACTTGTAGATCTTGAATCCTAGTCTAAATCATTTACTTTGAATTGCAGGTCTTTAAATTCCAATAGCTTTAGTGGACCAATTCCGCCTTCTATTGGTAATCTATCAAAGCTTTATTGGTTAGATTTAGCAGAAAATGAACTTCGAGGGAGCATCCCGGTATCCAGTGGCGACATATCTGGTCTTGATAAGTTACACCATGCAAAACATTTGTAAGTCAATCTCTTTTGCAATAGTTGGCTTACCAATTTTTTCTAAACACATTTCGTTTTACATACTAAAGTTCATCAATACATTTCCATTTTATACAGTCATCTTGGGAAGAATAAACTCTCAGGCACTATCCATCCTCAACTTTTTAGCTCGGAAATGGCTTTGATTCATTTGTAAGAACTGTTCTAACATTTTTCACGTACAATCTGTCAATATAATTGAACACGTGTAGCATTAGCCTGCATTGAATTGTGTACAAAACAGGTACAAACTTCTCCAATAGTGAAGTGCACTAGTTGCCACAAGCTCATGATTAAACACATCTGTTTCTTTTTTTTCTGCTGGGGCGTTTTTATTATTTGATTCCCTCTTCCATAATTGGTGCATGAATGTATTGTTGAAGTATCTAGATTTATTTTGTAGACAAGAACATCTTCATTGTTTCAGCCATCCATGTAAAATACATACCTGTCATGCTGAAAATCTTCTTGGGCAGGCTTTTGGAGAGTAATGAACTCGAAGGCCACATTCCATCTACACTTGCACTAGTCAAGAGTCTGGAGGTTGTGTAAGTGTCTTCTTCATCATTCCTCAAACAAGTTCATGACTTTTTTTCTGCTCTTGGCATTAATATACTTTTGTGTGTATAGGCGTTTAGATAATAATTCATTTAATGGATCTGTGCCCTCAAACATCAAGAATCTTACGAATGTTCGAGATCTGTAAGCAAACATGGAGAACATGTGAAACATTTACTTTCTCTGTACGCACACTTTTACGTGAAAAGTTAACTTAATGCATTTCAGGTACTTGTCCAACAATAAATTCTCAGGGTCCCTGCCAGACCTTACTGGAATGAATGCCCTCAACTTCCTGTAAATTTCAAAGCATTTAGCTGTGATAGTTATGTTGCAACTGTCGTTAGTCGTTACTATCGTTCTGTATCCTCTGTTCATTCAGTGTTTTTTCTACCTTGTGTAATAGTGAGTAAGGAACTTCTTTAATCTATTTTGAAGGGACATGAGCAACAATAGTTTTGAACCATTGGATTTTCCAGGATGGTTTTCAACTCTGGAGTCCTTAACAACATTGTATGTCTTTCAATGTGCACTTCTTTGACCTTTCACCTTCTTTTCTCTACTTTCGAGAGTGAAATTCAGTTACACAGTTAGCTCTTGTTTTTCATGGCAGAAAGATGCAACGAACACAACTTCAAGGACAGGTTCCTACTTCTTTATTTGAACTTGCAAATTTACAGACTGTGTAAGTACACCTGTCTTTTGAGTCTCATGACTAGGGTAACAAGAACTGAGAGTTCATGCTAAGCAATAGTCTTTATATACTAATCTTCCTTGAAATGGTAATATATATTATTTATATCCTAACATCTGACCATAGGGTGCTAAAAGACAACAAAATAAATGGAACCTTGGATGTCGGCTCCTCCTACAGCAACCGGCTGCGACTTGTTGATTTGGAGACTAATTCAATTGAAATCTTTAAGCAAAATGATGCAGTTCCAAATGTCAAGATAATGTAAGCCATTTGTTTCAATGGTTGCTGAATTTATTGCATGTCATTGCATAGATTGGTAATTTGAATAGTTTTATAAGGTGTTCCATTTTTCTGCGATTGTAGTTTGAGATTTGCACCTTTGGTTTCACTTGGCCTCATTTTAACTGCACTTTTCCCTGCAGACTTAAAGATAACCCAATTTGCCAAGAATCTGATGAACAAGGGAGCTACTGCTCCTCTTCTCTATCCAATGTCTCGTATTCAACACCATCAAATAACTGTAAACCTGGTACCTGCAGTTCAGAACAGATTTCGAGTCCCAACTGTATATGCGCATATCCGTATACTGGAACCTTAGCTTTTAGGTCAGCTTCCTTTTCGGACTTGGATAACATAACATACTACTCAACCCTTGAGGAGTATCTCATGCGGTCTTTTAAGTCTCATTTTGAACCTGTGGATTCGGTTTTGTTGAGCCATCCACGTAAGGATTCAACTCAGTATCTCAAACTGAATTTACAAGTCTTCCCATCAGGACAAGATCATTTCAATAGAACAGGGACTTTAAGCATTGGTTTTATGCTAAGCAACCAGACTTTCAAGCCTCCTACAGATTTTGGACCATTTTATTTTCTTGCAGATAGATATGAACACTTTGGGAACTATGGTAAATATTTTTCGCACAAAGTTGGAATAAAATTATAGTACTAATTGCTCCTTTTTAAGATAATCTTTCTCTCAACCTTTCTTGTCATGTAGAAGGATTGACTGAATCGGGTAAAACTGTAAACATTGGAATCATAATTGGGGCAGCAGTTGGTGGTTTGGTCTTGCTAGTGTTATTAGTCTTAGCTGGTCTTTATGCTTTCCGCCAGAAGAAAAGGGCCGAAAAAGCGATTGGGCAAAGCAATCCTTTTAGTAATATATAGCTCTATTCTTATCTCCTGCATTCTAATCATTCACATGGAATTGATTTAATTAACATGCTTAAATTTCACAAAATGCAGGACGCTGGGATACGGTTGATGACAAGAGTGCATCCCCTCAGTTGAAAGAAGCAAAGATGTTCTCTTTTGAAGACCTTAAAAAATACACCAAAAATTTTTCTCCAGCCAATGACATTGGATCTGGAGGTTTTGGGAAGGTATTGAATCTTACTTTCAAGCTTAAATGTGATTGTACCTTATGTGCTTTTATGCCTCTAAAAAAATTCATTATAGTGGAAAACAAGTATGATGACACAGTTAAGCATTGCATAACATGAAGCTTGTTCTAAGTTCATCTGTATTTATAGTATATAAACCAACTTTGTAACGTGTAAATGTCTACACAGGTTTACAAGGGAACCCTTCCCAATGGACAAGTGATAGCAATAAAAAGAGCTCAAAAAGACTCTATGCAGGGAAAGCTTGAGTTTAAAGCGGAGATTGAACTTCTATCAAGGGTTCACCATAAGAATCTTGTCAGCCTTTTGGGCTTCTGCTTTGACCAAGGAGAGCAAATGCTGGTTTATGAGTATGTTCTAAATGGAAGTTTAAAGGAGGCTCTCTCAGGTATACTTGTCCTCCAGCTTAGCTTAATCAAAGTTTGGTCCCATTTTTCATACAGCTTCATTGCAGTACTGGACTATAACTGTCTTGCAAAGTTGCATCCATTTCTTTATAATATTCAACTCTATTATTAGTGGCATGACCAATGCTAAAAAATTACTAAATGTTTATTCTATGTAATAATGCCCCTTTGTGAAGCTCATTATTATTATTAAAGGAAAATTATAAATCGACTAACATGGTTGAAAATGAGAACACATACTCTTCATTTTTTCATATTACTCACTTTTATTGAACTATTGCATATTCCCCCATCTTTCTCTATCATCTTTGATATACTACTCGTTGGACCTACAGAAAGGACTGCTACTGAGTGAGATGTGATAGATTTGTAACTCAATTTTCTTGTACCTGATAACACGAATGTGGTCTATGCAGGGAAGTCAGGAATAAGATTAGACTGGATTAGAAGGTTAAAAGTTGCCCTTGGTACTGCCCGGGGTTTGGCTTATCTCCACGAACTTGTTAATCCTCCCATCATACATAGGGACATCAAATCAAACAATATTTTGCTGGATGACCGCCTAAATGCCAAAGTTGCTGATTTTGGTCTCTCCAAGTCTATGGTTGATTCTGAAAAAGATCATGTTACCACTCAGGTTAAGGGAACAATGGTGAGTATAATATCTTCCCAACCTTCACAGTTTACACAGTAAAAAAAAGTGAGAACATCTTTTTTGGCATTACTAATTAACAGAGTCCGTAACGCAACTCACATGAAAACAAGGAAAACACATCCAATAGCAAAAATAATACGTTGGTAACCCAGAAAATGTATGTATTTGAATGCTAATAATGGAGTACTTTTGCTTGTGATGTAGGGTTACTTGGATCCAGAGTATTATATGTCTCAACAACTGACAGAGAAGAGTGACGTCTATAGCTTTGGAGTACTGATGTTGGAGCTGATATCTGCAAGAAGGCCATTGGAACGAGGGAAGTATATTGTGAAAGAGTTTAGAAATGCACTGGATAGGACAAAAGGCTTATACGGTCTTCATGAATATATTGACCCAGCCATTGGATCATCATCCACAACACTGGTCGGTTTTGACAAGTTTGTGAATTTGACCTTGAAATGTGTTGAAGAGTCGGGTGAAGGAAGGCCTAAAATGAGTGAAGTGGTAAGCGAGATCGAGAACATATTGAAGTCAGCTGGTGCCAACCCTACTGAGGAATCACCCTCCATCTCTTCTAGCTATGAAGAGGTAAGCCGAGGGAGTTCCAGCCATCCTTATAACAGCAACGACACCTTTGATTTGAGTGCAGGGTTTCCATATCCAAAAGTAGACGCTAGCTAAGTAGTAGTCAATGATTAAGTACCTCAAATCCAAGCCAAAATTGTTTATATATTAAGTATGTTAGTTTACCAAATGTTGATCCAGTGTGTGCATAGCTGCATGTTAGCTTGAGAAATGGACAAGTTGGTTGTGAGTATGTTGCTGACATGCCTTCTTCTTTTGTGAGGAGTCTTCATTTTGAGCTGTATTAATTTCCTGGCTTTATTCTTCCCCAAAGGCTTGGAAGAGAAAGGCAAAAAGGGTGATCCAATGTTTATGTAAGTTGCAGACAATGATAAGTGTTGTGGTAATATGTCATTTTGACGAAATTCCGGGGAGTAAATTATTCTGTAAAATATCCAAAGGCTATTAAACTTAAGAACATACAAAATCGAATATACAAATCACTCTCATAAGTTAATAAGTTAACGACTGCAAGCTGGATAGGATACAAACTCTCAAATTTTATGCATGATTGCAAAGTATCACTTGCATTCATAATTCTCTCAACCAATCTGTAGTTGTACTGCTATACACACAGTTTTTTGTTCCGTCTAAGAAGTTGCCTCCAAATTGGGATAAAATGCCATGCCTGCCTTTGTTTTTTATTAGCAGGGGATACTCTGTCTATAAAACTGAACTGATTACTTATGGAAAGAAACAAAAGGTTGGAGAGTCTCAGAGCAGGAAGATGAGCAAGAAAACTACTCTTCGGTACAAGATGGAAAGGTCTGATCAGTAAAAAAAAAATCCTTTATATTCTTCTACGGACTTTGAACATAGGTTAAAAATGACTTGTTGTATCCCACCTTTAATGCCAAGAAGCCCGCATGAAATCTCCTTCGTGTCTTCTTCTGACGAGAAGCACCCATTCAGAGATTAAGCATGAGCATTTGTATTTTAGTCTTGCAGATAAGGGGCGGTTTAGGTTTAATAGATTTCAGCACAAGCATATCAAATCCAAATCATTATATAAGCAATCTATTACGTATTAAGTATTCACACGATAACACTAATAGAAAGAGAAGGCCATAAAACCCACCTCAAAGCAAAGTCCACATAGCAACCGAATTCGAATTAATATACAGAAAACATAATATTCCATCCGCGATGATAAAGTATAGTGATGAAGATGATGATGATCCGATAGTATTAATTGATTAATTAATTGAATTAACCTCTAGCCTTGAGTTCCGCAAGGCGGCGAGACAAATCGTCCTCGTCAACCTTGTCGGCTTCCTTGGCCGGAACGGCGTGAGCGGCGGGCTGAGGGAGGCCAACGGAGACCTCGAGACCGTAGTCGTCGGCAACCTGCTGCATGAGGCTGTTGACCTCTCCTTCGGGAGTGGAGAGAGAGGTGGATCCGGCCATGGCGCTCTCCATGAACTCTGCCTGGACCTCCATGTTCACGAACTGCTTCTCAAACTGGTCCATCGTCTCCGACATCTTCTGCAGGTTCCCCGTCGCCAACGACGACTCCAGCGATTTCACGATGTTCCCCATCGACTTGCTGATTGTCGTCATCTTCGCCTGCGTGTCCAGACGCGCCACCACGGCATCGAGGCGCGAGGCCAGGCGGAGGTAGTTCATCTGCTCCGTGCGCTTCCGAATTGCGTTCTCCGCGTAGATCCGCGCACCGTCCATGTTGCCTTTCTCGATCGCCTTCTTCACCTTGAGCTTCTCCGCTTTCTCCTCCTTCTCACACTTGCGCGATTGACGCTGCAGCGACTTCGACGTGAATTTCAACTCCATGATCTGGTTCATCAGCTTCTCCGTGTTCCCCATCGTCACGCTTCGCTTAGCTTAGGGCTTTTCTATTAGGGCTTTTCGATTCCCAACAGAGAAAGAGAAAGAGAGAGAGAGAAGAGGAATGGAATTTCGAAATTGTGAAGCACTGGTGTGGAAAAATATAAATAACAGACGAAACATATTTCGTTAGTGTGGTTCAGTATTTATTTATTTATTTATTTTTAATATTTCAAACTTGAATTTTTATAATTATCTGTTTTAAGAAAGCATGTATATTGAAAATGCATTTGTTTTGTTTCTCGTTTTTTTTTATTATGTGTACTGGAGTATTTTGTTTTTTATTCCATGATCGATAACAAAATATTTTTCTTATGTCTTCTAGCATTGAGATTAGAACTTAAGAATTCACACAAACTATTTAACCTCTCATCACTATATCCTGTAAAGCCAAAAATACAAAAATATAGATGAAGCAATTTTTTATAATTTCTAAAAATATTAAAATTCAAAATTAGTCTACACAAGTAAGATCTGTTTGTCACTAATCTTTGGATGGATAATAACATTAATTTTCATTGAGTCATGTAAAATAATAACTCATTTGTTTTCTATAAGAGGGTCTAAATTGAAAAGTTTAAAAAATATGATTTTATTTTATTTTCTTAAATAATATATTGAAGCGAGGAAAAATATAATTTAGATCAATGTTGTATTTCTTTTTCTCAATCTCGTTTAATCATATGTTTTCCTTCAATTTTTCTCTATAATATAAAATAATAAAAAATATTATTTTTTTCTTATTTCTCCAATCATATGTTTTTTTGTTGGTTTTTCTCTCTTTTTGAAATTTTAATTCACGTTTATTTATTTCAACCAATTCATAATTTTAGAAATAAACATTTATATTTAAAATTAATATGTACATTAAATTTTAATAAATTAAACTAAAAATACAAATACAGGACATGTGTGTTTGTATTTTCGCTAATATGAATAATTTGAAAGAAATCTTTTTACTACTATTTTTTTTTTCACCTTCTTGATTTTTTTTCTTTTCTTCTTGAATATCTTTTCATTTTTCTTATTTTCTATTAGAAAACAAGGAGCAAAACAAAATATCTAATATTATAAAGTTAAAGAGTTAATTTTGTCCTATACAAATATTGCCATTAATGTAAACTATTCAAGCAAGTAACATTGCTAATATAATAAAAATTATATTAATGTACTTATGATTTTTACATATATTAAAAATTAAGATTAAGAATAATATATAAACACTTTTTTTTCTAAATCTTAATGTTCTTTTAACAATTTAAAAAATATATTTTATACATAATAATATTATTATAGTATATTTAACGACAAGACATTTTAGTTATTATAATGGATAATTAATATTAATTATTATTATTATTATTATAATATACTTAAGGTAGAATATTCTTTATTCTTTGACAAAAATAACTTTAAATAAAAAATCAATCGAATAGATATTTTAAGTATCACTACCTATCAATTATACGTTTTAAATAATTAATTCAAATGGTTAAATAATGAGGTAGCGTGAGTATTGTAATAATTTTCTTGATCTGTGAATTCTAAAAATAAGATGTTCTCTGAAACTTGATAACATATTAACATGTTAAGATTAATACAGTTCTGAAGCCACATTTAAAGTTTTAAATTTTGTAAATTGATTGAAGTTTGAAATAAATTAGCAGTGATTAACATAAACAAAAGAAGCATGATGATTTGAAATTCCAAATATGGCAAGGTTGTCTGCAAGAGAATTAACTATGTTCAATGTGAGGCATCTTAAGTTGCTATTTAAGACATTCTTACAGAGGTTAGTGGTGATAACTAGAAACAAGTTAAGACAGTCTGTCTCATAACAATATTTTTTTATGTTCCAGCTGTCATGCATGAAGGACTCATTCTGCAGTCATTCACACGTAAGACTCCCTCAATAATACCCATTCATGTTATCTCAAAATATTCAACTTTTTGTCTGATTATAGTATAAAATAAAGATATTATTATAATACATGTTTATACAAATAATTATTGACTTCCAAAACCGCGAAATTAGCCTTTGATTTGATTACCATTAAAAGCGAAAACAGAGGCTAAAGGGTTCTTTCTAGCCTTCTGAGCTGTAATATGTAAAGCACAAACTTAAATCTATGAATATATTGGATGCTAACGATGACCATTAATACTATACTTGGTTACACTCACTTTCTTTCCAACTTTACAAAGGAATCAAATTTCACCTTCACTAGGACATGCTTGAGCTAAGTTTTTAAGGTTTTCAATGATCATAACTAGTTTGGTGTTAAATCGATTCACAAAGCACTTTGGCAGCCATCCTGCAGGATCCAACTGCAAACAAAACCAAACAAAGACAAAGCAGTGAGAGGTTGTGTTAATCAGGAATGCAAACAAGCTTTTTATTCTGTGATTTTTTTGTTTACCTGAACAACGTAAGTGACCACACATGAATCATTTTCAAGCTTCTCCACCACCCACCCTGACTGAAGCAACAGTCCTCTGATTGCATTACTTTGCTTCGGATGTAACCCTGCAGCTATTTCCTTTGGCAGTGAAGCAACTGCTACCACCTGTAACACCCCATTAACATTTTTTGTTCAGTGCATTTACTTTCATATTTCTTCTGTAATAGGTACTTGCAAGAACAAGTTTTTTAAGTTTTGATTGGTAGGAGGATCTTTTAGTACTAACCAAGGTGCCATCTTCCATGGTTTCACGGCGTTCATAGACAATGAATTCCCTATTCCTGAAGAGAGGCTTTGAGTTATCTCCAAACCTGAGGCGAATTATGCTGAGGTTGACTTCAAGATCTTTTATGTACCTGGCTTCAACCAGATCAGAATCCCATTGCTGGCTTAATAAAATAATAAAAAACCAAGATCAGAATGTGATCAGGAAATAGCTATTCTGCAGTTTCAAATGTTAATGGCTTGATCAAATTGAACCCCCATGACAAGGAACAAGCTATTCGCAAGCTTAACCTAATGTACAAAGAGGAGGAATAAAAAAGAAAGTAAAAGACAAGAAATCGTGCAATTTTTTTGTTATTCCTTGGATGTCAGCCACAAACTAAAAAATAAAGATAGGATTAAGGACAATGCTAAAGACAAAAGTTTTCTTTTCAAGATGCTCGATGAGAATCTAATCCTCTTAACTCTCCTCTCTATGGTTTACTTTTTTTTTTCTCTTTTCCGTTTATTCACATTCACCTCTCTTGGAAAATATTACTTTATTTTCTCCCTTTACATGAGAAAATTGATATTCACCTTTGCAGCATCAATGGCATTGGCCACTGTGATGAACTGTTGGGGAGAGACGGATCTAAGAACCCAACGACTGCGAAAGGTGTGGAGTGAGCCTGACCTGCGTTTTGATATCTCCACTCCATTGTCAAGAGTTAGAACCTTCCATTCATCATTGCCATTTCCTCTGTTTGTGTCTGAAGCTGCCAATAACTCTTGTATACAGCTTTCACTCGCAAACTGCACATACCTTCTTAGGGAGTCTTCGCTAATGGACCTTTAACAAAATCATGGTGAGAGAGAGAGTCATAATTTTTTGAACAAAGAAAAGTCATAACAAGATGGAACAAAATGCTCACTGCATGTCTCAAAAACAACAGAAAATAAGACTGAGCCGCGTACTATGTGGCTCTCTCAAAGAAAAATATTTCTCATGAGAAATGAAAATGCTGAGTTTAGTTTGGTATTCACCAGGATCGACTGCAAGGTGCAGGGCTGCTGCTCATCGTGGCTGGAATGAGGGTATCAATTGCCTACGTGCTGAATTCTTTATGACAATAAAACACTTGATAAATTGAAAGGCGTATACATTTATATATATTTATACATGTGTACATGTAGAAGAGAGAGGATTGTGTTGTGTGGTGTGATGATATGAGTGGTTTAAAGAGAGGTTGAGCAGTGCAAAATAATATGAAGTGGGCAGAGGTGATTGCTGCACATGCAGTGCCAGAGGAACCTTACATGATTAGAGCAATAACCCTCTCTCTAGATAAAAGATAGATTCTTTTCTTCCAAAAAAGCAGCAAGAATGAGGGAAGAAAATATGATGCACATGGAATGTTGGTGGCTTTTGGGAGGGGAACAAAACATTGGAAAAGAAAAATACAAGAAATTCATCCACAGAGTAGAGAGTTATATATATTATTACATATAGCAAATCATAAAAACAAGAAGATTAGATAGCAAAGCTGGGAATTTCCAACACCATACATTGTTTAACTAAGGAATTTGGAGGTAGAAAGACATAATCACACTTGATTGTTTCAACCTATGGTGCATGGTTTATACATACGAAAAGAGCGTATTTTATGGTCGTTTATTGTGGTGTTAACTCCAAAGGAGAATCCCTATCACTTTCCAATCTGAGGCCCCAGTCACGTGCCATGATAGTTGATAGAGCTGGATTGCATTTCAAACAGCAAGGCATGCAGAAGGGGTCCCAATGAACTCTTTGGCACGGTATTTGGGATTGTCCTTAGCGTAACGTTAGGTGCAGTACCAACAACTAACTTCCCATTCTATTTCACCAAAAACCTCTTTCCTACACTGTATCTACAGTCTTTGGCTTTTATTTTCTATTATATACTATACCACATATATGCTTCTGATATGTGACCACACTTGTGTTGAATTCCACATGCTCTAGTTTGTGGAGCAGTTAAAGACCAAAGTGGGCACCGAGTAGTGCTCCTTTTTCACACTTGTGCCATGGTAAGTGATGTACATGTGTGCAATGCTGGTTTCTTTCACAAAAGACACCCCAAAGTATGATGAAAGCAAGAAACTGATCCATTTAGATACGTCTTCTATGATTTCGTTACATTCATTATTACATCCACCTTATCAAATATATAATAAATAAAAGAGTAGTTATTTTTATTTGAATTAATTTGAGTGTAACCTGTTTTGTAGTTCTTGTTAGAAGTAGCATACCAGAACAATTTAGCAGAACAAAAGTACACGAATAGTTTTAAAAAGGAACAGAATTTTATGTAACATGTGACAACTGTAACTTGAAAATAGAATATGGTATGGTATAGGGTAAAGGAGGTTCAACTTGGTTCATGCTTGATTAGATAAATTATGAGATTTTGTATTGATCTATGAATCCAGGTTGTCCTGTTTCCAACATGAGGCACATTGACAACTGATCTTGCCTTGAAATGCCAAGTAAAATTACAAAAGCATTTATTTCAAAGCAAATCATAGGACTGCTTTTCTCCAATCCAATCATTGCCCATATATCAACAAAAGAAGAGAACAGGTGGGGATAGAAGAATTTTTAATGTGAAGTTTAATTATTATTCCTAACAAGAACGGGATGTGTATAAGGATCATGACCCTCATCAAGTCAAGATGATTCACTTAAAGGCAATACCCAAGATAATACTAAAAAGGAGATCAACTTTTGCTTTCCATGCTTCAAACCCAAAAATGTAACACAATGCTCAATGACCTGAAACTGCAAACTAATGTTACCATCTGACCCAGCAAGAAGTTGAAGTCACCAAATTTATCCTGAATGGTGCAAGATCAAATTTGGGAAAGAAAAAATGGAGGATCATGTCATGGATACTCTTCCTTTCTCCAACATGTTATAATGGTTAAACCAACAACTACAGTATTATGAATATTTCACTGTATTCTCAAGTCAGAGAAGAAATTGCCAAAAGGACAGAAAATATTCGCATAACAAAAAAGAGAGAGAAAATACATTCAACACACCCCTCCCCCACTATCCAATAAAACTCATCCTATATAATTATGTGTTGTCACACACGAATCCTTTCAAACGTGAATTCGGTGTCCTTGTCCTGGTGCTCCTTTTGATTCTCACCTCTTTAGGATCACTTGCCACGTGTACTGCTCCACTAACAGTGGTTATTTCCTTAATTGCGCCTGTTGCTTCTTCATCTCTTACATTTCCTCCTCCATTAAAATCAACCTTGCCCTCAAGGTTGAAATCTGGATAGTTTATCTTGATCACATCATAATCTTCCCACGTGGCCTGAGACTCATTGAAGTCTTCCCATTTCAAGAGAACTTGATTCACTAGTTGTCCTCTTCTAAGAATGCAGAGTGACTGCAATATTGAAATGGGTTGCATAATAGGTCTAATCTCATTAGTGATCATGGGCAGGGGACATAAGGTCGATTATGATCACCATGACAGGGTTTCAATTGTGAGCAATGAATAACTGGATGAATCTTAGCAGAACCTGGTAGTAATAACTTGTAAGCTACTTGGCCAATACGTTGAATGATCGGAAATGGTCCAAAATATTTTAATCCCAGCTTTTGATTCTTTCTCAGAGCTAAAGAATTTTGTCTATAAGGTTGCAACTTGACTAAGACCATATCTCCAATCTTGAATTCCACTTCTCGTCGCTTTTTGGTCAGCAACCTTTTTCATACGCTGTTATGCCTTAATCAAATTTTGTTTTAATTGTGCCAAAATGACATCACGTTGTTGCAACAATTCCTGAATGTCAGTTGAAGTGTTGGATTTGGAATCATATTCCGGCACTAGGGGAGGGTCTCTTCCATATACTATTTTAAATTGTGTCATTTTAGTGCTGCTATGATAGGCCGTATTATACCAGAATTCTGCCCATGATAAGAACTTTGTCCACGCCTTAGGATTCTCATAGGTAAAGCAACGTAAATACATTTCTATGCAGCGATTTACAGCCTTTGATTGACCATCGGATTGTGGGTGATAAGTTGTACTCATAGCTAGACTTGTGCCACTCAATTTGAACAATTGTTTCCAAAAGTGACTTGTAAAAGTCTTGTCTCTGTCTGAAACAATTGTTTTTGGGAAACCATGGAGTTTAACCACTGTTTTCATGAATAATTCAGCAACCTGGGTGCTTGTATAACTAGATTTAAGAGTGGCAAAGTGAGCATATTTTGAAAGTATGTCCACTACAACTAAAATTACCGTGAACCCGTTTGATGGTGGAAGTCCTGTGATAAAATTCATGGCTATATCATCCCATATCTGATTGGGAATGGGTAAGGGTTGCAAAAGTCCTGCAGGAAGTGTATTGGAGGCCTTTGCTTGTTGACAAATAAGGCAATTCTTGACATACTTTGTAATTTCCTTGTGCATACCCTTCCAATGAAATTGAGCTGCAATACGTGCCATCGTACGGGCTATTCCAGTATGTCCCCCCAATGGAGAAGAATGAAACTCATGGAGCATTTGTTGCGTGATGGTATGATTTTGTGGAAGGACTATCCTCCCATTCCAGTATAACAATTCATCATGAACTGAACAAAGAGGATGTGGTGGTTTTCCATTTATACAATTATCTTTAATGGACCTCAATTCCTCTTCCTCCGAGATGGAAGTCTTTATGGAATGGATCAGCTCCGATTGAGGTTGTGACCATGCCATTAAGAAGGACCTTGACAGAGCATCTGCTGGAATATTATCCTTACCTGACTTATATTCAACTATGAAATCATAGCCAAGCAATTTATGTAACCAGGCCTGCTGCTCTGGTGTCTGTATAACTTGCTCTGTAATGCTTCTTAAGCTCCTCTGATCTGTCCTTATAATGAATTTGTGTCCCAAAAGATAATGACGAAACTTAGCAATGGCTTCTGTAATGGCATATAGCTCACGTGTATATGCAGATTTCTTTTGCAAGCGCGGTGTTAACTTCTTTGAGAAAAATGCAAGTGGATGATTATTTTGACTAAGGACTGCTCTTATGCCAATACCCGATGCATCTGTTTCGATAACAAATTGTTGAGAAAAATTAGGCAGAGCTAAGACTGGGGCATTTGTCAAAGTAATCTTAAGCTTGTTGAAAGCATCAGCTGCCACTGGATTCCAAAGAAAACTATCTTTCTTCAATAATTGTGTAAGAGGAGCTGCTATGGTAGCATATCCTTGAATAAATTTGCGATAATAACCAGTAAATCCAAGGAACCCACATAATTGCTTCAAGTTTTGAGGTTGGGGCCAATCTAACACGGCTTGCACTTTTGAAACATCCACTGCCACGCCTTTACTTGATACTGTATGACCAAGATAATCCACTTGTTTCAACCCAAAGGAGCATTTTGAAAGTTTAGCATATAATTGGTGTTGCCTAAGTGTTTGCAAAACAATTTTCAGATGATGTAAATGAGCAGTCCAAGTAGAGCTATATACCAATATATCATCAAAGAAGACCAAAACAAATTTGCGTAACAGTCCTTGAAAAATATTATTCATCAATGATTGAAAGGTAGCCGGTGCATTTGTAAGGCCAAAGAGCATAACAACCCACTCATAATGGTCATGATGAGTTCTAAAAGCTGTCTTGAAACTGTCCTCCTCCTTTAACAATATTTGGTGATACCCCGATCTCAAATCTAGCTTTGAAAAATATTGGGCTCCAAATAATTCATCAAGCAACTCATCTACGGTAGGAATTGGAAAAGAATCCTTAATAGTAATGACATTTAAAGCCCTGTAATCAGTGCAAAACCTCCATTGTCCATCCTTTTTTTTTACAAGAACAATAGGAGAGGAGAAGGAACTATTACTTGGCATGATAAGTCCTTCTTGCAGCATATCATTAACCATTTTTTCTATTTGTGCCTTTTGACTATGAGGGTACCGATATGGTCGTACCTTAACTGGTTGTGCATCAGGAATCAATGAGATGGAGTGATCATGAGTTCTACTTGGAGGCAATCCTTGCGGAGCTGAGAACACATCCTTGTATGAGTGCAACAACAAAGCCAAATCTGGTTCTACATTATCTGGTATTTGTAACCATTGATCATCAACACAATAAGGGGCCTCCAATTGCATGGTGAAAACTTCTGAAATAGCATGAGTCTTATACATGCGGCGTATGTGGTTAAATTGGGCTTGATCAGGAAGCCTTGGTTTGTCTCCATGCAAGGTGATAAATTTTCCATTTGAATAAAACTTCAATGACAAAGCACTGTAGTCTGAAACATGTGGGCCCAAGGTGGCCAGCCATGCAGCACCAAGCACTAAATCAGCACCTGAAACAGGTAAAAGATAAACGGGTAACTTTAAAGAGTGACCCTGAATCATGACTTCCATATTTCTCACCATCAATCGTGTGTTTTCCGCCATAGTCACTTGTTCGTTGATGAAAGCACCAAATGTTATAATGGTTAAACCAACAACTGCAATATTATGAATATTTCACTGTATTCTCAAGTCAGAGAAGAAATTGTCAAAAGGACAGAAAATATTGGCATAACAGAAAAGAGAGAGAAAATACATTCAACACACCCCTCCCCCACTATCCAATAAAACCCATCCTATATAATTATTTGTTGTCACACACGAATCCTTTCAAACGTGAATTCGGTGTCCTTGTCCTGGTGCTCCTTTTGATTCTCACCTCTTTAGGATCACTTGTCACGTGTACTGCTCCACTACCAGTGGTTATTTCCTTAATTGCCCCTGTTGCTTCTTCATCTCTTACACAACACTAATAAGCCTTAATTCCCTTAAAAAGACCAATGACCTACTAAATGGGGAGTTGAAACCAACCTCTCCCTTGACAAGTGAAACAGCCCCATGGTCAATTGGAATACAATCACTATCTTTGAATTCTTCCTCCACAACCACCTTATTTATGTTACATAATAGTTCACACATAACATAAGTCCAGTGGGAACCTAGAACATGACTTTGGAACCTTGTAAGTTGTTGGCTACTACCCACACATGGTTCTGTTGGATATATATGCACAGACCAATAATGTAGATGAAGTCCCACTAACCAAAAGGTGGGACTCGGGACTATTACACATGATAATGAGGGCTAAAAACCACCATTATGCTACTCTTCACAAAGTGTTTTATTTTTCACTTTTAGTTGCAATAAAGTCACTATTTTTTTTCTTTTAATCAACTGTATATAGCAAAAGAGAAAATGAAAACAATACTCTATACAAACTTTTTAAATTAACAAACAAGTGAAAGCAAAGTAACAAGTTGTAATCATATATATATATATAACATGAGTTTCATATAACTTGTATAATTCTGCGTGTTTATTTTTTTTTTCTCCTTTCATCATGATTACAAAAATAGACCGGATTCCAAAAATCAGTTCTTAATTTTATTTGAATTGGTATGAAATTGGAAAAGTCAAACTAAAATGGTAGAATTGATAAACCGATAGAGTCAAAGGGTAAGAGTGTAATCGATTTTGAAATTCCTTTTCAAAGATAATATATTTTGAATTTTTTGTTACTTCACTTGTCTCACTATTTCTACTAATTTCTTATATGACCTTTAATGTAACATCCAACTATGACGGCCACTTTCGACACTTTATGACCATGACAATGGAGAAAAAAAGTTCACACATGATTCATATATTTTATTTAGTTATATATTTTGTATTTTGCTATTGTACTATTTGTACACTGCATATACAACAAATACCAACTCTCAGTAATTGAAAGAATGAATTTAGATATTGTTATTAGGGGGTTTAAATAGCAAGAAGGGTTGCCAATGGGAAAGCTCCAGTCCACAAGTTGAGTCCAATATTGTTCTTGTTTTCATGAAAGCTTAGCCCAGGCCCAGGTCCAGGCCCATTCAAATTGAATAACAGCAAATAGGGAACACGTAACTACCCACAAAACCACAAAATGCAAAACAAATTATTATTCATTTATTTATTCTTTGTAATTAATCGGTATTTGGAATTGGTGGCTAAGGATGAGAACGGACGAAGCAGGGATGAATGACGAGGGAGGAAAGAAGCAGAAACGATGAGACTGATTGGACAAAGACTGAAGCTGATGAATTAGCAGAATTATAATGATAATAATATGAAACTGAAAGCGCTTCCATCGTCGCGTAATTCCTTTGTAGTAGGTGCTGATTGCAATCACAATGCTTCTTCTTCTCCATCTTGTCACAGGAAAAGCATCATCATACTCGCCAACAAAAGCAAGAAACACCACGAGAGTCAGGCTTCCGAACCTCCAAGAATCACGTCAAACGTCAAGCAAAACCTCCGCTTCCTGAAGCTATGGAAGGTAACCTAACTTCACGCAATTTGCCCCTACTTCACCCTCGTATGCATACTCATTTCTACTGTTGTGTCTGATTCCATAGAGCTTCCAAAATAGAAATTCTGCTACTCCTAGACCTTCAACCAGTTACCGCAAGAAGAAGGTGGAGAAGGATGAGGATGTTGTAGACACCGACCTCTATCGTGATCCCACCTCCTCTCTCTACTAGTACCTCCTCAATCAATTCTAACACCAGCGTACCTTAAAGTTTCTTTCGCTCAAAATTATCTTTAAATATAACATCTAATGTATTCCGCAGTACAAACCAGATGGGTATGGACAATGCCGTCCCTGTATTGCTTGTGGATGGCTATAACGTGTGTGGCTATTGGATGAAGCTCAAGAAACATTTCATGAAAGGAAGACTTGATATTGCTCGTCAAAAGCTAATTGACGAGCTTGTAACCTTTAGCATGCTTAGAGGTCCCTCTCTCTATCTCTTATTTACCTATCAATCCCCACATTCCAACTCTTGTTTTATCTCGAACTTTAAACATCTTTTTATTTCTACAGAGGTCAAAGTGGCTGTTGTCTTTGATGCAATGATGTCTGGACTCCCCACCCACAAGGAAGATTTCGCTGGGTACACATTTCTTTATTTAGTTTTACCATTCATAGTTGTTGTGAAGGACCATTTCTGTTTACGTTAATAATATTTTTGTAAGAACCTGCATATGATTCTACTGTGAAATGAACTCATATATCTGTTGCCAAAATGGCAGAATTCATTTTTTATCATCTTTCTATCGCCAACTTTGACTTCCTTGGCATATTCAGAACCCTCGTTTTTGTTTGGATAAGAACTGGTCACATTGAATGGGCACCTCCTAACAGGCCTGAGGTGAGGTATTAAACACCTGAAGCCAACCTAAGTAGTCAAACAAATTTATATGTTGGACTGCTTGTGGAGAATCAATAAGATCCTCTTAAGTATCATCACAAATCTGTTATTACTTTAAGCATCCATGACCTTAGTGACTATAGTTGTTCTAAAAAGCTAGTTGCAAAGAGTTACCTCTACATATCTATTTATCAAACTGAGCCAGCCACTGAGGTAAATGCTCGACTAACCATTTCATGTACCGCCATCCATAGCCAGCCATACAATTAATAGTGCTACCACTATTGCAGCTAGGTTAATTATTGCACAATACAAAATGATTAATTAAAAAAATCCTAACAGCTTGACGCATTCCAATTAATGATTGGTATATGAGATGTAAAATATGTCTTTTTAATACCTCTTTAATCTTTCTAACTATCATTTGCCCTTAACTGTTGTGACAAAATATATCTTGTGACATATCATTTTAAATTTTAAAATTCCTCCATATTCTGATGTTGTAATTTGGCCATTTTGCAGTCTTGATATTATTTTCTCAGGGGAAACATGCGCTGATACATGGATTGAAAAAGAGGTTAGACATTACCACAGTTGCTTTACTGTAGTTCCTAACTGCAGTTTTGGAGACTTTCTTTATTTTGTGACAGGATTTAGGAAACTGAACTTTATTATCCATTTGACGCACTATGAATGTGTTTGAGTAAACAACTTAATTAAATACTTTGGATGAGTTTGAATAAACGTCTGGGGAAGCACTTGTAGCATATAAGGGAACAAAATAAGATACAAAATGCATCTAATCTGATGAGAAAACTTTTATTAAAGTTGAAGTGTATAAGTTGATTTTAACATACGAGAGAAGTACAATTCATTTTAATTTCGTCTTTTTTATCCTATAAATATTTATTGGGAAGTTTGTCCCAATTGGCCTCATTCAATTAACTTTTATTAAACGAGAATTTGTTAAAAATCTATACTGTGAAGCTTACTGGAATAAACTAAAAAGTAATTTATTTATGTTAATAAAAATGATTTCGTGAAACTTATTGAAATAAGCCAGAAAGATTTTATAAGAAGGTCATGACACAAGCCATTTCAAAAAACCCATATAACCTCTGCTATTGCCCTCTAGATCTGTGACTACTGCAGTGGGATTTTGTTTTTAAATTTTCTCTTTATCCTGTATTCAATGCCACTTCAATAAACGCATGGGCCTTAAAATGTAATGAATGTCAGGCATGTAACTTTTTAAGTGCTTTAATGAGACAACCAAGGTCATCTTCATTTTCAGTGCTTCAATTTTGATTTCATTAAGTGAATCTTCAGCAGAGAAATGCTTTATCTTTATGAACACCGCTCATCTTTCATTTCATCTTATTCTTTGAATGGAACTTAAGAGTAGTGTTCTTTGCTCATTTAAGGTTGCAGCTTTAAAGGAGGATGGTTGCCCCAAAGTCTGGGTAGTCACTTCTGATCATTGTCATCAGCAAGCAGCGCATGGAGCTGTATGCTTCCTTCCTATAAATTGAAAACTTGAGTGAAATGGATGCAACTTGATTTTCAATTGTCTTCACAATTGTTTTCCAGCTAAGAGTATTTCACTCTCCTTAGCAAAATGTACAAATTATTTAATTTGTGCATAAATAAAAGTAATCCTCAGATTTTATTATGATTTCCTTTTCATGATTCTTGAAATGCTAATAAATACCATCTACTGAATGTCAAGTAACAGTGTGTGCATTATGCTCTTTTTGTTGGTGAAAAAATATTTATATTGCTGCTGAATTTCAGGGAGCCTTTATATGGAGTTGTAAGGCGTTGGTAACTGAGGTAAAACATTAATTTGGGGCAGGGTTGTTCTGTATGTTATCATCTCATAAAATTCCTTTCTTAAGTTGTCTGAGACTCTAGTTTACTTTTGCACATTTAAAGTCTCAGGTTTTCTGATGTTATATTAGATTTAATATTTTGCATCGTTTTAAATTACATAGACATATGGAATTAAATCCTCTCTTTATTTTGACATGCCAGATGAATTTTATTACCTTTAATGAGATTTTACATGGTCCATTTTCTTAATTGTTTGGATAGTAGATCAAAGCATCACAAAAGGAGGTTGAAAAGATGCTTCAAGAGCAAAGGTGTGCCTGACTGCAATAATTTGATAAATATTGTGTTAATGATCTGGCTATTCTCTTATATAATTTTTTTCACGGTATGCTTTATGGGTTAGTGTGTGGATAACTGTGTAACTTGAGATGTCTTATTAATACTCTGCTAATATACAAACCACTTTAGTTCGTTTTGATCTTTTCTTAGACACAAATCTCTTGAAAGAGCATTTGTTATCTGGTTTATATTGTATGTGTTTCCATTTAAGTTCTTGACGGGTTTCCTGCAAAAAAAATTAAATCAAAATGAGAAGGAAAAAAACAGTATGTGGCAGGTTTTTGTAAGGAGATGTTCATGCAATCATAGGCACCAACCAGCATCCAAAACCACTATCCTCATCCCTTCAATAAAACAAAACTTATGATAAAGAAAGAAAAATAACGAGACCTTTGAAGTTTGGATATTTTGTTTTGTTAAAACACAGCGCATAACATTTTTAGAATGGAACTTAATTATTTTGTCCAGTTTGCTGATTATGGTGTTTTGAGAACACACTATGCTATCTCAATGACAGATCTTGCTGATTGGTTTGCTTATTCATGTTATGTACAGATCCACTTCTTTTCAAGGTAAATTATTGAAGCACAATCTTGATGCAGAAGTAGTGGATGCTCTAAAGGACCTGAGGAAACAACTATCTGAAAATGAGTTGAAGTAAATTATCATGTTTGACAGGCGAATTCTCTGCAAGGTTTTAATACTTTATCTGGTCTAGATGCTTTTCAATTTTTTGGCATGTGGGCATGCATTTCTCATTCACAGTGACGCTGGAGCCTTTCACATTTTGGTTGAATGATTATTTTTTTAAATAATGGCTACACCCCAACAGCAAAATGACACTTCCTGCTTTAAACAGAACTGAGATATTGTATTTACTGGTACCAATTAACATCAACACAACATGTTTTTGAACAAATATCTAAGTAATCAGTAAAGTGAATGAGCAATATACCCATACAAAGACTGCTAACGTAGATTTTTGCTCATGAAAGAAATGCAAAATCACTGTAATTTAGAACAGAAGTGTTACTAATTATTTTCTCTGTAAGATTTGGAGGAAACAATTTTACTTAGCAGAGGAGCAAAACTCGTTAAGAAGTAATGCAAGTATTTGTGTTATTGTTTGTTAATTGGCTTATAAGCATTTCTTATTTCATGACACGTTTATAAAAAAAGTCATTTACCATATTGAGTCAACTCTCATTAGCCAATTGATTATTGAAATGAAAATTGACCATATGATTTTTCATATGGTATTACCAGGCTTGGTTGCTTTGATCTACAAATAATAATAAAAGAAAAAAACATTGAAGGTCTCTAAATAGTCAAAATTCTAGGCAAAATGTGAAATCAAGATCTGTAGCCTGTGAGATCCAAAAATTGAAGTATAAACTTAAACAAGTTCTCAAAACTTAGGGTTTAGATAGGATTTGAAAGAAGTCACAAATGAGCCATGCCAACTGTTAGAAAACAAATCCTACATTCGTAGGTTAGAAACAAATAAAGGAGAAAATAAACAAGATATTGAGTCAGAAATTTCAGACTTTTTTAGGACATGTAGGTCATTCAAGCTATGTTCATAAATCTGAATATAATATAAAAATTATATAGCCCAAAACAAAACAAAATATGAAGATTAACCAAAAAAGGCCCAACATATTAAACCAAAGTCATGCGAAAAAAATATAGATTTGAGGCCTCTAAAAGTCAAAAGGAGAACAAACCCAAATAAAATTAATGATGTGTAGGAAGAAATAACTATTTTGGAACCGGGACTGGCTGATCATATCGGATAACTAGTAAACTAGTCAGGCAACCGGTTCAAGTAAATTAAAAAAATCAACCTAAAGAAAAATTGATAAAAGAACCGGAAAACCGGTCAAAACTGGAAAAATTAGTTTAAATTGGGTTAACAAAAGAAAATACTTAAATACAATACTATTTTAACATAAATTACGAGTCCTTTTTTTATTCGACACATAAATTTGTTATTATTAATCATTATTGATGTAAATTATAAATTTCAATTTAATATGATAATATTTTATTTAAATTTTTATACATATTTTAAATGTTAAAAACCTTTAAGTATATACTTTATTTTTAGTTGTTAGCATCGTAAAATATTGTGATATTATGTTTTTTAATACTATTTTGTATTATTTATTTATTACAATAGTCTTATTTTGTTAATTTTTGGTTCCAAGTTGACTTATTAAACCATGTATCAGGTCTTTAACAGTTTCATTACCAATCCGGTTTCAAAAAAAGTACTGTTGCATGAGTAGTTGTATGAATAATAAAACTCATAAATGAAGTCCAAGCTGGGATATAATAAGTCACAATTGGTCCAAGCTAATTGGACTTGAGGGAGAGTGTTGCAGTACAGGTCCCACAATTGTGGACTAGAAACAAGTTAAAGAGTACATACGTAAAGACACTTTGGTTTGGGATAAACAGCTCACTCGGACAATAAATAAAAGAAAGACCGGCTAATCTGAAAAAAAAGAAGACCTATGGCCTCTGAAGCCCAAACTTAATATATGAGCCCAAGTTGGACGTTGACAAGTCACAATTTGGAGAACAAGTCCCCCATTGGTCGGTCGGAAACTGGTTAGAGGGTACTTATGTATGATCATGAGTTAATGTTGTCGAGACATTTTGGATAAATAGGTCACTTAAGATTTAGATATATATACTACAATCAGTGCGTGTATGTGTGTAGTGGAAATGGAGGAGGTGGAGCAGGTTTTGCTAGTGTAACTTATTTGTTTTCTTTCCAAATGCATTATTGCAATCACTCTAATTTGAATCGGTTAATGTGATTAGGTGCCAAGAGGGAGACAAACTTAAGCTTCAATTATTTTGTCACCCCAAAAAATTCAACTCTATTCTCCATAAGTTGTTTGCCTGTGGAAGACTATTGTGAGCACGGTCTTTTTCTTAAAAGTCAGACGAATTGTACCTTATTACATGATCAATAACCAAATCCCAATTACGAGTTACAGGACACCTGATATCTGTTATGATAGCTCCATGAGCATGAAGGTTTGGTCAAGTTGATGGTTTATTGGTAATCTGTTTTGTAGAACAAATTTTGGAAGCACCATGCTCGATGGCGAGCAAGATTGATCATATGTGAATATCCTGTTTGAAGTCCATACAAACTCCACAAGTAGCCCAGTTGGAGGACAGTCACTGACCATTTGTTATTTTCCTATTTTGTAATTACAATTTGCGATTTACATTCCCTTGTACAATCGATTAAACCAGTGCACTAAAGCATAAGACATTCTTTTTTTTACTTTATTTCTGTTTTTATCAGTGTAATATGTATTAGTTTAAATTGTATTCATTGTGAATTGCAATAAACAAAGAAGTGCCACATCATTGCGTTACGTAGTGCTTTTACTTACAGTTTAGGTGTAATGCTATGATTTATTGCTAATGTAATCTATACATTAATCGATTAAATTTGCTATTTACATACTACGCAATTTGTGTGAACATTTGATAGTGGATGCTATTTATTGGAGGTCAGATTCATGCTGGAACTCTCACCATCTAATTGTATATTCATATTTACTATTATACAAATACTGTTTTCACCAGTGATCAACTGGACTGAGGGAAATGTGATTGCTAAATCTTATCTCATGGTAGACAGAGACAGAGGTAGTCACAGACGATGGCAGTCTTTTGTACTACACCCGTAACTTCCAACGCCAAGGAATGAGTGCGACATCAATGCACTGGTCGTCTGACTCATACCCCACCACTCTATCCGTCTCATTTTTGTTTCCAACGTTCCCAAATTATGATTTTGGCAAAAGCTAATCCAAATTCTTCATGTATTGAATAACCAGAATTCTATATGCATTGTGGTTATAAGTTAATTACTATAAATGTTGAGAGTCACTTCAGCAGTTAGTATATTTTCTATTTTTAGTAATTTCCTCTTGTGTATTAACTCTGAAGTCAATACACGGTTATTCATAAGTCCACATTTTACTCTCAATACTTATTTTTGGTACATCATGATTGAGTATACGTGACAAAAACAAGATTTTTATCGATTCATAGTTTAAAATTCTCTAAATGAAAAATTAACTACTATCTATTAGCATTCCGGTGGTACCGGGACGTTGATAATCTCATAATTTAAAAGTAAAATTGTGATGTATTATTAAAAATTTAAAATAGACAAATAATAATAATAATAATAGACTCTAATAATATTATTACAATAAACAGTGGGACGTAACAATGTCCAAGTGAGACGAAACAAGTAGCATTTGTCCAGAATATAGTATAGTTTTCTTATTCATTTCCGGTTCATCTGGTTCTCTCTCTGCCATCCTACCTGAATGGAACGTGAACGCCTTTAGGCATGTTACGTAAGATACTTGAAGCATTTACTGTGTGACATACTGTCATATAATTAAATAGACCTACAACTTCCAGAAAACAATTTAAATCACGAATTGTGTCCGTACCTGGTTTTGTATTCCTGTGTCCAAAGTATATTGTTGTTTGGGGTTATGTGTTGAAAAATAAAAAAATGAAATGAGAAATAGAGGAGTAGAAAAATAACAGAGGATAAGAATTGATTAGTGGTATCCAAGCTTACATGTAATCACGGGATGCTTGCCTGCATATTAAGTATGGTCCTGCAGAAGAAGGGCAAGAGGTACAAATTGTGGAAGGCGATGAGAGAGACATTCAAAGGAAACAATTGAGGGTACTTTTTCTTTCTGGCTTCAACCGGACCAACCAACAAGAAGTTAGTTCCAAAGTCTTTTTAAATCTAAAGAAGAATAAATGCAGAGTCAGAGGGTCAAACATGGGTCAGGATTAGGGTCAGATGGTCAAATGATTGACCAGACACTGCTTTCCTTTGGATCCAATGACCCATTTAATGGAATCGATCCAACGGTTTAATTGTGGACCCACCCCCCAATACTTGTCTGTGTTTCATGCAATTCCCCTTCTTCTCATTTTCTCCATTTATTATTTTCAACTACGTATTTCTCCTACCAATCTCATTCAATTCATCCAAATACTCCTTTCAATGTAAAATCCAGTTCTATATTTCCCTTTTTCTTTTTCTTTTTTTGCAATTAATACTTTGCAAATTTCTACAGCCAAAAACTCAGAACCTGTTCAACCAACTACAAAAATTGACCCCTCCCACCCCTTCTAACTAATACAAAGAAGACAAAAATGGTGCATTTGTTGTTTTGTTTCTGACAGGTCTCTGAGTGTGTTAGTATGTGCAGTGAATCCACCTGTGAGGTCTATCTGACCCTGACTTGACCATGGAACTTGTTGCCGTGGGGGCTATATGCTCACCCACATCTCACCAAGTAGTATCAACAACCACTCCTCATTCCTAAACCTTCTCTCATATATTTTAGTGCCATTACCCCCCACCTTTCACCAAAATTCTCCTACACTTCACACCATCATTACTTCAATACCAATCAAAAGCATTAAATACATTTTTAAGTTATATGATATCTGCTTCTAAAAATACTCTCATTCAGAGGATTAAACAGCTTTATCGAGTTTCTTGACAGCAATAAACACCGAGATTAACCATCTGCTAAAATGTTTGGTTTTCACATCTTAGATTTTGCATTCTAAGTAGTATCATAACAATACTCAAGTAGCAGTGTAAAAAACTGATGTAGGGAAAGAATGGTGACAAGATCATGGAATAAAAGGTTTGGCCAATTGATCCAAGAGAATTAGTTTTTTTTTTTTCAATTGATGTTTTTTTCTATTGCGAATGAAATATTGAAAATAATATATATATTATATTTTCTTCCCAAAATATAGAGAACAGAAAAAAAAGTGATAATGAATTCTTTCTGTGATAATGAATTCTTTCTGTGATATCCAGTGAAAATAAAAGCTAAAACAAACTGATTTAATATAATAAAATAAATAAATAAATAAATAATAGAAAGTTGAATAAAATGATGATAACTGAAAGTATAATTAAAATATACAATAATGTAAAAGTTTACACTGTTATAAATTCATATATTATTATGTATAATAAAATTGTTGATTTTTATAATAATTATTTTAAAATTTATATTATAAGATGGTTTTTAATTAAATGAAGACATGAAAATATTTTATTAAAGTGTTAAAATAAGCCAATTGAGCTATTTTAACTCAGCTCAGGTCAGGGAAAAAACGAGTGTATTACTCTTCTAAGAGAATATTTCTATGCATAATAAACAAAATAAAATAAATATTATGAAAAAACACTTAATAATATATATGTGTTTGTAATTTTACGAAACAGGGTGTGAAATATTGATAAGAAGTCAAAGTTAGAATTCATTAAATTATCAGGTCTTATCAATCAAGTATATCAATATACTCACACTAATATTTATGGATTCATCATTCTATCCCTATTTATATTTCTATATATTTTTTAAAATTAAAAAAAAATAGTTTGAGTGAACATATTTAACTATACTTTTTTATATCATTGACTTTTATCAACATAATTTAGAAAAGAAAAACATGATTAACTTTGTGACATTTTAAGTTCTTTTTCCAAATTAATTTTCAAACATAAAAATTGAGTTTTAAATTAGTTGTTTTAGGAATTTTTACCCTCTCTTAAAAAAAATCAAATTTAACTTAATTTAGTATTATTTATATGTTAAGCCAATTTTTACTATTTTTGGAAAGTTGTGTATACTATATTTAAAAGGAGTTCTTACTACTAATGAGAATGTTCTAAACTTTTGTATACTAAGAAATATAGGGTTTCACATCACCACCATTTTGTTGTTGTTTTTTTTGTGTGTGTTTTTTATGCTTTTCATATTTATGAGTGGCTAAATTCTTTATTTTTGAGGTTTTATACAAACGATCTCCTCTTATGCTATAATATGACTTATTGATCCTCATTAAACTAAGTAAAGAAATAAAAAAAGAATTTGAATTTGTTGGTATAGAACCTAAGTTACCAAAGAAAATGTGACCCAGTAGTTAACTATGAACTATCAATAGAATTCTTCATTCAAAAATAAATGTGAATTAGTTCTGAATATGGAGAAGCATTCCGTTTGATTAATATGCCAATTGTGCCTTAAAACTTGGGTTCTTATTTGAAAGCTATATTTGACAAATCCAACCCATATTTAGAATCTCAACCCATATATGTTTTTAAGTAATTATCAAAATGAATCATACATGACATCTCCTATAGAAATAACTTGTATGAATTAAGATTTTTTTAATAAGAAGTTACTTCTATTTTCCTTAAACAACTCAACAACTTGCTTCCAAACCTAATGTTTTGTTATAGGTTGAGGTTCCATAGTTTCTTATTGTAACATGTAATTGAAAAATGCATTTGTTGTCTTGAAATGAAGCAAGAAATTAAATGAACTTTAAATTTAGGAATAGATTCTAGTTTATTGATTATGTTAGTCATCAAGCTTAATGCAAGTTTGGTTGTTATGTTGTGCATGTATGTAAAAACCAAACTTGGAATTTGTCACACAAGGGATTGGAGTTAAATATACTTTTATGAGTAATTTTATAATGTTGAAACACAAAGTTCACCAAATACTTGTTTGTAAGTGAGAGAAAAAATTGCTAAGTCTAACCCCAAACAAGCTTTTATAAACAAGAATTTAAACTCTTCAAATTTGTTTATTGGTTATCATTAATCATTCTCACGTTATCTATCTTTACAACAACATTCATTTGATTAGTAATGTTTTTAAATTTTCCTACTGCACAAGTTTTATACTTTTCTTATCATTTTTACTATTCCTATTTCTATGATTCATGCTAACCAATAACTCAATATAATTCTCAAAGACCAATGTATCTGTTATTTAAGGACTAATACATGCTGAACATATCAAGTTCATAACATTTAAAGATTAAAACAACTTTTTACGTTAATAACTTTTATCTGACATTATTTTTTTTCTTCCACCAAACTTAAAAAACTTATGTCCTTGCGTCTGTTTTTCAAAATATTCATTCTTTTCAAACTACTTCAGATATATTTGTTTGATCTGAAAGTTATGGTAACAAATCCAGCTCAAACAAACATGACCACAGGAAAAAAAAAACAATTTTTCAACATATACGAAATAGAAGAAGATAGAGATTTGTTGAAGAGAATGTGATAGGAAAAATGTTGCAGCCGACTTAACTTGAATCAGACCAATGGCTTATGGATAATGGATGTCCTTCATGGAAGAGAATGGTTGGACGGTTGAATAATCCTAACACACACACACACATATATATCTTCCATATCAGACAAACTACTCCTTTATGGTCGGTGATAATATTGCACAAACCGATCTTAGTATGTCCTTCTTCCTCACCTAGCCAAGCCAGACATACATGCTGTCACATTGGTCACACTCATCTTCACTGTAATATTCTACATAATTATAAAACCATAGTTAATGGGAAAAACATCATAGTAAATTTATAATTAAGGTATTGTGCTAAAATGGCGGTGTTGTGATGATGGAGGGTCAACTCTGTCCTCGCATGGATATGCAACAAAAGTGATGGTGATGGGAATGTGTGTGTCTCTGTGGAGTGTGTTTGTTGGTTGATTCCATTCCATGAGTCACATGTGGACGCATGCAAGGTAGAGACTACCGCCAAAATGGTCCAAACCACGAGCTTCTTGAGGGTTTGTTTCTGTTGTTGTGTGACCATTTAATGAGCTATGGGACCCTTCAACACTTCCATGCATGGTCCCATTCTCTTCTAATCTAAGCTAATACTAATACTATTTCACAATTAATCCATAATATTCCAAAAGGGAATATTTGTGTCATTATTAACACCCAATTGCATCATCATCATCATCCTCCTCATGTACCACCTCATTTTCTTTTCTCTCATTCTTTCACAGGATATTTTAGCAGATAACGAGGTCTCATACCCCATTCTTCTGCCTTTCGCACTCAAACCAAATCCTTAATATTTTCCATCTGCAATCTGCAACTACTGCAATCCCTTCCATGCTTATCCAAGCTTTCTGATGTTGTTAACGTTTTTTCATAATATCATTTTTTATCTTCTTTTTGTTACAATATATCTTTTAATGTTCCAATGTGCATATAACATTCCTCAATTGTTTAATGAAAACTTAGGAATGCATCACTGTCTATAGTTTAGGTTGTTACCTATAAATTAAAAAAAAAAAAAAAAAAAAGGATGCTAGTTTTTAGGTTTATCTTTCTTTGTGCGAACCAAGAATGTCCTGGAAGTGTTAGAAGTTAATCCTTTCATATTATAGAAACCATTAAAACAAATTCTGTCTCACTCAAGGTTCTTGTCTCACTATATAGTGCCAACAAACAACAACCAAAAGTCAAAACCCTAAAGACAACCTGTTATCGATGATATTCTTTCTAGTTTTTATTATTATATAAGACATAAATTAAGCGATGTTTAGTTTTTTTTTTATATAATTATTATTTCTTCACAAAGAATATCATTAAAGATGATTTTTTAAATTTTTTTAATAAATAGTAAGTAAAAACATTATGTTTTTGGTAAGTTTAACTTTTTGTGATATAAAAGAAAAAATTAAAAGCCGTACTTTTAACTGTGAAGATCTCATATGAATGTGTTGATGAAACAAGTTTCCTTAATTGGCTGCTCAATCATTGCTCACACTCACAACGCGTATAAGATATGCATTTTCCGAAAAACAAAATTAACAAATGAATATATATTTATGCATATTTAAGGAACAACAAAAACGAGAAAAAATAGGTATAAAAATGATAAATTTATTTTAACAGTATAGTTTGAGGAAGTAATATACATATATTGGGGAGAAAAGGTGAATTTGAATAAATATAGTGTCGATAAGAATGAAATTGGTGATTAAAATTAGTTTGAAAGATTGAAGGAGGTGATGGATTTAATTAATGTGTGGTGGGTGTATATTGAAAATGATGTATGTAATTAGCGTCTTCCAGAAATTTATACAATACTTATGATACCGAGAGAAATAGAGAAAGTCAAATTATTTATATATCTCTTTTGGCCAGATTAATTTATTTGTAATAATTTAATTAAAAAGTGGTTGATATTAGAGGCCAGAAATTGCGTCATACATTTCTTGTTTAAGTACATCATCACCTAACTCTTATATATGACAACAAAAATACACCACATTTTTTCAGCCATGGCTTTCTGGTTGAAATAGTAGTATAAATGTCCATAAGCTCATAATATTGTGACTATATATAAAATTATAATAAATAGAAAGAAGATTTGTAACGTGATATATGTTTTAGTTATTAATGACTATTGTTTGGTTTCGAGTTTGCAGGATCCAATATTAGCCCTTGGAAAACGCTACGTCTCTCTCGTCTTCATCTGCTTTTCTTCTGTGAGACCACAACATTGACAATTTATGGAAGCAAAATTCTTTCGATTCATATGGAAGCAGCCTCACATAGTCAAGAGAGGATTCTCGAATACTTTTTCTTTTCTTTTCTTTTTCTTCTGCTTTTTCTTTTTAGGACTTTGAAGAAGACCACTCTCACAAAAGACACAGTTTAACTATATTGGTCGGTCACCTCCTCAGACCTGATAACTTGAAAGTCACAATAACCCAAAACATGATAATTTAAAAAAAAATATTAAAACAAGAAAATCTTATCATAATAATTAGAAAGAGGGGGTTTGAAATTGTGAAGAGTCTGAACTCAAAGTTGCGTTTGATTAGTGACGAGTGAGGATGGTGAGGTAGACTATGCATGCTTCTTATCATAAAACGACACGTTTTGGCTTTTACACGCCAACAATTTTCTGTCGTACATGTACTCTTCTAGCTAAACTTTTATTCCGTTCATTTTTATGCACCACCACCAATTAATTAATCACTAACCATTTTCGTTATTTACTCTCTCATTCATACTTCTTTATTTTTGTTCTATTATTTTTTTATTTTTACCATATTAATATCAAAAATTATACTCTTTTTTTCTGTGGTTTTCTTTTAGTCATATTTTCTTTACTTGGATTTTGTGGAAAGAGAGATATTGTATGACGACGATGACGGTGATAAAGTTGATGGGACTCAAAGATATCAACCAGCAATTGTCATTCTAATAAATGCAAAAAGTATCTGCGGATTTTTTGTGTGTTTCGTATTCAAAGTTCAAATTCATTAAATTACGGGGTTATTTAATTATAATTACATTGTTTATATAAGAAAATAACAAATTATTACAATTCTATTCATGAATAAATTATAGTAATCACAACTACTTAAAGAAAAAATTTGTGTGAAAAAAATTATAAAACAATGCATCAACTTATATTGGAATATATATTTCTTTTAATATCGTTCTAGTTTATAACTATTTCTTCTATAGAATTAGTCATTTCATTAAAAATATTGGGAAAATAGAAAATGTTTTTTTTTTTAAATAAACGTTAAAGAGAGAGTACAAAAACTCACAAATTTCAAATATATATTTAAAATGCTTGATACTTAAACGAGAGAAAATTATGAAACTCAAGTTGAAACTTTTGACTTTTCTCTTCTATACAAGACAAAAATAAAAGAGACGAGTATATTTCATTAGAAAAATAGTAAACGTGTTTTATTTTAATTATATTTTAATTTCGTTTTTTTAATTAACTTTTTATTGTATTTACAAAGATGAGTCTTTTATTTAGTTCTTATGAAAATCTAAACGTCTTTAGCGTCAAATTATATTGAAATAAAACAGTGTTATAATATAACTAACAAAAATCTACGGAATTTTGCCACGTGGGTTAAAAGTGACACGTCATCAAGTAAAAAGAAAAAAGTCCCATTTTTTTATTTTTCATTGTTTTCTTAACGAGATGGCACGTGGAATGGAAGTGTATCACTCACATAATTGTTTCGTGAGAAAGGAGAAAGAAACAAAATTCAGATATTAAAATGAGAATAGAAATTTTAGAAAGTAAAAGAAAAAAAAGGTTGAAAGAATTAAAAATAAAAATAAAAATAAAAATGAGTTGTTGTTGTCAAGAGTGGTCACGGGTTTCCCTTGACTCTTGGATTCCTTAGATATAAAATATATTTATAAAAAAGGGCTCCCATAAACATTTGAAAATTTCATCTATGATTTTCCTCCATCCAATCAATGCTTTCTTCAATCACAGCATGCAATTATTTAATTCTTCCTTTGACTCTAATTAATTCACTCTACTTCTCCATTCATCCTATTCTATTCTATTCTATCCCCACAATTCTCAATTAATACTACATATATATCTTGACTAGTATTATTTTTTTTTCACTTACATTTCTCAATATCATTATTTCATATAAAATATTTTAACCAATTCAATCATTACATTATATTTGTTTATTTAATTAATATTAATATTTTTTTCCCAAGTTGATTAATCAGTGAAATATCATTTATGTAGTAGAAATACAAGAGTATTTTTTTAATTAATTATTTAATGAAAATTTTAATGTGAGTTGTTTATACAATTAATATTTAAATAAAATATTAATTATTTGAAAAAGAAATTATTAGAGAATCTTATATAATATGATAAATTATTTAAATTTTTTTAGTAATTATATGATCAGATAAAAAGTTACAAAAATAAGTAAATTAAAATAAATATAGAAAAATAAAATTTTATTAAGAAAAAATTTAATGAAATATAATTAATATTAAATTGTTTTAAAATGATGTATGATCATAAATTCTTGTTTTATATTTTTTAAGTTTCATGTCTTAATATTTTTTTTTAGTATTTTTCTACACTCATTTTACTGGACCACGAATAAAAATACGAAACATGAGTGTAATTTCGTTATTGTCCAACTCTTCTACTAGTATTTTGTGTTATTGTTTGTGACCATGGTCATCTCTTGGTGTATCTCCAATTATTACCGTCTTTTTTCATGTAGGATTACTCTTTTCGGTTTGTACATTATTAATTATCGTCATGTGTTCTTCTCCATTTCAACATTGTTGTTATTTTGACGTATTCTTTATAATATTTCCCACTCTATTCACATAGTTTTAAATCGTCATTGTCTTTATTGGTGGCAAAATCAGCCTAAAAGAATTTTGTTGCTACTATGCAAAATACATTCACCGACACATATCAATGTTGCAGCGATCTCACTCGTTCAATCACAAAGGTTTAAGACAAGCAAAAACATGACATTTGGGATGATGGAAAGTAATGTGTAGAGCAATGAGAACTTGTTCTATAGTCATAATTTTCTACGTCAATTTCTAATATAACCGATGTCATTGACTTTTTACTTTTTCCTTTAGTAATATCTACATAAATTATTAAAATGATATAAAAGGTTTAAAATAACCCATATAATAAATGTTATTCTCACTATTATTTAAACAATAGTCATATCAAATATTTTAAATATTTATGTAACTATTATATTTCTTTATTTGTCTATTTAATTAATATTAGTATATTTTTTTTACAATTTGATTAATGGGTGAAATATCACTTGTTAAAAAGATAAGAGTTTTTTTCTAAGGTTCTTTAAAGAATTCAATTACACTAAGTTTTTTATTGAAAAGTTAGTTTTTCCATTAAGTTATGTCCATCTCTTTAATTATTATTATGCTGCCATTTTTCTTTTCTTTATACTTCTAATTATTATACATGTTTTGTTGTATAAGCTAAAAACATCATGCATTCATATAAGCCAAATTAGCAAATTTTGTTCCCATAAAAGTATAGACATTGATGTTAGTCCTAAAATAACTTTTCAATACGTGAATTATTATAATTTGTTGTCACTACCACCTTTGTGCCCGACGGTGTATCTTGGTTTTTTTTTTTTGTAATTATTATGTTTTTGACAATAATATAAATATACAAATTTAGTTAAGTGATTCATTTACGTTGAATTTATTAAGTATTACATAGAAGTTGTACTAGAGAGTATAAAGTGAAATTGAACCATGATTTAAAGTATCAATTATAATAAATTATAAATTTCTGGACAATTCACTCAAAATTAAAATAAATTGAAATTAATTTTGGGACATTTTTCACCAGAATATAATCATGATTTATATTAAAACCAAAATAATTTTTGAAAATACAATCATAATTCAACTTAGAATATATTGATAAACCAAAATACGTATGATATGATTTAGGTTTTGCTAAGTAGATGCAAATTTGGTTAATGAAATAATATTTCAATATAAAATCAATAATTATACTATACGATACGAGACAGATAATTTATGCCTTTCTACACTAATTCTTTCGAAATTTCATCATATGATTATTGAATATTTATATTAGTTTCAAGTTTCTTTAATTTTCTTGTTCTTCGTCTTGTTTATGACGAGATCAATATATATTCAAGATGTTTACTTATAATTAAGGTCACATATTTAATATTTAATATATAGTATATTATTTTAACATTTAACGTTGTCACAATTCATTAATTAACAACGTTACTAATACAAAATACAACAAAAAGATAAATGTATCAATAATAATAATAATATAATAGTAATAATAATAAAATCATAGCAACTTACTTACCTAAACTTTTACTTAAAAACCTAAACGTTGGTGTCTTTTAGGGATACAAAAATTAATTTTACTAATTTTATTTTCATTTCAATGAAAAATACGTGAAGTACATGACACTTAAGTTATTAGATTTTATTTATGAATTAAACCCGTAAGTTAATAGATTTTATTTGTGGTAAAGAAACCTAAACCTAACATGAAAATGACAATTTTTCTAAGAGATTGGCGCGATTAATCGCTGGCTAGCTACCTACATCCAATTAATTAATGACAAATCAAGAAGTTTATTTAAATTGTATATATAATTTAACAAATGAATATTTCACGCTTTTGCAAATTAATCAGCTGATAAGTGAATTCACACACACAAAAAATTACTAACTTAAACACTCTAAATAATTGAATTATAGACAATCTTTATATATATATCTATGAGGTGGAGGTACTGTTAGTGTGAAGGTAACACGTGAGAATGTTAATTAACCTCAAAGATCTTAATCTTAAGGCTTTGATATGGGGAGTGTTAATGCATTAATTAATCTTTCATGGTTACATTAACCTATATGCTAATCCTAATCCTAATTGCTAATCGGTGACCACAAAACTACAAGCGGGCACCAGCTAATTAATCTCACAAGATTTCTTCTTCATCCCCCACATTACATTACAACAGTTATAATATGCATTGCACCAAGAATTTCTATGTCAATTTGTCAACGCAAGCTTTTCTTCCTGTTTGTTTTATTCTTACAACTAGTCTGCACATACTTCTAAAACCACATCACATCAAGACTTTTGCGATTAAATTTTAATTGCAATTATGAGAAGAAAAAAATAATTAAGTTAGATCGACTTCTATGGAATAATTTATTGTCGAGTTTCAATTTTATGTTCATTAGTAATTTAGATCGTTGTTTTTTATATAAAATGTCAGAAAAATTAGTATGAGATATGGTGATATTTATAATATGGTGTTTAAAATATAAGTGAATATTTATAATCTGATAATATATCTATGTTTCTCCAAATTATATAAAAGTTAAGTGTTAAATTTATAAGATTTACACACGATAAGAATATTTTTCAAATTTTAGTTTTATTGTTTTTTTCCACCTTTCAATATTTGATGTTACATCTTTATAAACATTTCAACTCGTACGATTTTAATTGAATGAGTTTGTATCTTATTAGAGAGATCAATTAAGGAAAGAATGACAGTATTTTAAAATAATTAAATAAATAAATAAATAAATGATTTTATTTTGAAAGATAAGAAGATATAAAAAGATAAAAAAGCAATATAAATTTTAATCAATAAATAATGTATCTTGTATCCATAAAAATAGCATAAAAATGACTTGAACCGTTTAGTTTCCACATTTATAATGTTATGTTTATTGAACCTTAATAATTTTAGTGTGTTCATTTAAGCTATGCTTATTGACATTGATAACTTGTTAATGACTTAGAATATATGCTATTTATAGCATTTTAATTAATTTATCTACTTACTACTTTCCTGCATAGAGAGAATTGTAATTTAATTTATTATAGTTTTTATTTATTTGGGTTGTATGAATAAAAAGATATTTTGAGTGGAATGATTTAGTTTAATATGCAATAACCTTATTAGTTAACTTGAAACTTCCGCATATAATTACTCGTTAAGGAAGACCAAGTTGAAGGTTGGATGATATTTTCATCGAAAATGTAATTGATGAGACTTACGAGATTCATGTGGTGCACGTGAACTGCCAATGTACGGGCGGAAAAAAGAACCAATCGACGCAATAACGAAATCAACGATTCAACACACTCGAGAATTTGCATGGAACATCATATCCCACTACTATAACAACAATCTAATATTTTTAATTTTCTTTCTTTGTTTGAAAAGGGCGTTCGTAATCGACAATTCATCATTAGTTCTTTATAAAGTATTATTATTCTTATATCTGTAGAGAGAGAGAGAGAGATGAACAATAATTATATATAGTGAATGTAAAGTTTTAGTTAAAAACAGTTGAAGTTTAGAGGTAAAAGATATGATCTATGGGAAAGAGACAGAAAAAAAGGAAAGGGAGAGAGAAAGAGCACACGAGTGTTTCCTTTTAAAAAAAAAAAGTATATGAATGTTAATGGGGAAAAGAGAGGTGAGTGTTTTAGGTGAGATATATGATTTGGTGGGAGAAACTTAGAATAATATAGAAGATGGAAGGCTATAAAATATACAAGAGTTTTGTTTGGAAACATATTTGTGTTGTGTAGGTGGTGGAAGAAAGGTCCAAGGGCACCGTTTTGGGGCTGTAGCCACCCTGTCTTCTTTTTGAAAAGTCATTTTCTCATCTTAAAAATATGTAGGCCCTCCTTGAAAGCTATGTAGATGTTTCTGTTAACTTTTTTTTTTTTTTCAGTTTAAAATAAATTGGTTTTTTAAGAGTGAGAAAAGAAAGATGTTATTTTTGAAATTTGAAAAAAAAAAAAAAAAATAGAGTTAATTGAGTTTCGTCATTTGCATATACATAGTAGTGGTGATGTTAACCATCAATCTCTTATCTTTGCCTAACACTAGTGTACCACCAAATTCGTACAAATATTACTTTTGTGAGTATAAAGAGGTGAGGGCAAAGCAAAAGTGTAGTTGTAGCCCCTGTCTGAGTCTGAGTCTAAGTTTGAGATTAACTACTTGTTAGTTACTTACTTACATATACACACATATACATAAGAGTCAATGGCAATTGCAGCCGCAAACTCATCACCCACCATGAGTCTCAGCCATAGCCAGAGCCAAGAGGACGCCCCCACCGCCTCCACCACCAACGACAACAACAACAACAATAACAACACCAACGATAACAACAAGCCTGATGATCACGAGCATGACATGGTTATGCCCGGTTTTCGCTTCCACCCAACCGAAGAAGAGCTCGTGGAATTCTACCTTCGCCGTAAGGTGGAGGGAAAGCGTTTCAACGTTGAACTCATTACTTTCCTCGATCTTTATCGCTATGACCCTTGGGAGCTTCCTGGTATATATATATATATATATATTTACAAGTTACTTGCATATATATTAAAGCTCAGCTTCCCTTTCCTTGAAGCAATTCTGGGAACTAACTCCCCCTTTTTTCTGCCATCTCCCTTTAATTTTATATATATTATTAATTCTTTTTCCTAGATGGCTAACTTTTCTCGCTTCCATATATATATATATATATATATATATATGGGCATGTGTCATGTGCAATTTTGTTCTATTTCAATTCAGATGTTTGTTGTGTGCATCGATCCTCCAATTTTAATGAAGTGTGTGTTTGTATGTGTGTGTGTGATGAATAGCTTTGGCAGCTATTGGTGAGAAGGAGTGGTACTTCTATGTGCCGAGAGATAGAAAGTATCGCAACGGTGATCGTCCCAATCGTGTCACTACCTCTGGGTATTGGAAGGCAACAGGAGCTGATAGGATGATCCGAACTGAGAATTTTCGCTCTATCGGCCTCAAGAAAACCCTAGTTTTCTATTCTGGAAAAGCTCCCAAAGGCATCCGAACAAGCTGGATTATGAACGAGTATCGCTTGCCGCAACATGAAACCGAACGATATCAAAAGGTACCACATACCACATATATATATATATATATATATATGTATGTTTTTCATATTTAAGATTTCCAATAATCGATTCACTTTTGCTTCTTCTACTTCTTCTTTCATGGTATGTATGAAAACCCGCAGGGTCTTAATTTTATAGTTTTGTAATTATTCAACCCTAGTTCGTTTTAAACCTAAAGTAATTCATCTTGGTTTGGGTTTGAGATTGTTTTCTTGAACTAGATTTTATCTGGTGTTGCTATAGATTTCTTCTCTTCCAAAATCATAGCTAGATTCGAAGCTATAGCACACCAAAATACTATAGCTGCGTGAAGCTTGCAGCCACTCATGGTCTAAAGTCAAGATACTCGACCAGGATCGAGAAGCCGAGAGGTGAATAATTAATGAATACGTGATAGAAGGAGGGATTGAAAATTTAAAATAAGATAGTTGGCAGAAAATCAAAACAACCAGCACCGTTTGTCATTAATTCACTTCCATTATCCTTTTCTCTCGCACACATTTATGACTGCATGCATGAATTTTGAAGTCTTATCATAAATTCATTTCATGCCTCTCTCCGTACTGGTACAAGTTTTTCTCAAAGTTCGTTCAGCCATTTGTTTTCACCAGAATCTCTTGATGAATTCTCGAATGTTGAAACTGTTTTTCCATTTCCAGGCTGAGATATCGCTCTGCCGTGTGTACAAGAGAGCTGGAGTAGAGGACCATCCCTCCCTCCCTCGCTGTCTCCCAACAAGGCCATCTTCATCAAGAGCTTCTTCGCATTCTGAAAATAAGAAGCACAACGAAATGGTTCACCCCAACATGGGTTTTGTGGGACAATCAAAGCCAACTGAACACCTAGTCGACAAAATGAATGAAACGGAAGCAAGCAGTGATGTCAACACGGCTCTTGGACTTTCCAAATACAATGCTTACCGTGCTGCAATGGGTGCACTCAGCACAACAATGGCACTTCCAGTTGTTCCAATGGACGAGGAAGGGTTGATGATGATGCAGCATCAGCAGCAATCTAAGCAAGCGGTAGTACATGCAGGTGCCCCGGGTATTGGCACGATCTTCTCTGCTGGGCCTTCTAGTTCCAACAACAGTGGAGTAGTGAACATGGATGATCTGAATAGGCTAATGAGTTATCAGCAGCAGTACTACAATGTTCAAAGCCATCCCAATCAGTTCTCTACTTTGCTGATGCAACCATCACCAGTAGTGTCTCTCAGCTCGCTACCAAATCCACTTCCAACCACCTTCTCTGACCGACTGTGGGAGTGGAATCCAATCCCTGAGCCACCAAATCAAGAGTACAGCAACATGTCCTTCAAGTAATGACATCAATATTATATCTGTGAACTGCACATACATATATATAGATAGAGACATTTATCTGTGCTAATTTCTACTATCAACTTTATCTAGGTTGTTCTCGTTACTCTAATCAGTCCGGTATCTTATTATCTTAGATTTCAATAACATAATTGTATGACTCATTTTCATCAATCATCAATATATGTATTTGCCGGTAGCATTTTTAGGGTTTTAGTTTTAAGCCCCTTTTATTATTCTTATTTATATATATGCACTTTTGCTTGTCCACAGAACTAGAAGATAAAATGGATTTTGAAGTTACCAATTTTGTGTTAAATGTTGGCGTCTTCCCACTAGCTATAGATGGATAGGCAGGGTAGTGTTTCTCCAAGTTTTTTCATAAAACGAGGACTGTATATGACAGTTCTGTTGCGGAGTAATTAAGTTTGACATTCTCATTATTAAATTCAAAACACAACACTACAAGATTGTTTTTAAGGAGTAGTAAGGTTTTATCCAAACAAAACTAATCCCAGTGTAGATAGAATAATAGTAAGATTTTATTTCAACAAAACTAATCCCAATGTTGATAGGATATACCAAATCATTAAAGAATTCCAGCCTCAATTTTCAGTTATTTAATGTAGAAAAACATCACATGTATGTGATTTTAGGGTTACCTCTCTTTCTCTCATATACATGTGGGAAAGGTGAAGGCATTTCATGTCGGATTTATGTAAGGTGCAGTGTTTCTTACATTGGTAATAGTAGTGTAATTTTAGGATAAGAAAAATATCATTTCACATATCAACAAATTCATACACTTTGGAATATATAAGAGAGTAATAAGCAAAATAACTAACGTGTAACTACACATAAATTAATTTAATTCGTCCATCAAATTTTACAAATCTGAGACGTTATCACGTCAAAAAAAATTTCAAGCCTTTAATGTTTATGATTAGCTTCCATGTCTCTTTTTTTTTTTTCTTTTCATTTCCCATCCCAACTTATCACAAATATTATTTTTACCCTTTTAATTTCTATTTTGTTATACACAAAAAAAAAAAACACTATTTTAATTTTTACACGATACATACACGCATGTTGACAGGAAAATTCTTAACATTTTTATCGCATAGGGTTTTGAACTCGTAACTTTATTTTGGTAGAATTTGTTAGATAGTACATATATAAAGAGAGTACAATAATTAAAAAAGAAGGCAAAATAATGAGTCTAATATCACATGTTGACTAAAACACAGAGCAATTCATATATCTATCAATCCTCTAATCTATCACGAACTTGTTATTTGTTCTAAAATTTCTAATATTTTCCTCTTTGAGTTTAAGTTCCAATGTTTTCTATGCTTCCAGATTGCTGGAATTTATTTGTTGAAAATTATCGTATGCAAAATAAAGATTCAAACACTCTCTATATATACACACACTGGTTAATTTCTGTATTTCTTTATTATCAATCTCTAAAGATTAATTTCCACATTTCGGTGCTTTAAAAAAAATGAATTCTACATTTTTCTTATTAATTATGTTAGAATAACTTGCCTCTACATATAGCACTCATTTAAAAAACAAATATATCTGTCCTATTAATTACTTGATATTATATATTAATATATGCTCACATGTAAAGCTTTCGTTTTCATGTGATATAAATATTTACTCCTACACTTTAAATGTGATAGATGAAAATGCATGCATTCGCATATTTTCTAAGAGTTTATTCTGGTAATTCATTTTCATATAAATTTTTATCAATTTCTTATTTTATCCATATATTCATCTAATTTATACATCAATAAGTTTGTGTAAGAACTTCATTGCAATTAATGTATTTTGTTGATTAATATTCTATAATATGTGCATGTTTTTCATCTAAGATAATTTATATAAATATCAATTTGCCTTCTTGCTAATATTGAAACCATGTAATACAAGAACATCCAATAAAAAATAACCTAAATGCTTTGAAACTCTTCAATTATAATTAGGTGTTTTTTCGCGTACGTTTCAGATATATATTTATAAACAAAGTATCCTGTTTTTACTTAATGTTTGAAATACCTAAATGCTTAATGTTTTAACTTTATGTATACCAAAATGTGATGGTTCTAAGCAAAGTTTCTGTCATGTTGATGTCAAAGTGTTCATATAATTAAAGCTTGAAGATATCTATTTACTTAAAATTAACATGATTTTTAATTGAGCAGATAATAACATATATTTACTGTTTATTTATTTTACAAAATATGTTTATTCCAATACACTTAAATTATAAAATTCAACTTTTAGTTATTTATAATTCGCATAAGGGTTTTTTTTTCTTGTCGAAATTTGTTATACTCAGAAATTAACATATTTACAGTTTTTATAAACTAATTATGATTGATGTAAATAAATCCAATAGAAACGGTAGTATTTATATTGATAAAAAAAATGTAATATTTTGAAGGTAATAAATATTGGTTGGTTTAGAAAATTAGCATAACACTTAATTAATGGTATTATGATTTCCAATTTATTAGCAGGCCGCTTTTTTTTTACTTCTTTTGAGCTTATAATGAAAAGTTTGACCCACTGAAAAAAAAATATATAAACAAATAAAGGTTAGATTAATCTGAATTAACATAAATTTTTTTATAAGAAATTAAATTGGTAGTGTATACAATAATCATGAGAAATTTTGTTAGTATATAAAATTAATATATACTTTGTTGCATAAAATTGTAAAGTGGAGAGACATCATAAATGCTACTGAGTAGAGTGTCAATTATATTTTGTGTCTGTCAGAAAAACTTAGTCAGAGAATTACAACGAACTAATTTATAATAATGTTAATATTTAAATAATATGAGTGTAATAATTATATTTAAAGTCATGAAGTTTATATGATATTTTTTAACTCATCCCTAGTAAAATTATTTTGATGTATGATACATAAGATTTTTCTTTAATAACTATATTTAATTGAAAAATTATTGTAAACTAAACGTGTTAAACGAAAATTAATCTCAATCCACTCCATGTATTAAATTAAACTATTATTAATAAGTGCAACTTAATTTTTTATGGTATTCAATTCTATTCAGTATATTAATATATTTATTTTCGATTAATCACTCATTATGATTATCAAGAACTTTAAAGTATGAAGAATAAAAGAAATAAAATTGTTAAATTATAAGCAAAAACTTTGTTGAATAATAATAAGTATGTAATAGGAAGGTTTAAATGATAGGCATGGAGTTGGGTGTAGTGTGAGGTCATGTCACAGCCTCACACAGTATTTTCCCGTGAAGAAAATTAAGGAGAAACCACTTTTTTTTTAACAAAAAATTTTAATTTAATTAATACGTCATTTTGATCATACTGAAAATAATGTTTTAAATTTTAATTAATAATAAAGTGCCGAATCCATAATATCATATGTCATCGTATTCTTGGGTTCGTATTTAATCACAAAGAAATTTTGGGTTTCATACTTCCATCATTTTTCATTCGGCCCATTTTTTTAGAGTGGCCCGTACTTGGATGGCCTTAATTAACACTTGCATTAATTTCAATAATGTTGTGTTTAATAACTGCAACAAAGAATTGATTGTGATTAATTTTTTAATATCAAACATGGAAAATATAAAATATAAATGAATAACAAAATTTATTTCACTCATTGTCCAAACAAAACATTAAGTAACGAAATCATATGTTTTAGATAAAGAATTACTGAACCGAAAATTGCTGGACCAAGAAAAAAAAAACATAAAACTACCAAACCTAAAATAACTTTTAGTTTCTAGTTCTCTGTATTTAATTCCTCTTTTATTATTAAAATATAGTAATTCGTTCCTCTCTCTCTTACATACAAAGATTTTTATATACTATTAAAATATTTTATACAATACAGATCATGGTTTGAGAACTTTAATACAATAATAAATATTTTTTTCTTAAATATGATATTAATCGAGTGTGCTATATTATTGTAAGGAGTTGAATTAGATAGAAACAAATAATATATAAATATGAGAAGAAGATAACTCTTTAAAAATATAAAGTGTAGGTTACTGTGTATATATTACAAGTAAACTCTCTTATCCTCACGAGGTTATGAAAAAACTATATTATGTAAATTTTGAATCTTACTAAAAATGACAGAGAAACCATAAAAGACTCAAGAAGAATTTGTCAAGGGAATCTCAAAAGTTGAAGAAGAAGAAGAGGAGGACTCGCGTAAGAAAACTAAATTGCTGTAGTTAATAAAACACATTTTTGCTCTCTTCAAAAGTGAAATCTAGTCTGAATATATTTGTTTCTCCCATAAAAAATTGAAAATTCCTAGGTAGATTAGATCGATAGTTAACTTATTATGAAGTGATAATTAATAGTGTAAAATATGAAAAAACATACGAAAGGATTGATGCAGGGTAGAAAAGGGAACGAAGCAGCTGCATATTTTATTGTGGTGTCATAGTTGGATGAGTTAGCCTTAACTTTTCTAACACCACAACAAAGGGGTACGATGTTGGCTTTTGATCATATTAATTTGAAAGAAAACGATAGAGTTTGCAGTGTAATCTGTAATATATACAAGGTAAAGGGACAAGTGCCTTTAACTTTTCTGGGAACTTCAATTCATGTGACTCAAGTCATGTGAGTCCAAAATCAGTGGTGTGAGAAAGAGTATTGATGTGCAATGTAGCCATGAGACAAGTATACTTTAGCTAACCCATGCGATGCGAGTATTTGCAATAAGAGTATTAACCTGTAAAGGAACTACTTTTAGTTGAATTAAAACAAAAGAGAAAGTGTGGATTAAAATAAAATGGAAATGATTGTTGTAATTAGTTGAATTTGAGAGATGTTGGGTAAAAGATACCTCCTCTGCTTAAATGGCGGTGGAAGGTTGAAGAGGAAGAGAGGAGAAGAGAGAAGAGGGAGGTTGTTTTCGGACAGAACAGAAGCAATTATTATGTCTTTATTTGTAATAACAATAATGAGAAAATAATAATAAAAAAAGAAAAAGGTGATGAAGAGTTGAGGAGTTTAAATTAGGGTGTAGTGGGAGAAGCGAAAGTTGTGAGGAAATTAAGAAAAGATAAAGATGGTGTCCCCGATGTCAACGATTCTGGTGACGGGTGGGGCGGGGTTCATCGGATCCCACACGGTGGTTCAGCTACTCAAACAGGGATTCAGGGTTACCATAATCGACAACCTCGACAATTCCGTAATCGAAGCCGTTCACAGGGTTCGCCGTCTTGTCGGTCCTCACCTTTCCAACAACCTCACCTTCTACCACGGCGACCTCCGCAATGTACACGATTTGGAGCCACTCTTCTCCCAAACCAAGTATTCCTACTCTTTCTCTCTCTCTCTTTCTCTTTCTTTCCATTTCCATGAATCATGATACATTGTTTCACCACCGCCAGGTTTGATGCTGTGATCCACTTCGCTGGCCTCAAAGGTGTTGGGGAAAGCGTTGCAAAGCCCCGCCGTTACTACGACAACAATGTGGTGGGCACTATCAACCTTTTTCAAGCAATGGCCAAATTTAACTGCAAAAACATGGTTATTTCCTCCTCCGCAACTGTTTATGGCCAACCTCATCAAGTTCCCTGCGTCGAGGAGGACTTGCATTTACACGCCATGAATCCCTACGGAAGAACTAAGGTACCACACTACACTCTGCTTGAATTTCAAATCAAAGAAATTAACAAGCACGCACAATGTGTGTGTGTGTGTGTGTGTGTAGCTCTTTGTTGAAGAAATAGCCCGAGACATTCAGAGAGCAGAGGGAGAGTGGAGGATCATTCTGCTGAGGTACTTCAATCCGGTTGGGGCCCACGAGAGTGGCCAGATTGGGGAAGATCCAAGGGGTATCCCCAATAACCTCATGCCTTACATTCATCAAGTTGCTGTTGGTAGATTGCCTGAGCTCAAAGTTTATGGTCATGATTACCCCACCAAGGATGGCACCCCGGTCAGTCATTCATTTTTCTTCGGCTTTCAAATTACATTAATGATATATCTAAAACTAATGAATTTGTTGAATGTAGATCCGAGATTATATCCACGTAATGGACTTGGCAGATGGTCACATTGCTGCCCTTCGAAAGCTTTTTGCTACAGACAACATTGGTCCGTAATTCATTTTACAAACCAACCAGCTAGCTACCTTCTTTCAAAAACAACTACTACCTTAAATTTCTCATATTTTTGTCGCCTACCACTGCACTGCACCTTCTTCCAAACCGGACTCACAGACACTTTGTTTACTAATTAGGTTGCACTGCCTATAATTTGGGAACTGGGCGCGGTACATCGGTGCTTGAAATGGTAGCTGCATTTGAAAAAGCTTCCAGCAAGGTCATAATTCATTTTTGTATCTTCCGAACTCACTTCACTTCACATCACATGATCTATGTAAATGTAATGTACCTACGCACTCAACTCAACTTACCTAGTCTCTGCCTCTTCCATTTTCCAGAAAATTTCATTGAAAATGTGTCCCAGAAGACCCGGAGATGCTACTGCTGTATATGCATCCACGGAGAAGGCAGAGAAAGAACTTGGTTGGAAGTAAGTTTTGTATTTCACCTCTAATTACATCTTGTTACTTCCTAAAACTATAATTATCCATCAATTTAATCTCTAAAGTTGATGCTGCTCTTGATTTGGCTTTAATTGATAATACAATATCAGTCCCGAACTTGTTAAACATCACTATCATTTTAGTTTCCCACCAATATCATCTCCAGCACTATAAACCAAATTCATTAGTTATTTTTTTTGGTAGAAAATTGATTAGTTAATTGATGCACAACAAATTTTGAGATTAAATTTACTGGTTTGAAATTGAAGTTAGGAATCAAATTGACATATTGTTGAGAATTAAAAAGATTGTGTGTCTTGGGACAGGGCGAAATACGGTATAGAGGAAATGTGCAGGGACCTATGGAATTGGGCGAGCAAAAATCCATGGGGATACCAGGGGAAACATTAGCTTCATCCCAGACACGTGTGCCTTGTACCAGACTTCTCACTCCTTGTCGTTTTCCGATTCCTCCACTATACCATACCATCTTCACTAATAATATTTCATCTTTCTTTTGTTGATACAATTGATTGATTCTTTACACTATCTTAGCCTAAATAATTGTCTGATTATGATTTCTGATATTGTAGAAAGCAGCACTTTTATGAGTCATATATGAGAGCCGATTAAATTATTTCCCATGAAACAGTGATCGAATGTCTCTTCAAAAATATCATTATCATCACATGATATCTAGCTACACATTTGTTGGCTGCACAAACAGCTGTTTCAATTTTCTTAGAGATTGCTGGCTGTCTATGCTCTGTGTAGCACATGTTGAGATCAATCCATCCATACTAACCATGTGTTTGGTTTGTTCTACGTCAAAAAACTTCAAATTTCTGTAAAATCCGTGAATAATCAATATTATATGAAATAGCTCCCATTGAGTTTCACTGATTTTCCTCTTCTTGTAGATACAAAATAATTATATCAATTTTTACATCTTTAATATAATTTGGAGCTTAAGAACAGAAAAACAAACAAATATAAACGTGGTTATACAACAAATTTTACTGGTGTAGTTCACAGAAAAATAGGAAAGGGAAATGTAGATTGGTTGTGTCGGTCTGTCTCTTGTCTTGGAAATCGTTGTCGGTGGTTTGTAATTTGTGTGGCTGATGAGGCTACTTTTGTGGTGCCATTGCCACGTATACGTCAAAATCCAATCGTGACCTCAACACCTAAGAATAAGATGTCTGAAATATGTTTTGGAGAAGAATGAGTTGTGGAAGCATTTAGATTAATGATTGGACTTAGGTGGTGTTGCATACATTACAATATAATATAATGTAGTCTTTTTCACTTCATTGAACAAAAATTTAAAAAGCATGTGCTGGGAGAGCCCACAAGTATGAGGATCATCATGTTTTGTGTCTATGAAAGAGTGGGGTATGTTATGGCATGGTAAAAAGGTATATTTAACATGGTTTCTATCTTTAGTGTAGATTAACGGTTACCAAATTTTTTTCAACTTAATTATTGGGTTTGTATTTCATTCTTAAATATTGATGCGATTGGGTGAAGTAGAAAACACTTGTAGTCTTAAAATAAGTGTAAAAATTATGATGATCAGAATTCATTTCAATAATTTGACTTAAATAAGCCCTCACTCTCCGAATTTAAATTTGATATGTTTATTCTTTTATGTATATATTTTCAAAGTAATTACAATGTTTCAATAAGGATGTGTAGTACTGAAACTTTATATCATTTTAGACAAGTGGATTTACTGCTCTATTGTATTAGTGTATATAACTTTACCTAAGTCAATTTACTCGTCTAATTAGTAAAAGTGAAATTCTTCAATCATGCCTGACACTGAGGAGATAGTGATGAATAAAGTAGTAATAATGTTCAGAAGAATAACTATATATCTAGAAAAATAAGTGACTTGGACAAAATATTTCATACACCTTCAACTAAACTTGACTTAATCAAAGGAATTTTATTACAACTATCCCATAAGACAAAAAATAGTAACTATTAATAATTTGTATAGTAAATATTAATTAAGGCACAAAATGTGTGACCACCCATCGTGTCACATTATTCCCGTTATTTACAAGCTTTGCATATCAGTCTGTTCAGCTATTCCAAAGTAATGTAAAATAAAAATGAACCATTTCCTTAACCACGTTTTCTAAATTATAACGTGACTGAGTGTTTTTCAGGAAATCATTTTCTATAAAACATACATCAATAAAAAATAAATACATGCCAAAAGGTTCATAACAATTCACACATTTAAATTTGAATCTATCATATTCCTTATCTATTTGTTTTTATAAATAAGGTAAAATTACTTATTTCATTATCATATTATTGTTTGACTTTGTATGTTTTTTATTAAATTTTGATTTATTATCATTATCAGAATAAGGTATGAAATTATTAAATGTTAATGATACAAAATTGCATCAATTCATTCATAATTCCCTATTCAAAATCATCTACACTTCATCATATAAAATCAAGCCGCAATCAAATTCTAACACCTATACAGTATATGCATATAACTCAGCACTTTTGAAGTTGTGCTCCTCTTAACTGCACATATTTCAAAATTCAGAATTTACCTTCTGAACTGGGATGAAAATTACAATTATCCTTTCCCTTTAATAAGAAGCAAAATTTGTTATTCAACCAAGACACTTCTCTTGTCCGAGACAATCCTTTCAGCCACCACTCTACCTGCTGAATGACTAGTCTTGTTAGTTCCACTAGTATCTTTTCTAGTGACAGAACGTTGCATGATCCGTATAGGAATTCCACCCAAATCGAAGTCCTCCTTCAAGGACTTGGTTAAGAATCTAATGTCTGTATCAGAAAGCTGAGTCTTCCCACGCACAAACGCAACAAATGTAGGTGGCCGTGCCTTGACCTGCGTGAAATACTTTACCTTAGGCTGTGCTGCTTGGTCTTTCCAAGAATGTCTGCTCATAACCTGATCAAAACCAACCCAAAGAGAGATAAGAAAGCAAATTTACTACCAATTGCATATTTTATTGTTACAAAAAGTGATGATGGAATAATTGCCTTTTGCAGCCAACGGTTAAGACGAGCTGTAGGTAATCTTGAACACCATTTTTCATACGTATCAATGACCTGATTCAAGACAGTGGTTCGGCCCCTTCCCTCCAATGCTGAAATAAAGACAACTGGGATTCCTGTTACCTGTTGATAATGTCAAAAGTCAATGCTAAGTCAAAATAGTTATTCATGCCCTTGAAAAGCTAAGAGGGAAATTGGTAAGGACTGTATGATAAGCAGACAGCCTCTCATGGCACATATCTTCTCCAGTTTGAACCATGACCAATTTTGTCATCTATGTCGAAGGCATAAACACTTTAAAGCTGGAGTTACATCTGACATGACAGACCTGAGGTATAATTGTCTGAATTTCTTGTGGAACAACTTCCATAACCTTCTCGTAGGATAATGATTTGTGTTTGCCTCTTAGGAGGTCCATCTTGTTCACAATCACAACCAGACCTCGTCCTTCTTCCACTGCGCGTCTGGCTATAACTACTTCGGCATGTTTCATACTTCGTCTTGCATTTACAATCTGGTCAAACAGTTTTTATTTTTTTCAATTAAAAAAGAACTTATCAATTAGCATATAGAAAGAGAGATAGGAGGAAAAATCTTTCTGAGGAATCACACTTATAAAAAGAGGATATTCCGGACAGATGCAAACACTTCAGAGGCAATCATGCACCAAGTTCATCATCATAGACAGGATAACTTCATATAAAGGGGTTTTTCACAAAACAGAAGGGGATAAAATGAAAAACAATTTAACACATGCTCTATGGAATATTAATTTCATTCTACATTTTATTAATTAACTTTCATCATTTTGCAAATTTTACATTTAAGTTCATTTTTTTTTTCTGTGTTTACCATTATACCTTTCATTTTTTAAGTATTTTTACCTATGCATTAAATGTGTAATGACTTGCTGACATGTCACAAAAAAAAGGTTAAAAAATAAAACTAAACATTGCTGCTAAATGATGTTATTTTGACATCAATTTGTTCTCTTAAATTTTTTTTTTGACACATCAAAATTCTATTACATATTTAACAGATCAAAAAAAGTTGAAAAAAGTAAAAATATTACGATTAAATGTGTAATCAAGTCATACGTTTTTCAAACCAAAATCTAAGCAGCTAACTTATTTCCAACCAATAAATGAATTATCAGAACATATTTTAATAGGTTCAAAATTGTGTTCATTCATAGAAACATGTGAACTATACTGGAAAAAATAGACTTAACGAAATTGCAATTTAACAAAGTAATAAATTGTCTTTATTATATCATAATTGTCCAAATCGCATACCTCTTCTGCATCTAGTACCAAAGCAATTATATGAGCCCGAAGTAGACTCCTCCTTGATTGCATAATGCTCAAGGATGCTGCTCCTTTCTCCTGTTTTGTCCTCTGCAACCAACCAGCAGTATCAACCTGAATGACAGCAAACATGATTATATTTATAAAATGCAACAGAAATTTTAATATTAAATATATACTCAAGTTTATTGCCCCTGAAGCAAAACCAGATTCAGCATGTCTAGTGAGTACCTTCAATCAAAAAATAACTTTGAATTCTTATAACCATGCTAAGCACCATGTTTGACAACTAAGTCTATGTACACAGTACACAGTAATATGACAAGAATAAAGATTAAAACATCAAAGGAAAACCAGAATTATAGCAAGTTGATCATGCTCACCAGACAAGATTGTACAAAAGCAACTATGAAAATATATTTTAAGGGTACATGAACATCAAAGAGATCATGCTGACTTGCAATTGCATATTTTCAAGACTGCAGTTCAGAACAAATAACATGTGCATCTATGCTCACAATTGCATCTAACTTGAAGATCAGAGAAACAAAGAACTATTATGCTTTCCTCTTACAAGCAACTTTCCTACTTGGATCTCTGATCTCTATCAGTCTCTAATTTCATCCATCCAACCATAAGTACAGAACCAAGACATTCATGGATGCTTACCAAATAAATTGTTCTTCCTTGAAATTCAAATTGGGTTCTGATTGCATCCCTTGTTAAACCAGCTTCAGGACCCACAAGAACACGGTCTTCTTGCAACAATGCATTCAATAAGGTTGATTTACCAACATTAGGACGTCCCACAATGGCTAACTGCAATGGCAGCTTGCTTTTGTCAACATCAAGGTTGTCATCCTCGTCATGGTTATTTTCGTGATCACCTTCATCTATATCTATGATTAGTAACAATGACTGAGGAATTAAAATAAGTGATGAGATAGCAATGCAACAGTGAACTTAACGTTGATAAGTTTACATTGCATGATCTTTCCCCTTTTTGTGAACACAAGAAAAATCACCAACAAATAATTAGTTTAGCAAGCCCTTCCACGTACCCAAAAATGATAAAAGCTTATCAAGTGTATAATTAGTGACCAAAAAGTAACCTTGTAGTGGGAGTTAATAGATATCAGTCTTTGATTGCTGAATGACATAAGCTTTAAATTACCATTTGAGACTCGAAGCATGTAGTTCTCCAGGAGAGGTCTAAGAGACATATATAAGTCAGGCATGCCTATTCCAGTCTCAGCAGATATGGCAACAGGATCCCCAAAACCCAATCGGCACATTTCATTAGCAGCTGTGGCTAGAGAATCATTGGCATCAAAGAGTGACTCAGACTTATTCATGGCAACAATAGGTTTGATTTGAGGTGCATGTTTTCTTAACCATTTTCCAACCTCCAGATCAAGAGGATGAACTCCAGCTCTGGTGACCAACCAAAGAAACACAAACAAAATAGCACAAATTAGTACTTTGAATTGAAGGATACTGATCCAATACATCGGTCTAATATGTGTAATTCATTCATCCCATTCAAATTGATTTAAAAACACTACTAAGTGTTAACACAACAAGGTAGACGTCTGACTGGCTCCAAGACAGAGTAAGGGAAGCATGGTATGTGCACGTTAGAGTGAATTATGAAAGAAATGAAATGCTTTGAAATGTTTAGCAGTTAGAATATATAGTGCTAATCAAAAGTCATTGTACAGGAATGAAAACAGTTACAAAAGAAACAAAACATAAAAACAAAAGAACTACAAACAATGCATACAATAGAAAATCAGAAACAAAAATAGCTCAAAATTAAAATTTTAGTATTTTTATTCCTCTTTAATTTAAGCCAATTTCTTCAGACTCCAACTGTTAGATTGGATTTTATGGGATAAAAACCAGACCTGTTCTGCACAAATCCGAGTACAGTGCAGTAAAAATGTTTTGCCTCAGATGTCCATGAAATTGGCTTTGGATCAACTTGAGATCAACATGAAAGTTTTAATATTTTTATTCCTCTTTAATCCAAGGCTAACTTCATCAAAATCCAACTGTTAGATTGGATTTTGTGAGATAAAAACCAGACCTATTCTGAACAAATCTGAGAACAGTGCAGTAAAAATGTTTTTCCTAATATATCCATGAAATTGGCTTTGGATCAACTTGAGCTCAACATGAAAGTTGTAGTTTTTTTATTCCGCTTTAATTCAAGGCCAATTTCATCAAAATTCAACAATTCGACTGGATTTTATGAGATAAAAGCCAGACCTGTTCTTCACAAGTCCAAGAACACTGTGGTAAAACTGTTGTGCCTCATATGCCATGAAATTGGCTTTGGATCATCTTGAGCTCAACATGAATGTTTTTGTATTTTTACTCCTCTTTAATTCAAGGCCAACTTCATCAAAATCTAATGGTTAGATTGAATTTTATGATATAAAAAAACATTTGTTCTTTACAAATCCAATAACAGTGGTACAATGTTAGTTTCAAACTTTGTAACTTGCATCTCTTCATCTTAATTATCTTGAAAAAATTTACTAACAACTTGACTATCACAAGCAAAATGCAACACAATTTTGAATAGCAATTTTACAACAACCTTCCATATATAATTCAACATTCAGCATCATTAGCACCCATCAAATAAAAGGAACAATACTAAAAGCAATACATATTCAAATAACATCATTACTCTTTAAAATTTTGCCAACAACTTCATTTGCACAAGGGAAGGTAACACAACTAAGAGCAGCAATTTCACAACAACCGCTCATATATATATATATATATATATATATATATATATATATATATATAGTCACAGCAGCAATGGCAGTCCATTAACATTGCATGAATAGTACGTAATTGCAGCAAAATTTCAAATAAAACTACCTAAGGGTACCGACAATCAAAAAAGTCAGGAATTGAACAAGGGCAAGGTAACACAACTAAGAACAACAATTTTACAAGAGCAACTCATATAAATATAGTAATAACAGTCCATTAACATTGTATGAATAGTACATAATTCCAGCACAATTTCAAATACAACAACATAAGGGTACCCACAATAAAAAAAGTCAAGAATGAGAGTTAGAGAACCCCCTTATATTAATAACTCAGTCTCACACTCAAGCACCCACCAACAAACCTTAGGAACCTTTGGTTAAAGAATAAATTAACACATTACCAACTTAGGAACTTAGAATAAGAGAAGGGATAGTGATTATTCAAACAAGAGATAACTAATGTTACCCTAATATGGAGTAGAAGATGGGAGAAGAAGAGGAACCCAAAGGGATTAAAACCCTAGCGTCCTTTTTTCTAAGTATGATCGTTGGACTATGAGAAAGATAGAAATTGCTTCTCTCGTTAATTTGAACAGCAAAGCTTCACAACAAGCTTTGTCTAAACAAAGCACTGTCATCTTTTCTTCTCTTTTTATTTTGTCTTTAAAAGAGCCCATCATTTAAATTGTATTCATTCTAGACCACTTTTGATCATCCTTGACAATTTCTAAACCCACTATTTATTTATCTACCTTTCTAAATCTTGAAATCAAAATTTAACTATCCCTTTTTATTAAAATAAATTTTAATTATAATATTTATATATTTTTCTAGAATATTACACAAACACGTAACAGAACAATTATGCATAACTTGAAAATTAAAGAAAAAAAATTGGGATGCTACACAAACCTTGCGTCGGTGAGGAAGAGTGCAAAGTGAGACCTTGCTAACACCTTTGCGGTCATAGAAGCCGTTCTGTGGAGGATAGAACCGGAAGAGGCTTCAGCTTCCAAGCCAGCAGAGTCCAAGACCCTGAATCGTAAGTCGCCCAACTTGGCAACTCCTTCTCGTATGTCACGGGTAACATGATCATCAGGGGTGTTATATACCAGAGCTTCCCTCCTCCGAATCAGACTAAGACAGATAACAATTAACAATTGCATGGGGACTATGACTATTATGACTAAACAATCATCAAAGTTTGCGAGCATTTCAGTGGCTCACCGATTGAACAATGCAGATTTGCCTACATTAGGTCGCCCTATAATGACGACAGTGGGAAGGCGAGTAATTTGAACTTGAGTGAAATCAAGCGCAGCCGTGCGGGTACAAAATCCCCTCAAAGTCAAGTCTAACGATGGTGCTGCAACTGCAAATAAGAGGAAATTTTATCTGGTGAAAAGGGTTCATCGGCACGTTACTATCGAAGTGAAGTGAAACGAATGAATAATCAGATGAAAGAAGTATGTTACAGGCGAAGTTGTTGAACAAAATAAGCCTCCGAATGCTGGTCATTTGATCCTCGAGCTAGACTATGGAGTTACATTACATCCTGCAAAACTCCTTCAGTTTCTCTGATCCTTAATCCTACATAATTCCTTCAGATTCTCTAAACCCTAATACTTGCGAAATTGAAGCACAAAATCCTTTTTTTTAACTATATTATGTTATAAAATAATACATTATTTCACAAATTCATATTTTACCATTAAAACAATTTTAAAATATTTTCATTTAAGTTTAAAATAAAATACTTACAACAAGTTAATGAAAAATAATATACTTAACTAAATATATATTTTTATTGTTTCGGTTTTGCAATAATAAAAATATATTAAAATATCATAAAACCTTTTTAGAAGGATTATAATACAAATTTAATACATATTATAACAAAAAAAGTGTAAAGACCTACTAGTTAACAAGTATAGTTAATAAAATTTATATGTAATATATACTTGTTTAAATGTCAAAATATAAATTTAATATATACAAGTATATTAATTGGTTATAAAGAAATAATTATATATAGTGTGTTTGAGACTTATTTATATTTTTATTAAAATTAATCATGTTAGTTGTCAATTAAAGTTCCAAATTCCATTCCTACAAATGATTAAAAACAGTTGATGTAAATAACAATAATGACTCAGACAAATTTTATATATTCGTACTATAGTTAATTTTCGGAACACCTAAAAATAATCTAAACTTTAATTATTATTATTTTTTTCATTTAGAAGACTTTACCAATTTAAGGACATCAACTAAAATAATAAAAACAAAACATGTGCAATCAAATAGCAAATAGCAGTTCATAATTAAGATATTAAATAAACAATCACATATGAAAAAAATATATATTTAACCAGCTATAATATAAATTTATTTTATAAAAGAATCTCAACCCAAACACGTGAAATTCAAATCATATTTAAATCAAATAGAATTTAGATATTCATTTCTTATTCAAAATTTAAATTTAAGATTTATACCCACTCTATCCCCCTGAAAGTTACATACTTTATTTAACCAAATAACTTACAACTAGGCATGGCAATGGGGCGGGGCGGGTTTTGCCTCCCGATCCCCACCCCGACTTTTTAACCATCTCGTCCCCGCCTCCCAATCCCCGTCGGGTTAGAAATTAAATCCTCGTCTCGTCCCCGCTGGGTTTCGGTTCCTCGCTCCCGACCGTTCTTGATTTATATTATTTTTAAAAAGATAATTACATTTATAATGAATTAATTTTACTATCTATTTTTTATATATAAATAAATATTTATAATTTATAATTATTATTAATTAAATATACATTTTAATTTATTATATTTATATAAAAATGTGTATGTAAAAGAAATATTTAATCATTTTTTATCTATAATATTATTATTATTATAAAACTGTATTCAAATATTTAAATATTTATAACATTATTATTATAATACTGTATTCAAACATTTGATTATATATATAAGTTAATTCATTTTTAAGTTGTCATTTAAAAATATGAAATATATTGTTTATAAGGAAATATTTAATAAGATAATTCTTATTCAATTAGTTCGAAGTAATAAAAATTTAAATTATCAATTCCTTTAATCCTTTAAAATACAATTATTTTATTAAGATAAAATTTTATATATGATAAATAAGAGTAATAAGATAAAAAAATATGACATAATAAAATCTAATAAATATAAATTATAAATAAAATAATAAAGAATAAAAAAAATATTTTTCATCAAATTGGTTGAAAAGATTGAAAAAAAAAACAAATTGATGGGAGAGATTAAGGAGATGTGAAAAACTGAAAGGTAAGAGAAAGAATAATGTAATAAATTAATTGATATAAAAGATTAAAAAAGATAAAAAAATTAAAAAGTGGGTAGAAGAAAAAAATTTTGGTGAAATATAAAAAAATGACCTTATATGTAAAAAAGAAAAGGAAATACTTTTAGAATATTAATATTTTAAAATTTAAATTTAAATATAAAGTCGGCATGGGACGGGACGGGGTCGGGTGGGAATTGCATTATCCATCCCTATCCCGCCTCGACTTTTAAAGCGTGAAAACCCGAACCCGCCGTCCCCGGTCAACTCGGGTTTTTCCCGTCAAATTCGGGACGTAAGACGGGTTTAATTGTCATCCCAACTTACTACTTGATCTTTGATTCTACCGTACAAGAAAAACATTATTTATCAAATAAAATAAATTTTGGATATTCGAGTTAAAAAATAAACTTAGTTAACCTAATTAAAAAACAAAACACCCAGTTTGGGAACTCCTAGTGATGATTATAAATTTATAATCATTCATTAATTATATACAAATTAAAATACTAGTTGCTTCGTTCTGAAAATCCATGTCTGAAAAGTTTACTTTAACATTATGCTGGGAAAAGACAATGTTGCAGCGTATCTAACACTCTTGTATAAACCTCAATCCAAAAGAAAATCCCTGAAATTGATTAATTTGACTAATTGAAAACGACAACCCAATTAGAAACTACCAAATGTAAATTTTTTTTAAATTGTTATTAATAAATTACAAAGAAAACAGAAAGAGAATAAATTGGAAAAGTAAATTGTTGTCTCCCTTATTCACACGATCATTGCATAAACAATATTGACGTTATTGATATGGATTTGTGGGTTAAATTTAACCTTACATCAAACATCGACAAATGACGAAGTTTCTGGTTCCATGATATAAGTCACAACAAAATGTGGATTCTTTTTTTCTTTCTTTCTATTAGAACAATTTCCTAGGAAACATATCTCAATAAACAATATATACAGATATTAAAACAAAACTTGAAGTAAATCACACTTTCCCCGTAACAAAATGTGTTAATGTGTCAATAAAAAGTTAAGAAGACAAAATTAATATTGTTTGTTTTACCAAATTTACATGACAAAAGTCATTTTTTTCCTGCACATTATCACACTAAACTATCTTTAATTGGTCAACAAAATGTGTTAAATTTAAAAATATACATTATAGTAAAATATTTGAAAAATTCATTTGTATAGAATATATAAAATAATAATCATTAAATAGTAAAAGATATAAGTAAATCAATTAAATAGTAAAATATGTAATTTAATTAAATACATGTATAATAAAAAAAATATTTTATAATTTTAAATTATCAAAGTGGTTTATTCTGCATTTAAGAAGAAATTCATACAATTATAACCTTATATAATAATGTTAAAAATTTTGTTAAATTTGATTGATTTGATCTAACTTGTAGTTCACGTTGCCTTCATCGTTTAAAAATAAATCACTTTTGTTTTTTAATTTTACCAAATCCTCCTCTCTTAGCATTGGCACACCACACTTGTGTATGGGGTCCACTCTATTCCTTATTATTAATCTCACAACAGCAAGATGCAACGTGTCTCTCTCTGATTCGCCCACAACAGTTACCTCAGATTTGCTTGTATTTTTATTTTTTTTCCTCTTAACTACACCAAACAGGTTGTTGATTATAAATATTAGGAATGAGAAGATGGTTGAGATATGCCGGGTCTGTCCGTCACTTCCACGATCAAGTTGGTTAGTATTTTTATTTTGTTAATCTGATTTGTTCGCAGATTAGTTCGTAGTATGTACTAATTAATAAAAAATATTTTTTAATAATAATATAATTAATCATAAACATAATATAAAAAGTTAAAAAATTATAAAAAAATAATTAAAAAATTTTATTCTTATTTATTATAACAAATGTTTTTTTTATTCAACCATAAGTTTTTTTAACATCTTCTCTTTATTTATTTATTTTTATAATTTGAATTAAAAATAATATAAAAATTATTTAAAAAAAGAAAACAAAGTTTTATTTAATAAAAATTATAAATTTTAATATTATTTATATATATATATTTATTATATAAATTTTATTATTATTTTAAATAATAATTTTTTTATATTATTAGTTTAACAAATATATATATTAAATTATTAATAAATAAATGATAATTTTATTATTAAATTTATTAAAAATTTAATTCAAAAAAAATAAATTTTAAAATTATAATAATTCAGTTCATTAACCTACTAACCTATTTTTTTACTGAACATTTATCATTCAGAGAATCCGTCTTAACCCGTTTTTGCGGGCCAGGAACAGAAGCAAAACGGGGCGCATCCCTGTAAATATCCCACACAACGTCCTTCTCAGAATCACATTCTTCTTCACTCAAGTCCCCACCCCGTTTGGATTTCCAGTATCTTCTTCTCGTACAATTATATACGGTACCTATCCCATCCAATTATCATCAAACACACCCTTTTTTTTTTTATGCCAATTATTACTCTCACCTTAACCACCCATTATTTCAATTCTCTAGTATTTATTTAATACCTATTTATTTATTTCTTACACTATTCTTGTATATATTTAAAATTATATTCATAATTCAAACATTACCTTAAAATGAATAATACGATACGCAACGAATATTTTATTCATGTTCCATTGTCAAATTGTGTAAATTGTCGCTATCAGTATTCAACCAATCTTAGTGGTAAACAACTTTCCAGAGGTCACCAAACTATGTAGAAATCATGAATGTTATGTCATATTATATTATAATATATTATATTATATAATATTTTAAACCTTAATTTTAGTTTTTATAAAAAATATATATATCTTTATCCCTCCTCTTACCTTTGAAATATATATTTTTAGTTTACGGACAAAATATAATAGAAGTAATAAGATCTTTATTTTTTTTTAAATAACAAAAAGAAGTTTAATAAATTTAAATAACACTTACTTATAATAACAGTGATGAATATACAGTGGGTACACAGTTTACGTTGTAAAGTGGATTTATATAGAAAATGTTGCTAAAAAGGTCTTAATAAAATCGTCATGTTAACATTTTTTTTCCTTTTTCTGAGTTAACATAAAAAATAGTATACATTTTTTATGTTATTTTAACTCATGTATAAATAAATATATCTCATGTATGAATTAATATTTCATAATTAAGAATAATAAATACAAATAGTTGAGATTTTGAATAAACACTTTGAAAAAAAAAACTTTAAAAAGTGAATTTTTTTATCAATTAGAATTATTTTATACATGAATTAATTTTTAAAAACTATCTGCAATTTATTCTTTTAGAATATAATTTTGAATGATAAAAACAATTAATTTATCCATTACTCATCTGGTTCATCCACATGCAAATTCATCTAATCTATATATAAAAAATTGAGATTAAATTAATTTATTAAATTTTAAGTTAAATTACAGCAAAACAATTTTAATGAACAAGATAACAAAACTATTTTTTTTATTTGTCAAGTATTTTTCTTAAACCAAATTTCATAATTCATTTCAACCAGCTATTTACAATTCATAATTTATGGTATCTTTGGTCGGAAGAAAAACAAAATTGAGAGAAAAGAATAGTGTTTTAGCTAAAAAAAATTGAATTTTAAAATATATTATTCTTTTAATTTCTTTCCAATTAAAATTTATCTTTTTCTATTATAATCACAAAATCGCGTTAATTTTATTAAAATGAGATTATTAAAGGAACTAATAAAAAATAAAAAATCAAAGAGTATTATAAAAAATCATAAAATATATATTAAAAAATAATATTTTTTATTTTCAATTATTCAATGTATTAAAGTGGAGAAAAAGAAAAAAATTATTTAAAAGTAAATTTAATTATATATAAAATAGAAAAGATAAAACTAAACATAGGTTAATCTTCATCTGACTAATGTGTTTTCTACTGTATTTTCACTTATTTCTATATTTTTTTCTTCTTTTCCTCTCTTCTTAATTTCTATTTCATTTTAATTTATTTATGAATTATTTTTACTCATTTAATTTTTTATATATATTTTTTCTTTCTACCATGATAATAAGAATAAATGGTAGTTAGCATAATAGCATTCACTACAAAAAATTGGCCGACACAAATTTTTTTAACTCCTGACATGGGGTATCATAATAAGTTTGATTCTGAATATTATTAAGGAAAGAATTGGTACATGGTTTGCTGGCAAAAGTGGGGCCCTTTCATCATACAAATCTTGAATCATGAGGCAGCCACGTGTCCAACAAATAAAAAATCTTTTTTTTTAAGACCAATACTTTCTAATGAAAAAAATAATAATTAAGAATTAGATTTAAAAAAAGAAAAGTTCATATTAAACATAATTAGTGATATTTTTGTAATAAAGTCGGTTAAATTTGAAACAATGATATCCAAAGGGTAGTTCAAGATACCATTTCAAATAACAGTATAATCGGGTCGGATTTAACAGAAAAAACTAAATCAACAGGATTTTAAAAAAACTTAAATATTTTTATTCAATTAAAGAAAGTTGAATTATTGCCAATAAAAAAAAACCAATTAATATTATATGTTATAAAAAATTTAAAAAATGAGAAAACAGGTGGATATTCATTATAGAATAGTGCTAAATATTAAGACACAGAGGGGTCCGAGCGTGACTGTCAAATCTACATATTCTCTGTTTTCTCTCTCTTTCTTCTCTCTCTGAATTCACAGGACAGCCCCTTTGCTCCGCAGATTCGATTCAATCGCCGATCTTTATTACTCAGTGCTCCTCGGGAATCCCTCGTCTTCTCCTTTCAATCTTTATCTCTTCTTCTTCCATATAATGATTCAGATTTTCAAGGTATCATTTTCATTCATTCCAATTATTATAATATCATTTACTATTATTATTAGTATAAACAAACTTTTTCAGTTTTTCTTTTCTTTTAGCAAAACAAAATAATAAACAACATGCCCAAGTTTCATAAAATGTTAATTTTGTTCTCTAGTCTTTGATTCTATCCCACAACAATTGTTTCCTCCACTGTTTTATGAGAACTTTCTTGATCTCAGTTTCACTCAGACATTGGTTTTATCAGCTTCTTTTTCTTCCCCTCTTCATCTTCTTAGCAGTCTACTAAAATTTTCAGAATTGCAGTTTACTTGATTTTTGGATGTGCTGATTCCAAAGACTCAAATGGCTTCTTTTGTCTTTGTTTCACCAATTTCTGTTTATATGGAAAGAGTTTAATGCTACTGAAAGTTTTCTGAGTTGGTTTGGAACATTTTAACTCCTCATATTAACACGTTAATTGGGATTCTGCTGGGTTTTGTTAAGTAATGTCTGTTCTTGTTTTTGTAAAACGTGTCTATTCAAGTTCAAAGTTTGCCATTTGGACGGTTACTTACTTCTTTTACTTTTTGTTTTTCGTAATTTTGCTTGAAAAGGGTTAATGATACTGTCTCTGCTGTGGTACTTCGTAATATCATCTCTTCTGCATCATTGACTGTTTTTTTTTTTGGTGGGATTTTAGATTCTTCTTTGGAACTCTGTGCTTTAGGTAGGTATTTCCTGAGTACATTAAAAAAAGGTTCCTTTTATGGAAATGGGATCTGCTTTTTCCCATCTCATCATTTAAAAAAAAAATTACCCCATCAATATAATAAATAATAATAATAATAATAGCAACAGTAGAAATAATAATAAATAAAAACAATAATAATAATAATAATAATAATAATAATAATAATAACTACTGATGTTTATAATCTGATTCCTCTGGAAAAGGAACTCATGGTGGTCATGATTTCTACTACAGAACTTGTCTCATCTGCCCAACGCCTTAAACAATTCCAAAACTGCTTATGTTTTGTCTCACTGTTTTGGTTAGTGCAGGCAGGTACACATAGAAGGATATGATTATGGATAAATTAAAAAAATATCTTCAAACACTTTCAGTATTTCACATATTTTGTTCTTTCTTCTCATCCCCTTCTTTCCGCCCATGATGCAGGGCTAGTTCTGACTTGATCAAGCTTTTGACTCCAACCAAAAAAATAAAAAAAATAAAAATGGAGGGTGACACATTCTCTGGTCTCGGCAACGGTACCCAGATTGATAACAAGATTTTGCAAACATTTAAGAAAAGCTTTGTTCAAGTCCAGGACATCTTGGATCAGAACCGGGTACTCATCAATGAGATAAACCAGAATCACGAGTCCAAGGTCCCTGACAACCTCAGCAGAAACGTTGGCCTTATTAGGGAGCTCAACAACAACATCAGAAGAGTGGTTGACCTTTATGCGGATCTTTCAAGCTCCTTTACCAAATCCATGGAGGTTTCTTCCGAAGGAGATTCCAGTGGTGCTGTGAAATCTGACGGCAAAGCAGGTCACAAGCGACACAGGCCTCTTTAGGGAACTTTTTTTTTGTTTTTTAATTTCTTTTCCTTTTTGCTTGGTGGAGATGCACGACATAACAATTGTGTTGAGGGGTAGAACAAGATTAGGTTCTGTAGCCGAAGCCCTCTTGTATTACAGAACTTTCTCTAGCTCATCACTTACTGCTTACATTTCAAATAAAAAGAAATGATTTTCCGGAATTTCTCTCAGTATTATTATAACCTGTGACTGTGGATCTAATAGGAATGTAACGTGTTTGTGTGCTAATATAATCATGCTGCTGTCTTTTAAAAGGTGGAATAACAACAACCCCTTTTCTATCATATTCAACGTGATTGCTTTTTCCCTTTGGATTTGAACATGTGATGGATTATAATGAGATGGACCTTTCTTGTTTATATCTTTTATTCTATGCTATGATGAGGTTTTGCAAGAGATAAGGGGTTTTAGCTTTGATAAACTTTTCTTGAGTTTCTACTTGTCAAAAGGGGCTAACGGCCAAATGGTCTTCATTGTTTTTTGTCCGTCATTCTTTTTCATATATCATATCTAGTTTTGATGGAAACTCGTCATATATTACCTTTATTCTCTTTATATCTTGAACCAAAATGATGTTCCCAGATCTTACTTTAGCTAAGAACTGAAAGTGAGAAGGGGTTGCAGACACTGTTTTTGGCCTATGCCCATGAAGCCAGAGTTTCCTTACCAAGAAAACTACACCTGGTTTTTTCTGTTCATGTGTTTCCCTGTGGGAGTGACAACTGAGAACTGAGAATTGCATACATATGTGTGAAGATGCTCTGAAACAGATGGGAGAAAGCAGCTTTAGAATATAAGATAAAATCTTTTTGGTTCCCTATCACACACCACCACAAGAACAGAATCTCAGATAAGCGATGAGAGGAGCTTTTGACTAATTTTTTAATATATTTTCTTATTCCCAATGGCTAGTATTGGCCATAAAATTATAATTATTCTACTATTCATTTTGTATGAGCTTAAAACAAAGCACTACAGTCCTGAGTGTAAATAGTGACCCCCAACAACATGACAAGGGACCCAAAGGTTCTCTTTTGGGATGGAACTCAACTTCTCCATGCTTATCCCTTCCTGCTCAGGTTCGTTCCTTTTTACTTTCCAATTTCCCCGTTACTTTTTATTCTCTTATACATGTCCTATATGACATCCTTCTAATTGATACTTGATAATTTCATGGTTTGTATTTCTTCTCGCTCTCCCTGATTGCGCAGATGTCTTTATTGGTGGACCCAGTTTGTGGCATCCTAATGTCCTGATCTTAGAAGAGAGGCCCACGTGAGTGATTGCTGACGATGGCCTGCTTCTGGTTTAGATTTTGCATTTTGAAGGAGTGGACCTTTTCCTCCTGGCTACATTCATACCTTTGTCAATACTCTCCTATTCATCATTAACTCACTCAAGACATAGCTATAATTGTTAGACCATCATTTTTTTAGGTGATAATTGTTAGACTATCATTTGTCCATGACCTCAGGGCTTTTTTGGACCCTCACATATGAATTCTTTTCTTACACACACAAATAATGAAATGTACAAGATGCTGCTGTTTTACACTCTCAACACTGTAAACTACAATCTCACTTTTTAAGCTTAATTGTTTCGTAGAAAATGTCTGCAAGAGTTACTTTCTTACCAGACTCATGAAAGTGTGGAATTCTTATGATGACAAATTGTGAAGTCACACGAACCAATAGCTTTTTATGCAATTCACCTTTTACAACATTTTTATTATTGTTGTTGTTTCACTATCTCTTTCCCTTTTTTTTTTTTTGCTCTCCCCCCATTGTAGAAGAGAATCTATTGCGTGAAATTGATGAGAAAACAACATTACTAAAGAAGAAATGCAGCAGAAGAAAAAGAATCCACTTTGAAATAACAAGTATGGTCTGTGTTGAGGAAATGATGAAGGGGTAGAATATCTGATATAAAAATGGATTTGGTCCCTAAGCAAGCGAAGACAAAATAGACATTGTGTAGTACATAACATGTGCGATGGGAATCTACTTTTGCTTTTCTTTCCCTTTGTTCCTTGCATTTCCAGCAAATAGGTTGGAAAGGAGCTCAAGTCTAGTTTGCCCAATGAAAGCTATTTTTCTATAATAATGGAACATGAACATATCTCCATCATTGGTTGGACCCAATTACAGCAATCCAACTATAATAATCCACGCCCCATGCCGGAAATGTTTAATTATGGCCCAATGACACTTTTTAATAATTTGACGATAATTTTTAATTTCTCATCATCCTTTTATTCCCCCTCTCTCTCTCACACACCTTTTATCAAACTAAACTCCACTGGCTCGTGCCTTCACAAAAAGACACTCATACACACTTTTGAAAATTGCTTACTTTAACAACATCAACTTTACAAGGTTGACATCACTTCTGTTAGGTGACCCGTTAACGTTGCCAAGTTGCGTTTCACTGATTCTACGTTGCATTGTTTGGTACCAGGATCATGTCTCATTGAAGTTTTACCTGCCACCAGGTTATGACCAAACTTATCCCTAATCTTACTTTCCCTTCACCACAACTACATCACTAATTGCTTAATTCTTCTAAGCCTAAACCGCTAATTATTAATATTTGTAGTTTGTGTAACCAAGCTACCACTTTAACAGTGGGATGTGGGTGAGATCTTGAATTGTTGCGAGAAATAAGAATCCAAACTCCTATGTTCCTTGCATCGAGTAGCTTCATCGGTTTCAATAAATGGTTTTGGACATTTTAATCCTTTAAACCATCCACGGTATCAAACTCCAAAACTCCAAAATAAAAGAGAAACAACACCTTAATAATATATACATCACTTTCTCTCGTACAACTACCATTTAATTCACCTTAATAATATAATAATAAACATAAAAATTTAATATTTTAATATTAAATTGAGTTGTGGATTGGATAGATTTATTAAAAGAGTTGTCAATTTATATTATATACCTTTCCAAAGGGAAAGAACTCTGCTTTCATCTGGGTCTAACTTGTAGGTCCAATTCAAACATACGTCCAAAACCCTAATTATTTGGAAATTAATTGTTTTGTTTTTGCATACGAAAACAATTCTGATGCCTAGTTATCCAATTTGCTTTTAATATATATATTCTTAAAATTATTAACATTTAAGATTAGTTTACACGTTAATGATTATAAATATTAATATATTTATTTTAAAAGACCACTTTACTTATCTTTCTAAACTATATTAGTTTGAAGAAGGCTAGATCATGTTTATTAAAAAAAATAAGATTTTTTTTTTAATTTCAAAATGAACCATGTTTTAGAATTTTAAATTCTAATTAATTTGTTCTCTCAATTATACCACTATATAGGTAAGTAATTGTCATTAATAATTGAGATAAATAAAAATTAATACATTAACTTATTATTCTAATGAAATACTGAATACAAACATTTTAAACTAATCTTACATACTTAAATATGTAATAAAGTGCATGCATTAACATTAGATAGATAAAGATATGAGAAGTATAAGATATAAATAGAACATTTTAAATACTGTTTCTAGTAAGACATTGATTTGAAATTTTTTGTTTTTTATATATTTTTTCCATGTTTATTTATTTAGTTTTTTTTATCAATATATTCTTAAAATTGAATTTATCAAGGATAATATGATAGGACTTTTGAAATGGGGGGTTTCGGTCAAATCCGATTGGATCGTACAAATCAATGGAAAAAAATGATGGTTTAATCTTATTTAGATATATAGATAATACATTTGACTTTATAGTAGGTTAACAGGCTATATTAAAAATAACAAATTATTAATATGTTTATATTAAAATAAATAATTAAAAATATATTAAATAAAAAATATTTTTTAAATTTATATTTATATTTATAAAATTAATTTTTATTTTAAATATAATAATTTAATATATAAATTAAAAAAATTGATCATTCTAATTTAAATTAAAAATTAAAATTCACTTTTCATTATATCATTATTAATTTTTTTAATAATTATTGGTATAAAATACTAATTCTTTTTATACTAATTCTTTTAATAATTGATATTCTTATTTTTATATTTATTTTTAGAATAAATGAATTTTTTATATCAAATTAATTTATAATATATAATAATAATATTTTTAATTTTTATTTAAAAAAGAATTAATTTTTATATATCAAGTTAACCATACATTTACATGTTAGTTCCCAAACCAATATAAACTATAACCTAAATAAATCGGGATAAAATGAATTTGCTTCAATTTATTCTTATTCAAATATTTTGAACTAGCTCATCGTATTAAATATATTTTGATACCTTTATTTACGGATTTAATTATAATTAAATTTTAGTTAAACCAATTTTAATGAATAATGATTAAAGAATATATATTATATATAAAATATAATTATCATAATATTATAATACTAAAAATATATATAATTGTATTTAATCTTAAACTTTAAAATAAATATAAAAATATAAATTAAATATATTATAATAATTATGTTAAATTAATAAAATATAATAAGTTTAGATATAAAAATAAAAATAAAAATAAAAATGACAAATATATATATATATATATATATATATATATATATATATAAATGTAAGATATAAATTAATGAAATAAACAGTTGAAAATTAATTTATATAAATTTGCAATTCTTAATAAATATGATTTTTTTTGTTTATTTATTAAAATTTAGATTAAACTTTAAAAAATATGTTTTTTTTTTCAAATTAACAATTTTATACATCAGTTTTTGTTTTAATTCAAAATTGCATGGTTTTATAAAGTTATCGAACCAGTTATTTTGTCAGTTCTAGTCAGACTGATTTTGGGTTTTTAATATTTCACTAGTTTAATAATAAAAAGTACACAGCAAGCTATTATAATAATAATAATAATAATAATAATAATAATAATAATAATAATAATAATAATAATAATAATAATAGTAGTAGTAGTAGTAAAATTACGTCTAAAATAAATGACAAATACTTTAAGTTAAATTTTTATTTTAAAGATGCAAATGAATTATTGTTGTTAAACAAAATTTAGTGACTTTTTGTGAACAGTTTTTTATCAAACTTAGCGATTTTTTTTATTGAAATTAGCATTTTTTTTGTTCCCCAATCAAAGTTTCAGGTGTGGTTTTATTTGAGTAACATCAAAATAATTCATATTTTTCCAATTCAACCAGCTGATCCAGTTCTTAAAGAGTTGTTTGACTCCCACTCCATACTCTTCCACCCATTTTGTATCAAGAGAAAACAATATATAACCACAAATTAAGCAATTTTTGGCCAAAATTCCTTAAATTGCACATGCTAACTGAAAAAGCAAGTTTTGTGGGTTTTCATCATTTTCTCTGAAGAAATGCTTAGCAACAACTTGACACTGCTTCATTTATTAACCATGATAGCTTTTTCTGTAACCAAAATACAGTACTTTACTTTCAAAATTACCATAAAGTAGTAGTATACTTTTTACAAAAAAATGATCAAAATGATCTAACTCAAACTTGTGGATGAAATTTCAGTGGTTTTGCATGTAACTACAATAGAATAAAAAAAAAAAGATAAAAACATTGAAGGAGAATCAACTTTCACACGTCCAACTATTTTAATAAACGAATCACCATTTTGGTAAAATTATCAAAATTACTATTTTAAAATGACAATATAAATGGAGAGAACGACATCGGAGACAGAAAAAAGTTAAACCTTGTTATATATAGATTTACAAAACCTTTACATTTGGGTGTTGTAGTGTTTGTGTGGATGTTGAAGAGTCAAAAACCTGTTGCAGAAGGAGCATAACTTCGTTAAAGAGGTTCTTCCTACAGAATTAAATTATGTAATTAAACTGATTGTAATTAATGGTTATGGTGGTCTAGGTGTGGAGTTAGACCTACGAACAATATATGGAGAACTCATGCAGGGGCAATCATTTTCATCTTCCAACTCAAAATACTACAATATGCAGAATTTCCAGCCTATTGTTCAACTCTGTATCTACTACCACAAGCCATGGTGCGATAGTGAAAAATGAGCCCTGGGCACATATATGTAGATACCTTCATTGAATCCTTATCAATGTCTGCGGGCAATCAAGACAAGGGTAACTACAATGGGAATCTTCACCTTTATTTGACGTCCTTGATTAGAAACCTGTTTTAACGTAGTTGTGGATGCTATGCAATTGGTAGAGTTTACATGATATCCAAAGGTAACTTGAAACCTTCATAGAAAAACTACAATCACTTAAAGAATGAATGGGAACTTGTTTTGGATTTGTTATCAACTGTTGAACTTTACCCGGACAAGATGGTTCAACAATTCTATTCTAGACCTGTTAATGATATTGAGAATACTCCTTCATGCTTGATCTTATTGGCGTTGTAACATTTGTCAATCCATCAGTTCCCATCCATGGAAACTCAGAAGAACTTTGAATCTGAAGGACTGTGCTGGCAGAAGTGTTGAACAAACCCTTCTGGGGTGAATTTTGCAACAGAGAAGATCGATCATTATGCCTGAAGAACCTAAAAGGATGAAGTGTTGAGCCTCCACGAGTCCTCCACACTTACTCCTGTCAAATTGGTTTTTCTAAAAGTTTACCTAAAGCTCAGAAGTTAACATAAAGAGATATAGAAGGATAGCTTCTATAGCTTTATATGAATGTGTTCCAATTGCGAAACCAAGATTTAGTAATCAATTCAAAATTCGAAGAGTCTAAAGTTTTAGTTCCATAAATTGGTTGATAATTCTATATAATATTCTAGAAAGAGCATCTTGTTGCAGTGCTAGCTCATGTATCAATGGCATAGCTATATGGTGGATATGCCTTGGTTCCTATGCAGTACAAACATAAAAAAGTGATACACCTTGCTTCTACTCCTACACTGTAGCAGAAATCATGTAAGCAATAAATATGTTTCTATGATACGTCAAAATGATTCATTACATCGTAAGAATTGGATTCTGCTCAAACGAAGATAATCACATATTACACGAGGGGGGGGGGGAGAGAGAGAGAGAGAGAGAGAGAGAGAGTTCAACGGTGAAGAAGAACAGAGACACAAAGGGTGACAGGAGAAACTCTAGAAAAGTGTTCAGCTTCGCTTGACGGGATCGAAGTTGGCAACACCAATGACGGCACCGACAATCGCTACAGCCACAACTCCGCCAGCAGCGATGCTGAGCAAGAAATTCTTGAGAGAAGGCGTAACGGCGGCTTCAGCCACGTCCGGCACCATCATGGAAGCAGTCAATGCAGCTGCAGTCAAACCCGTGACAACTTTCTCTTTCATGGATGCCCTCACCTCAAACCTTCCATTGGGTTTGGACACTGCCACACCCTTTGAAGCTCGCAGAGGTAACGGTGCCTTGAACAGTGCCTCGGACGTGGGCACCACCCTCTTCTGGGCGGCTTGAGTTAGAGGAAGAGACATTGAAAGTGCTGAAGTTGAAGCCATTCCTTTGCCCTGCAAATTGCTTACTCCACTGGAACTTGTTTGAAGAGTGAGAAAATGAGATGGTTGTGCTGCGTGTGGTTGTGTTTTGAGAGAGACGGCTCTGAAAACTGTGGGAGAACGAGAGGTCCAAAATTTTAGCATATTTGCTTCTGTCTGACGTGGCAGCTTCTCCATTGGAAATCATAGATAAGGTTATCTTTTTTGTCCATCTTTCTTTGTTTTTTTTATTTTAGTCCCACCTATTGGGTTTTCTTCTGAGCATGTTCCACTATTTTTGGGCTAAAATTTGGGCTAGCCCAAAATTGATTGTATTTTGATTCGACTTTTGCTGTTTACAGTTATCTATTTGCCAAGTTCACCCCTTTTCCTTCTTAATATAGAAATTATACTAATCAATCCTAGAAGTTATTTTTCAAAAACTTTGCTAGAAATTACTTTTTGAAAATATCCCAATGATAAAAAAAAACAAAGTATATTCTAATGAGCACACAAAATCGATAATTTGATATTAACGAAACGAAAATAAGGTAACAACCAAAGTGCAGTGTAAAGAATAGGGTTTAGGATTTATTATTATTATTATTTCTAAAATAAAATGTTACATTCGGTAATAAAAACAAAACATAGAAGAAGATGAAGTGTAAACAGAAAAAGCCTCCCCTTGTGGTCTCTGTCTTAGGCCCATTTTTTTGTCGTAGCCAGAAAAATTCATCGCACCAGTAATTCCCCTCTTAGAAAAATTGGCACAACCGAAATAGTGGGCATATTCAAAATGCTTCAATTCAATCATGAGACAAGTGAATTTAACGAATAACGTACTTACTGCGTTTGAAAAATCAAACCTACGTTCAACCATTGACGGGAAAATAATTGTTGCCTATCAAGTAAATTGATGGTTAAATTAATTTATGTGTTATATTTATAGGGCTATTCGGAAACAGTGTATCATTTGATATTTACAAAAAACCTGAAACATCATTATTTGTCCAAATTATGGTATGATGTGGAAAATCATACCCACCCACTTCTGTTGTTTTTGAAATTTCAATCTTGAGTGCATGTATTGATTTTTGTATCAGAAAAACCATTTTCGCAACCCAATGCTCTGGCCCTTCTTACTTTTCATTGAAAATGAAGATTTGACAGAGAAAAAAAAAAAAAAAAAATAGAAAGAGCAGAAAAACCTCTGCCATTTGTTAATAAAACGTCCCTATTGGAAATAGACATTACAAGGAGGAACAAGTAGAAGGGTAGCCCAGTTGAGTGGGGAATAAATACAATTGTGCATTCTGAATTGATACAGAACCATGAAGTATTAACTACATAGTATTACCATACCCGCAGGCAACGGGGAAAAAGGTTCAAGAGGGACAGCACACTTATCTACAATTCTGGTCGTTCTCACACATCTCTGTTCACTGTCTCTGTAGTCATTGTACATGTATTACGTTTCTTATCTTCTCATCTCTCAAATCAAAACAATATAATAAACGTTGTTACAGCATATTTATGATATCTTAATATAAATAAATATCATTTTCTCTTCTTCAACGACTACATAACCACCACGGCATTTAGATTAATCACTTTACATTAATTTAATTCGATAAAAAAAAGTAATGTCTATAATTGCATGAGCCAGGCCCTCCAAGCTAGCAGATGAGATTTGCTCTGATTGATGTCTAGTTGTCGACAACATATTCCCCAAGTTGCTGTTGTTGTTGTTCTCCTTCTCTTAACTTCCTCTGCCAAAGTTCCAGAAATGGGTGATTTCCAAGGCCCCTTCATAGTGTCCCCCCCTCCAGCACCCTCTTCCTCGGATAAGTCCAGCACAACCATGCTATACTATGGCCTAGTAGTGGTGGGGGTTGCAGCCATTGCATTAGCCCTATACAACTTCATCATCATCAGGAGAAGCAGGAGGCGCCACATGCAATCACAAGCTGAAGGGGCAAATGGGGTGGTGGAGGTGGTGATAGAAAGTAGGATAGAGAACTGCCAAATCAACTTCAACTTGGTCTCAAGCTTCAAGTACAAGAAAGGAGTTGTGGATTATGATGACGATGATGAATGCTCAGTTTGCTTATCGGGTTTTGAAGAAGGGGAAGAAGTTCGTAAGCTGCCACAGTGCAAGCACTGGTTCCACGCTCCATGCATAGACATGTGGCTCTACTCTCACTTGGATTGCCCAATTTGTCGAACACCTGTTGTGCGTTTCTCGCAGCACAATTCTCGTCCTGCATCACTGGAATCCGGTGGTGATGTCTCGGTATGATTTGTTGGAATCACGATGAAATTAAAGTTCACAAGTGATGAGTAATTATGAGTTTAAAAATTGATTTAGAATGAAATCTAAATTGGAAGATGGTTTGTGGGGTAGGACCTGGCATTGCGCTGGAATTGTGACCACTCAGTCCTTCACACAACTTTCTCCACAAGGAACAGACACAGAGCTAAAGCACCCAACTTTGGATACCTTGTTTCTGATGTTACGTCACAAAAGAGGTTCAGAACTCCTCATTTTGATTTCTTCTCTTAAGTGCTAGATTTATTCATTCATACATACCTCAAACTATTCTTAATAATCATAAGAACATGAAATTTTTTAGTCTAGCTTTTCAAATTTATGCATAGGTTGGCATAGATCTTAGACTATATATCTAACAAGTTGGTTTCTAAAATAGGCGTCATCATTTCGCACAATATTTTTTTCTTATAAAAAATGTAAGATTTATAAATGAATAATAATATAAAAGATTTTGGTTGTGATTCGTTATCATGAAAAGATGAATGAGTAAAAGTTTATAGTTTTAAATTTTAATAAATAGATTGCCGTTTACTTTAAGTTGACTAATAAATAAACATATCTTTGATTATTCACTTTATTAAAAGCAAATTTATCATATCTCTCTTTGTTGTGTGTGGTTTTTTTTTTTCAGTTTTATTTATTATCTGATAAGAAAGTCTTCATAAACAATCCTCTCTCGTACACAATAAACACAAAATATATATACTAAGAACTTTTTTTTATAAATCTAATTAAATTAATTTAAGAAAAATTACAAATTGGTTAGTTTGAGTTATTTATTTTAAAAAATAGAAACGTACTATTGAAAGTTTAATAATTGTCATTTATCGTCTACGGTCAATAACATTCAAAATATTAGATTGATTTCTTTTTAAGAGTATTATAATTGTAAATTGACAGTTATTTATCTTTATTATTATTATTATTATTATTGTTATTATTGTAAATTAAGATTTGAAACATTTTACTAGATTTTAGACAAAACAATAAGTGAAATCTAAAAAATCTTTCTGAAGATTGATTTTTTTTTCTTATATATGATTTTATTAAAGTCATTTGATTTTTTTCTTTTAAATTATGACTATTTGTGTACTAATTTGGTTTTAGGTATTATATTTTTCTTTTACTTTGAAACTAATCCTGTATAAAAATAAAAAAGAAAATTAATTATAGTTTATTATTTTTTAAAATTCAGTGACTTTTCTTTAAATTTTTGTTGACATTTGATTTTCTTCTTATTATTATAATTTCTTACAATTTTTAAAATTTCATTCTGATAATAAAGACAATGAGAAAAATATGACATTCTTAATTAGAAGCAAGCATGATAAAATTTTTTTTTTTTTGGAAAATCATGTCATTATTTGGCTTCCTTATATGTTAGTTTGAAAATATTAATAACAGATGAAAAAGAATAAATATATCATAACATCAAATGTTGTTTATTAGAAAAATTTTCAAATTTTAAAATAATTAAACCATTTTATTTATTATATATTTAATTTGATATTATTTCATTTTTACTAAAAAATGTTTGGATTATATTTAATTTCATATTTCTTTATTATTATTTTCATATTGTCATGCATAACTGTTTGGAATATGGTCTATTATCCAGTGCTCAATAAATATAAAGGAATAAGATAAATAACATTTCAATGGTGTATGAACACATTTCACTCAGAAAGTGCTTCAACACGTTGAAACTGTTTCGACAAAGCATTACACAAGAATTAGGCTTGAACAACTCACACAACTAGTAAGAAAAAAGATAGCCCCATAAAGGTAACCAAAAAAGGATTCAGGGCTTACTGAATCAATCAACAGTGACAGAATTCAGGCAATTTAAATAACAAATCCAATTTGTTCGTAAACATAAATTCTAACTGCTCATTACTTGTGCTTCATATTACAAATGAGCTCCAGTTTTCTCAGCAAAACCGGAGTCTCTTAATCAAAATGAAGATTACATTTTTCTTAAATTGTCTAACCTTGCCTGTAAATCACTATCTATGGCAGCGGCATCATCCCCAGCAGTTTCCACTTGAGGCACTTTAGTCTTTCCAGCTGGGGCAGCAACAGCTGTTGATGGTGCTTTCAAAAGCTGCATATCAAATCAGAATTCGTTATGTAACACTGAAGTGACTAGATCATATACTTACAGCTGAAAAAGTAAGTAGATGGGGCAAAGAGATTAATATATATACCTCTTGGTTGATGTTGATTCCAATCTCATCAAGAACCTGATTCACTAATTCTTCTGTTTCTTCTACTTCATCAACCCCTTCAAAAGCATCATCCATTGCGTCTTCCATCACCTCTGCAATCAACTCCATCCTATCATTCTGATACTCAAATTCTTGTAAGATTTTCTGCAATGATGGCAAGTTCATCTGTCTGTTCATCTTTCCCATTGCCTTAGTCACACCTTTCATTGCCTCGCCCATTGCTTGTGTTGATTTCAAAGTCTGAACAATTTTGATACGATAGGAATCAACTTTTAGCATTCACATTCAGCGAAGGCACGAGTTTTAATAAAAAATTTGCAGGAATTTATTAAGAGCCAGACAATCAGTTCCCAAAGTCACGCATTCACATTCAGAACTAGAATCTTATAATGATCATACGCTACCACAACACCATGGTGCACATACTTGAATTCTGAGGGATACTCCCTGGAGCTGCGATTTGAGCTTATAAAACTTTTCGATCTGATGCCTTGTTCTAACAAGATCTTTTGCCATCACTTTAACAGCTCCCTGGAAAATATTACATGAAATAAAACATAGCATCAGGAAAAAGAAGGATACCCAACTTAATGGTTGTGTCAAGAATTAAATATATACCATGATGAGCATAAATATAAACTTGCTGACAAAATCAAGTTTCTCATAGAAATCAGTTCATGGGTCAAAAAAATCAATATTACCAAATTACATTACTAGAATAAAATAGCGTGCTTATATCCAACTAAGAAAACGGGTTTATCATGTGCAAGCCAGTTTCAATCACCCAGCACATAAAGTTAAATTTCACAGTTCAAACTTATGCTCATTTCCTATACTTCCCAAAGAGACAAGTTGAGTGCCGCTGTAATAAATTTACAACCTTATTTTCTTATTTAAATAAGTGAAAATTAAACAAAACACTGTTATAACGATGAGAATATACCTTAAGTATCAGACACATTAAAGAAACCCTAATTTTAACAAAAGATGGAGATATCAGTTCCACAACAATGCAAACTCGTCCATTTCTTTTCTAAAGGAATGAAGGCTCACTCTTCAACAATTTTAACACACAGATGCCTAAGTGGATAGTTTTGAGCCTGCAGCAGCATTAGGACAGCAATTGTTTAAGAAAAGATTAACAGCTACGAAAGTTTAATCCCCATCATTAATGTGAATACCAGTGTGTGTATTATGTATGTGTATAGGCATGTTTGGAACAAACTTTCTATAAGTTTGTTATTATAACACACGGGGAATAATTTTTCCAGCCACGTATATTTTTGGCAACATACCCAGCAGAGTACATGAAAATCGAAATAAAATGAACATGTATTTAAGTGAGTAGCCAGCATTGGCGTACCCTCTGCGACTAATAAATAAACATATGAACAGAAAACTCAAACTCCACCCTCCTCCTTACGGTGCAGAGGACAACAATAACTTGGCATAGGCAATGCTCCAACCAAAAACTAAAAAGCAAACAACATTAGGAAAAACCTAAGTCTTGTACCAAAATATAATACATATATAAGTGTGGTCAATCCTCATTTTAAAAACCAATTTTGTAGGATTGAGGTAGTCATAAAATAAAATAAGAAACAACTACATAAATTCTAGCAAAAAGTTTAAAACGCAATGACTATACCATCTGGCCTTGTTTGGCACTTTTCTTTATCTCCAAAATCAGTTTCTTCTCCTGTGACTGCAAACCTTGTCTCTCTCGTTCTATTTCTCTAATTGATTTGTCCAGCATTCTCTTATTTTCCCGCAAGATTTCTGAAAGGCACAGCTTTATTACAATCGCATACCATGATTTCAACAGAGCGTGCATCAGCTAATAAATATTAAAATGATACCACCATGTCAACCTAAATATGTAGGTTTCGAAGGTTATGAGAATGCATGAGTGAAATGTTCACCAAGATCCCCAGAGTATACATTTGCATAAAATGGACATCATAAGATATAGAATAGCTGAATAAAATTCTGGTTGTCACACCAACATTAATCTGCTGCTCAAATTTTACTCATGTTATTAAAATCTACACTTTTTTTAGGTATAATAATAATTATAATTATAATAATAATAATATCAAGCAATAAGCAAAAAATCTTAACGTAACGTTTTAATTTTCCTGAAATTAATGCAATTAAATAGTTGAATTGTAGGAGGAAACAAAGATACCTGCGGGGGTTTTCGTCTTTCCCAATATGAAACTCATGATGCCGGAATCAAAAGAAATCCAATAAAAAAAAAAAAGTTAATTGCGTCGAAAAGGATCAGGTGAAATTGCGAAGCTTTTGTTCTTCGCTAGATGTATCTGCTTGCCAATTTCAGCGTGCAGCTCTCTTACACTGCAAGCGTTAAGCCATAGATTCATAAACTATCATCCTTGCATGGGCCTGGGCCTCTTTTCCACAGTAAAGAATTTTTGGGCCTATTTGTCCACCACCATATATAATAGTGGCTAACCATTGCCATTTATTTTATTATGATTTTGAGAAAATAAATAATATTATTTATTATACATACCACATTTTTATTTTATTTATTTTTTAAAATATTATTAAAAAAATATATGAGAAAAAATATCTTCAAATATATTTTGGATCTACAATTAACTATTTAAATTATAGTACAAGGTTATTTTTATTGATATTTAAAAAAAATAACTTGAATTTTGATTTGATAAAATTTACCTCACATATTTCATGAATAATTTGATGTTGAATTAAGTTTTCATATTAAAACTAAATTATTTTGAAGAAAAAAATGTTTTTCACATTTGAAATATGAATCAAAACTACCATAGTCAACCGAAATTCATACAAATTCTGTTAGTTTTATTCCTAGTCTGTATATTTAAGATGACTTAATATTTTTATAATAATATTTTTTATTTCATAAAATAAATGTTCAGTTGAGCCGTAAAATATTGAAAACGACCTCTTTTAAGAGAAACCAAACAATGAATTATATATTAAGATGATGAGATACCACTTGTTGATAGTTTAAAATTTTAAAAACATTAAAATATTTTTTATTCTTGTAAAAATGGAGTAATATATTGATATAATTCTTTAAAAAAAATTGTAGGAAAAAAATTTAATGGTTTTTGTTGTAAACTTTAAATTTATGCTTCTCAACAGGATTTATATATTATTAAGCTGTGATGCAAAACTTTGAAGGTGAATAAAGTATAAAAAGTTTAATGGGTAAATTTGTGAAAATATGGATTTGTATTTGTTTATGGTGAAAATTTGATCGATTTCGATTTTTCAAAGACTTAGGTTCTAACCAAATTTTAACCACGTAGATTCTTTTTATTTAGGCTAGCAAACGGTTTTCAATCGAAAAAATGCATGAGAATCGAAAATCCCATGGTTTCGAAAAAATGTAAACAACACAACTTAGTATGCAAATCGAAAGTACTATTTTTGGTATTTTTCATTAAGAGACGCGAAGTAAAGAAAACAGTAAAAATGTCGAATCGAAAGATAGTGCAGAATATTAAATTGCAGAAAAATGTAAAGTGCGGAAACCTCAAATTTGCATTAAGTGTAAAAGGCAAGGAATCGAAATTTCATAAATGTAAATAGCAGGAAATCGAAATTGCAGGAATGTAAATGGCAGGAATCTTAAATGCATAACCTTAACTTGCATAAAAGTAAATTTTGCATAAAAGTAAATGACAAGGCATTGAAAAGGCAGAAACTTAAAGCTTATAAACATAAATTGCAATGAAAGTAAATTACCAGGGAAAGTAAAGAAAGCGATAAAGATAATCAATGAAAACGAAAATCCAGAGCATTAGAAACTTCATGATGCGTCGTTCTCCTGCAGACTGTTCACTAGCGCTTCTGTTGTCTCTGCCAATCTCCCCCTTCCCTCCTCAAGTCTTCGTCTATTTATAGAGCACCCTTTAAGTAACCTCCTAAAAGCAGTTGATAAAACTGTCACCACGATCCAACGTGCGCGTCCCTTAGTTCCACGGTTTAGGAAACTGCATTCCACATTCTCATGTATGAGAGAACTGCTCCCTTGATCCTCGATCTCTACCACGGTTTAGAAACCGCTTCCCATGTTCTATGTGCGCGTTAACCGTTCCTTCGATCTCGATTTCAGACATCGAGTGTTTTGAATTATTTTGATTCCCCTTAACATTACACCATATTCTAATTTCTCGATTTTCTTCAACAATAGACATCAAATTTGTTTCTTTGATTCTCGATTCTAATTCTCGATTTATATGCGTTTTCATCTTATGGTTACCGGGTGTTTCCTAACTGTTTTATCAAATTTTCAACCAACCATTTGATCTTCGATATTTCTCTCTCTTGTTTTTTCGATCCTGGTATCGATTTTTTCTTTACTAACAAATGTCCCCCTGGAAGAATATAAGTTTTTTGTATCAATTTTTTATATTCTTCCAGAATATAACTCCTTAGGGTTTTAGGGTTTCTAGGGTTTTAGGGTTTCTGGGGTTTTTATCTGCTTTATGTTACTCCTTTCTACTGTCACACCGCGTACGCCACGTTACTCTCTTTCGCCTTCGTCGTTTCAAATATCCTAGTTGCCTCCTCTTTAAATACCTTTATTAGATTTTTACCCTTGTTTTTTACCTCGACCCTAACTTCTTCTTCATTGCACCTCCATCTTCAACCTTTCGTCTTCCTATTCTCTACCGGCTGAAATGACAACCTCAAAATCTTCTGATTTCTCTGTCCCACCACTCTCCTCGGTAACCTCCAACCTAATAGAAATTAATGGGCGGAAGTTTGCTCCGGTTCCTTTGATGGAAGAAGCCTCCCAAAGAATTGCCGAGACCCAGGTACTTATCCCTTATGTTGCTGATAATGTAAGTTATGCATTTGGTGGTCCTATCCGCTACTGTGGCGGATCATTTTCTTCTTCCCTCAACCTTTCTTCAGAGAGTAAGACCCTCATCCATCAGTCCGAGGTTCGAATTGACTTCCTGAATATTGTCTCCAAAGTATATCGAACATGCCCTCCCCACAAAAAACCCTTGTACATTAGGTGGTTTGACCGAGTTAAAACTACGTTTGGGAGCCATAGGAGAGATGTGGGGATCTTCGATTTCCTACATCTGTCTCGATGTGATCTATCGTTTTTAGATATGACTATGTTTTTATCAGCTATCCATCTGTGGAATAAGGATTTGCATGCACTGGAACTTCCTTGTGGTCCCCTTTCCCCCACCCTTTTTGAAATTGTTGCGATTACTGGATTAAAACCCACAGGGGAGAAATACTATAAGGGTTCTTTCCCTTCGGATAATTCTTTAAGGTCTAAAATCAATTGGGAATCGAAGGCCTATGGACATTTTCTCGAAAAACATTTTGTCGATGATTAAACAGTGGTTGTTTCTGATGAGGAGCACGTGACATTTCTGGTATATTGGCTTTACACCCACGTCTTTTGCCCCCGATTCATCCAAATCTCACCCCACCTTTATAATCTTGCTTATCTCCTCCATACCGGCCAACCTAGGATTTGTTTGGCGAAGCTTTTATTAGCCCATGTTTATACCTCTATTGATGAGGCTGTCGATATTTTGAATACCCCAAGAGCCTCAGGAAATTTTTCGGGTCCAATCTGGTTTATCCAACTATGGCTTACCTCGATTTTTGAAGGTATCCTCTCCCCATCCTCCAAAATTTCCCCAAGTTTGAATCTAGAAGGCGCTCGATTATCTTCTCGACATCCTCACCAAAAATCCGATGAGACTAGTTATAAAAATTACCTAAATTTTTTGTTGACTTGATTTCATTTTGAGTCAAACTTGGCCCCCTTCACCATCTATCATGGCAAAGTAAGTGACCAGCATGATTTAAATCGAAATTCCCTGCTCTTACTCCAGGGTTACAATCTGAATTGGTCGAAGTGTGGAATAATTACTTAACTCAGGACGTTCTAGTATCGGATTTTCAATCGAAGGATCTTCAACTCGTCACTTATTATCCCCAGCTCTTCTCGCGGCAGTTCGGTCTGAGTCAAGCTTTACCCTTTTTCCCCCTCGATACCTCCTCAAGGTCCAAATTAAATTAATCAACTGTTGGACGGGAGCTTGCCAAACTGTTGCCAAAAAACCCGATGCATTTTTACCCTTACACTTTTGAATCGAATTATTTATCTACTCTTGGTTTTTCTTAGTGGTAGACCGATTGGTTTTCAAATATTCATTCTAATTTTGACATAGTCCAATCAAAATTGACCGCTCGTCCTTCTCTCGTGTTGCAGGACAAATCGAAGGCGAAGAAAGGTACATACTCTCACTATCTCCAAATATCTCGATTCAAAATTTTTTATCGAGCATGCTACAACCCTTCGAAATTAAAGGAGACCTTTTATGATGTTGTTATTTCCCTAGTCAATAAAACAGACACTAACCGATCGAACCACAAAATAATCAATCCCCGAGGCAAAACCCCATTTGAAATGTATTGTCTCAACCATCTTCCCACTTTCTCTTTAGCTCCTTTCGGACTCGCCAAACCTTTAACTCATCCTAAATGGGTTCGAGAATTAAGATCCTTAAAAGAAACGCTTTCTCCCAAACCCAAGAATAAAGAGATTTCGATATCGAAGCTGTCTTATTTCCCTTACCTAAACCTTCCTCAAACACTTCTTCCTTCCTGGCTCGTCCATATCGATCGAGTCAAGATTTTAACTTCATCACCCTTTGGTGAGATTTTACTGCCTCTTTTAGGAGTATTTTTAATTTTCTTCACATTGCAAGCTAACTATTTTTCTTTTTCGACAGTTTCAAAATCTCATAAAATTGTCGCCTCCGAAAAAGACTGGGAGTCTTCGGACCAGTCGGATCCATCGGCCCCCACTCAGAAGCGCAAGCATTCTGCCACCATTTCTTCATCTTCGAAAATATCGAATGTTTCTTTTCGATTCCTTATTGTCTTATTTATTCAACCTTCTTTGTCTATAACTGACTCACTTCTAATTTCAGAAACAAAAATCGAAGAAGAGTCTCTGATCCATTCAACCACCTGCTATAAATCCGCTATCGACGGACTCTAACACGGTCAGCAAAGCGGGCCAAACAACACCCACCACTCGTTCAAGTCACGTAAGACCCCTTTTTACGCAAATTTTATATACCTAGATTTCGACAAGGCCCATAACATGATTTCAAATCTCGATATTTTCAGGACCATCCATCGGCGACAATATCGACGAATGTCG